TCCTCTCGCTCCACCTGTCCGCCAGATTTTAGAGAGATTGCCGTCCTGGAGAGACTCGCCCGATGCTTCTAATGCGGAGAGCGATGCGCCCGATCGTGCGCTCTCCCCGCCCCTCTTGTCGGCGCAGTCCATGATCGGGCGCTCCGACACGGACCCTGTGAGGGAGAAGCCGGAGCCTATCGCTCCCCCAAAGAGTACGACCAGATCGGACGATGAGCCTCCCGTGGGGAGGTTAAGTCCGGCCGGCGACTCGGCATGTTCTCGCAGACCTTCCAACCCTTCACCCCCAGTGACCACGCCCTCGGCTACTTCTCTCCTCAGTTATGAGTTTTCTAACATCAGAGTGAGTTGCTGCGAGAACCTCGGTTCGTCTCTCGACTAACCCGTCAAAAGCTTCTTCCCAACTATACCTCCTCCTTTCTTCGCCCCGGGAGCAAATTCACCGGTACACAACAGTCGGACCGCCAAGTGTACAACGTGGATGTAGAGATTAAACACGTTGACATGGTGGAGTCGTATCTCTGTGGTTATCTCCGCATACAAGGTTCGTGGATATTCTGCCCATGATATCTATTTCCCCCATCCGAACCGGAGGATCTGACTCGCCGTGTTCTATATTTAGGCCTCACAGAAGACCATCCAACTTTGACCACCTTTTTTGAGGGCGAGATCATCGGAACCAAACACACGTTCAAGACTCGGAACGAAGAATGGGGCGCCACCGAGAAAACCGATATGCATCACTGGGCGCGGTTTCCCGCCTGGCGCCCCCTCGCCCAAACAGGCCCAAACGGCCCGATTTCACGTACCGGAATTTTGCCCAGCGTGAACATATCTTTATGCGGTGGAAGGAGTACTTCCTCGTGCCCCGATCACCGGGTGAGAACCATCTCGGGCGCAAGCTTCGAGGGCTTCTATTATATTTGCTTCAACCAAGTGGAAGGAACCGTCACGGGAATCTACTTTCACGCAAAGAGCGAGAAGTACGTACTCCGATCATCAGACCTGGCGAACTACTATGAACATACATCCTAACTTCATTCAGATATCAGCAACTGGAATTGCGACATGTGGAAGACCACGGCTGTACACCGGCCATCGAATTCCGTTGATCTCATCGCGTCTCACTCTTTATTCGCTTCTAACCCTGTCATTCCTCCATACTTATCCCCTCTCCTTCCACTTGACGAATATGACGATACGGAATCTTCCCATGATGGAGAAAAGGGCATGTTTCCCGGCTTCTTCCGTCAGTCACGATTTGCCACCCGCTCGTGCACGCTTTCCAGGGTATCCAGGGCCCCTTTATGTTTTATGACGATCTGTGAATTGGCGTCCTCATTGGTTGATACGGCCTCGATTATCTCCCCATCTGTTTCCATTATCTTGTCCTTACCTCGGGCTTCTTTTCCTTCTTCTCCTTCTCTCTTCTAATTCGTTTGGTACGATGGCCTTTTTGCTCGTGTCGTAGCGATAGGTGAACAGGTCCCGGTTTCACATAGTCGTACCTTTCTTTTTGTCTGTTTTGAATCTTCAGGTGCATATCATATCTTGACATCTGGTTTATATCTCCTAGGCAGATAGGCAAAAGAACTCTACCAAGTCTACGTAGCATCATGGCCACCCGGTCTTCTCAAGAGGCATTTCTGGATATCTAACCTAAACTCAACAGATACATTTCAAACAGGGTGATTCGTGTTTTGAGCACAGTGAAACAGCCAGAACAACTCCATGTCATTCATCCCAAACATAAATGCGACATCCGCCAAATAGTAACACATCGAAAAGAAACATGACATTGCATGTATAACGCAGTCGTAGAACTTTGTATTGGGGGGTATCAAATGCAATCGGAAACGGTTGTCGACGGGGATGTCGGATGACGCATGGCAACAACCGAGCCGCACGGGGGGCGAGTCAATCAGGCATATGAGGAATTCTGTCGACTCGCGGTGCTGCTCGTGCTGCCGCTGTGTTCACTGCTCGGGGTGGCCGGCTCGAGAACCACCTGCTGTCTGATGGAGACGATCCAGTCGTGCTGGAGGAGCTCGGCGGCGGTGGGTCGCTTGAGCGGATCGCACTCGAAGCAGCGGCGGAGGAAGTCAATGCCCAGGTCGCTGAGCTGGTCGCGGGTGGGCAGCTGCGGCTGGTGGCCCTGGGCGATGTTGTACATGATGGCCCATTCGTTGTCGAGGGCGGACCAGGGGCGGCGGCCGGTGGCCATCTCCAGGATGACACAGCCCAGCGACCAGATGTCGACGGAGCCTTGGCGGTGGACGAGCTTGTTGGAGTCGCCGCGGATGACCTCGGGGGACATGTACATCGGGGTGCCGGTCATGGTCTTTTGGTTCTTACCGCGCTGGTGGTTGAGCTGGGCGTCCTTGGGCACGAGCGCCTCTTTGTGGCCGGAGCTGGTGAAGGCGTCCATGGGGAGCACGGTCTTACCCTGGCGGGCGATGATCTTTGCGGCGCCAAAGTCGACGTATTTAATGATGCCGTTGTGGTCGAGCAGGATGTTCTCTGGTTTGATGTCGCGGTGGATGATGCCGGCCTGGTGTAGGTAGGCCAGGCCCTCGAGGAGCTGCAGCGCGTAGACCATGATGACGGTCTCGTCTTCGACGCGGCCGTGCTCGAGCAGGCTGGCGAGCGAGCCGCCCGAGCAGTATTCCATGAAAATGTAGACCTTGTCGCGGTGGACTTCAATACCGTGGTACGAGACGATGTTGGGGTGGTCCAGCACCTCGAGGACGCCCATTTCGTCGCGGATCTGCTGGGCGATCTTGGGGATGAGTTGCGGGTCCTGCAGGCGGATCTCCTTGACCGCCATCAGGTAATTGCTGTCCAGGTTGATGGCGGCGTAGACAGAGCCAAAGGTTCCGCCGCCAATGAACTGGCCTTGCTGCCACCGGAGAGTTACGTTCGTCGCGGAGGACGACAGCACCGTCAGGGATCGGTCAGCCTCGTTAGAGCCCTCCAGCACCTTTCCTAAGGCTTGGCGTTTTGCATCCTCTTCGACTCTGCTAGCTTCGATTTCTTGCAGATGGGTCATGCGTTGATCACGGACGGCCTTCTCTGCTTCTTCGTCGGTAAGGATACGGCCCGCACCGAACATTCTGAGGCCTCCGCGCTCCTCGAGACGCTGCTTTTCCGCCTGGGCTGCGCGGGAGGACCGTGCTCCCATGATATCAAAGTGGGATATAAGGAGCGCCATACACCCGGCTACCTTCTGTCGCAAACAGCCAAACTGGGCATCATCCATAGACAGAAGATGTCGGCTCGAGGTGATGGCCATTGCAAATTCCAGCGCAGCGACGGCCCATTTGAACGTCTTGCGGTCCGCTGCGTCGCAATCGTCGCAGACGAACGACACCCAGTCCAGAGATAATTCGACCAGACGTGCACTGTTCATTGCACGACGGTTGGGGTCGACATTCGAAGAGCGCTTCCCGAATTCTGTCGCAAAGGCGTAGCAGGCTTGGATGAGATCGTGATTCTCGACCCCTTTCACTTTGAGCTGGTTGCGAATGATTGCCACGCTATCCATAATGGTCATTGATAGTTTGAATGACGTCTTCTTGATCTTGTTTAGTTCCATATTGACTCGTCCGAGGTTAGCACGTTGTTCAATCGCCATATCCAGTTGGATACCAGTCAGCTGCGCTAGCTCCTGCCGGGCATTGGACAGTCGCTGTGTGGTTCCCTCGACAACAAGGCGAAGCTTTCCGAGTCGTAGATCGGTAGGCTGCTCTAACACACCCACCTGCATCTCCTTGCCAGCCCAAGACAGAGGCTTCTCAGGGCGTACAGCCAGAATATACGGCACATGAGGCGAGTCTTTGGAAACGTCCTCTTCACGGAAAGACGTGCCTAGAATCGCCTGAATGTCTGCGGGACGATTCCACAAGGCATGGTGAGCAAAAAGATAAACACCTTTTTGTCCAACCGAGCCGTTGGACTTGATTAGGAAATGGTCTGAAATAAGCAGCGCCTCGAAGAACTCGTGTGCGATATCGGCGGAAATATTATATTCGGTTGCGTTTTCAAACAATTGTCGAAGAAATCGCGAGAATCGGTAGAGTTTCCGTTGGCGAATCCGCGTTGAATCAAGAACGCTCTTGTATCGTTTATCCATGTCCAAGGGATCTTCGTTTGGACGGGTCCCCAGCTCTCGCTCGAAGTGAATCATTAAACGCTGAAGTGACTTCGCGGTCAAAGCACTGACTTTTTGTTAGTCGAATTTCACAATGCCAGTAAGTAACAAGACGAAACATACCTAAACTGCTCGGCCACTTCGATATCTCCACCTTCGAGCTGGCGACCAATATGGTTTGAGAACTCCCAGTCTTGTTCCAGGATTTCGGCTTCTTTGAAAGTGTTTTTGTTTGCATTCAACTTCCAGTTCAAAAGGCGGAAGTAATACTTTAGAGCGTCAAGGACGACGGAATCGAAATTCTCGTCAATGCAAGGCGGAAGATCCCAGCCCGGTTCAGGCCGTGCAATGTCGAGGTAGCGTTGCTTGATCTCAACGGCGACCCTCATCAGGATTTGGAACTGAGAGATCATTTGATCAACCAGGATGGGAGACTGTTGCGCCGGGTCTCTCATGTTCTTCGCATACGACAATCGTACGCGGATGATCTCCTGGATAAGACGGGAAGGAAAGTTGATGAGGGTGAGGAGTTCTTCGATATAGGGTGGGAGATGGCGTTTAGCAAAGGAGTTGGCGTTTTCAATCAGAGTGCTCTTTGCCTTTTGGATCACTTCGCCGATACCATGCAGCATGTTGTGTTTTCCTTGCAAGGTTTTCAGGCCATCCTCTTTCATGATGCGGTCGAGGAAGGAGGAATCGTCCGACAGGTCGACGTTTTCGGGCTTGTTCCGAGCTTTGCTGAAGTCGAGCTCCTGGTTCCCGACCCATTTTTGCAGAATGGCGAGCTCCGTGTTGATGAGAATGGTGGTATTGTGCCATGCAAAGACAGCCTCCCAGCTCGAGCGGTACTCCTCGGAGGCCACACGAGGATGGGCCGTCTCTAGCTCCTTAGACGTAGAATAGAGGCCCTCGCATCTTTCAATCTGTTCGACTATGTCCTCGACCTGCTTGATGGGAGGTTTGCCGATCTCCGTCTCCCCCTTTATCTCAAACTTGATGATCTCTTCGATGATGGGGTCCAGTCCAGCACGGGCCTCCTCGATGAGCTTTTTCTGCAGGGCAATGCTCCGCCCACATTGTTTGGCCCGCACTCCCAGCCATATGGCGCTATTCTGGGCGGCGGACCTCTTCGACTCTGCCGAACCCAGAAGACGCTGCTTTTCTTGTTTGACGACGTCTCCCTTTAGGACCGAGGCCAGCATGGAATGCCACTCGAGTCTTTCCTGGTTCTTCGGGTTCTTGAGCTCCTCGATGGTGGGCTGGTTGTCGTCGGTGAGAAACAGCTGGATATCCGGATCGTAGGCGTCATCTTCGAAGGGGACTTCTGAAGAAGGGGAGGGCTCCTCCAAATCCGAATCTCCCACCGCAATGCTCATGTTCTGGGCTTCGTCAAAGTGGCTGTACCATGCCTGGGGATCGGCACGAATGCGTTGGACGTAGGCTTTTTCCTGAGCTTGGTACTGTGCGTTGGGGTCGCGCCTGGAATTTCTCTTGGACGAGGACGAACGCTGGCGGTCATTCTGGAAGCTGATGTATTGGGGTGGGCGTCGCTGGGGCGCGTAGGTGTTCGAAGGTGTCCTGGCGGGGCCAGAGGGGCGTTGGGGGCGAATCTCAGGAGTCGCACCGTCGGCGGAGGGTAACTTGTCCATGACCACAGGTGTGCCAACACTGGCGCCACGGGGACGTGAAGTGGTTGAGCTCCAGGTCGCGACATGGGAGGGCGGAGGCGACGAGGCGATTGTGGAAGCTGGGGTATGCACTGAACTGTCGAAGGATTCGGTGAAGGTGGAGCTTGCGCGGGCATAGGGCTGCTGCATCAGCTCATCGGACGACCCGGAGCCATCCGAATCGTGGTTATTCATGTCGGAATGGTCCATGATCTGGAACCCACGGTCTTGGAGAGACTCCATGTTCGCATGGTTGAGTTGAGAGGAAGCGGGCCGATTGATGGGGGAGGAGAGCCTTAGGCGGAGATAGGGGTGTGGCGATGCAGATCTGTGTGGCTTGCATGGGACTTTTGCCCGCGCGCCAAACGGCGTACTGGAGGGTGAATACGTGGCAAATGGGATCGGATTAGTAGATAGGGATAGGGTCTTTTTGACGAGAAGGAGTACTAGTGATAATCTGCGCCTGGGCACGGTGTGAGTTGTCTGGAGCAGACGTGACATGTACAGATGACTAAGCTGGTGTATGAGTGCATGCACGACTGAATATATATCTTCCAACATCTTATGCCCTGTAGATACATAGTGTATCACTTTGTCCGACCACCTCCAACACGTTGCATATTTCATGGCACTTAATGTCTGATGGCAGACACAGCTAGCATATTACGTAGGTATACATAATAATATATACCTAGTCTTCTTCGATCTGGGTACTACTGTACTATAAAGACGAACATGTTTTCTATAGAAGAGCCCCACCATATTCGGGAAATTGACTAGTGACTAGCCTTATTATTGCTTTTGGTCACTCAAAAATATGAAATAGCGTAGTGTTTTTCTGAGAATGCAAGCAGTCTAAGAGTACTACGTAGGTACTAAGTTGTAAGGGAGGTGTATATACACGACCGGCTAGTCCCTTTTGGGAGAGACACTGCCAAGCCCGCTAACCCCCGATCTGTCGGGATGCCGATGGACGGACCAATAACGACAAGACGACTTATCGACGGCCAACGGTTGGATGAATTCCTTTGTCCATTCTTCCATTCTTGACCACTTCGTACTTTGTTTCTCATGGACAAGACGAACACCAGAGATCCGGGGTGGTTCGACAAGTGGAGGCTGTCAGGTACAGTCTCCAGACAGCCCTACCGTGACCGAATGGAGTCCCTACGGAGTCTAGCCGTTCTACTATAGATCTCCCGATTGACAATTGATCGATGCTCGGATTGAGATTCTCTCCCGTCGAGAAAGAGACAGCCTCCCGCGGAGGTTGTTCAGGTGTCCAGTGGATTGGATTCCCGAGACAGACTTCATCTATCGACGACAGGTTGATATCGATATAACTACCTGGACATGGGGGAAACTCTTAATAACCAGACACGCGCGATAAGCCGCCCACCCGCCGTGCTGATTGGTCTCCGGGAGCTTGTGATAAGCACTGATACGGGAGCAGCTCAACTCTGTTGCCTCCGACAAGTTCGTCCATGGCGGAATGTCGCTTCTCACGACTTTCTCGCAGCAATCGGGGTCAAGACGTGCGGCGCTTCTTGGTCTTTATGTGACAGCCTGTGAGGGACGGCGACGTCCCCGACGATCTCTCCACGCGGTGGAGGGTCCAGGGCCCTGGCATGAACGATATTGAACTTTGCTGCGCGTCTCTCTCGGGATGACTGTATCATATCCAACGTTGATAAGGTCTCGGACGACCGTCTCTCATTGGACCCGGACCGCTTCCTATCTACAGCCACGCCCCGTGGATGAAGGATCAGCCAATCTCTCCCTGATATCGATCCAAACCTCCGGGTTGCGCCGTCCCTTGCGCTTCCTGCGTAGTAGTACGTAGATGCCTCCGGAAGCGTGGAGGCAGTGGGATCCTCCTGCATGAAACCATCGACCATTATCGATGCTCCAAAAGCAAAACAGACAATCGAAAAAGAAACGATAACTGACTCAGGCAGCTGAGCTAACAGCAATCTCCCAGCTATCTGCATGCCATCAGATGAGCCCTTTCTCCGCCGACCCTCGTAATCCTCCTCCGGCTTGGCTTTGATATCAGTCCCCTTCCAATAATATTCTAACCCAATCTCTGCCTGATCCATGGACACCGGCTGTAACTAGTGTCAGACAGTGGTGTGGGTTCGGTCTGTCCAGGGTCTGGCTTTCTGACTGGTATCCGCGCTTGCATATTTATCAAGTCTGCGTCCGGCCCCTGTCGTCCTCTCCTTTTTTTTTCGATACATCTCCCTTTTCAACCTTAGGCACACCCAGCTTGGTTATTCCGTTCAATCTCGTCTGTTGCTGTCCGGTGGCATCCATTCATTAGTTGACCTCTCTTTCGTCTGGGAGGACCTCCCTACATACGTCCACAGCTACAAACCCTTAGCCATGGCTACTTATCCCGTTCCCTACAATGGGTCGGCCACTGGTACCGGCGGGGACTCCTTGACGGAGGACCTGAACATTTACTACAGCGTGGGTGCCCTTGAATTCGACCGTGATCGCGTGTACTAACTATACGTAGTCCGGTGATATCGCTTGGGTCATTACGTCCACCGCCCTGGTCTTGCTCATGATTCCTGGCGTCGGGTATGTATACAAGTCCCGAAGTTGAAGTTATATGCTGACCGGCAAGATTCTTCTACTCCGGTCTCGCTCGCCGAAAGTCCGCCCTCTCGCTGATATGGCTATCGATCATGTCCGTCGGCATGGTGTCGTTCCAATGGTTCTTCTGGGGATACTCACTGGCCTTCTCACACACCGCCGGGTCGTATATTGGAGACCTGGCCAACTTTGGATTCAAGGGCGTCCTGGCTGCCCCCTCAGTGGGTAGCACCAAGGTCCCTGATCTCCTCTTTGCGGTGTTCCAGGGCATGTTTGCCTGCATTACGTGAGTCCCAATCCATCCACATTACAACACGGACGTCTCCTAACCATCCAAGTGTGGCACTGGCTGTCGGTGCCGTCGCCGAGCGTGGTCGCATGCTGCCCTGCATGGTTTTCGTCTTCATCTGGTCCACCATCATCTACGACCCGATCGCGTGCTGGACATGGAACGCATCCGGCTGGGTGTACAAGCTGGGCGGCCTCGACTTTGCAGGTGGTACTCCCGTCCATATCGCCTCTGGGGCCACCGCCTTGGCCTACTCCCTGATGCTAGGAAAGCGTCGGGGCCACGGAACTCACGAGCTCAACTACCGCCCTCACAACGTCACTCATGTGGTCATCGGCACTGTCTTCCTCTGGGTGGGATGGTTCGGGTTCAACGCTGGGTCGGCCCTGAGCGCCAACCTCCGGGCTGTCATGGCCGCCGTCGTGACGAACCTGGCTGCGTCCGTCGGTGGTGTCACCTGGTGTCTGCTGGATTACCGGTTGGAGAGAAAGTGGTCGACCGTCGGCTTCTGCTCCGGCGTGATTGCGGGCCTGGTTGCCATCACCCCTGGGTCCGGGTTCGTGACTCCGTGGGCGGCGTTCATCTTCGGCGTGGTCGGCGCTACCGCTTGCAACTACGCCACGAAGCTCAAGTATGTCATGCGCGTTGACGATGCGCTCGATATCTTTGCCGTGCACGGTATCGGTGGTCTGGTGGGCAATCTCCTGACCGGACTATTCGCTGCGTAAGCTCTCTCCCGCGCGACTTGTCATTCGACTCCTAACGATATACAGTGACTACATTGCCCACCTCGATGGCGCCACCACGATCAGCGGAGGCTGGATCAACCACCACTACATCCAGCTCGGATATCAGCTGGCGGACTCGGTGACTGGCATGGCCTACTCCTTCTTCGGCAGCTGCATCATCCTCTTCCTCATCAACCTTATCCCAGGCCTGCGCCTGCGTGCCCCGGAGGAAGATGAGATCATGGGTATTGACGACGCCGAGATTGGCGAGTTTGCTGTATGTCTTTCGATGTATCCTTCCGCGTTCCAGGCTAACCGTTCACAGTACGACTACGTCGAGATCACCCGCGATGTCATCAGCACCGCCAACAGCGAGGTGGGCGAGAACGCGTCCAAGCGGAGCATCACTCCCCCGGCTGGAAACCATACCGCCGTGGAAGCGAAGGTTTAGACGATGCCTCGCCTAATGCGATACCCATATACCCGTTCTTTCGATTAAACTTAATATTGCGTCAGGGTGATTGTGTGCCCGGCTTGCAGTTACGTTGTTGTACATACCATGCTTCCACTTATCCATTTCCTTCTTTGTGTATTGTCCAACTATGAGCTGTCGCCGAAGCGAAGAGTATATAGGACGGACCCGTACATCTCTTCATCCTTTTGGGTATTAGATATGTAATCTGCCTCCAGGCTTTGCTTTCATTCGGCTACTTTTAGAAACATCGGCCAAAGCCCAGAGAGCCTGTATGCATTGACTGCTGGTAAAGCCGGGCACGTGCAGCGGATGCATAATCCACCGGATAAGTACTATGGGACATCTTTATCACTCCAAGCCCTCACACCAATAGATACGTATCAACAAACTCCAACCACCAGCACCTGGGGACGCCCGAACATTGAAACATGAGAATTTATTCCTATGTCACTTGGTTCAAAGAAGAGGACTACATTGGCACTGTGGTGTCATTTCCATCGGGTTCATGGAAGCTGGACCGCAAAATCACCGAGAACGAATCATTCAATTCCCAAACCGAGTGGGAAACCTACAAACTCTGCTCCGAGGCGCGCGCGGTCTTCTTCTGCTCGAAGGTATCAGGCGACGGCCCATCAGACGCTGTGATCAAGATCCACATGCAGTATGTCGGCCCTATCCCTGCGTACGACAACATAGCAAACCGCTAACATTATCAATAGAATTCCCTGGATAGACACAATCAACAAGGGACCAGCGATCCGTGCCCAGCAAGCATGTTCTGGACGGTTCTCCAGTGCTCGCGGAGAGGTGCAGGCTCTGTCAATTTTTACGAAGAAAAACTGCTCCAGCACGCCTACACTCCCGGACTCCAAACACATCAGACAGGCTGGTGATCAATGGATCCCGCGCGGGTTCATGTGGTATATTCTGATGGAACGCCTGCCCGGGATCAACCCCGAACTACCTTTTGAGCGCGAGATGGATCGCGCAGAGAGAGACGCTCTGCGAGCGGCGTTTAAGGTCGCGTGGCTGTGAGGACTCTCCTCTTTCTCCCCTTACCCTTTCCCCAGGCGTTCTCTGTGGTCTTGTTGAGTATCGAGTAAAAGTGTCTGACTTGTTCAGTGAGTGTGTCGCTTGCGGCATAGCCTATGCAGATGCAGCATCACGAAATCTTCTTTGGGACAAGGAGCACAATAAATGGTCAGTCGATCCGCCATGTTACTATCGCTCTTTTCTAACAGTTTGTCGGCTCAGTTACATCCTGGATTGGGAAAATTACTACGAAGCAGGAGATACGGATGTCTGGCAAGACAGCCACTATATCCGTTGGCACCTCGCAAGAGAGGGGAAATCTAACAACTACGACGACATGTCTGATTGGATTTTGTAGAACTAGATTTTGCTAATCAACCATACACCATTGTTGATGATTCAATCATTTATACACTACCTACTGCACAACAAACGGCTCCGCATGCTTCTTATACAGCGTGCTCGAATCCAACAGCTCCCCCGTCGACGACCGGATAAAGTCCACCTGGAGATGATTCTCGTCCAAGAACCGCAACGTACTGTAGCTGTAATCATCCGCGTAGGCAAATGCCGTATAATCCGGCTTGGTGCCAATCGAGGTCAGTCCCTCAATATTGCCCGCCCCACCAGCAACGATATACATCGGCGCCTTGGGGTCGCGCATGCCGTTGGGGTCAGCAGTGCCGTTAACCACAGGCATGAAGCGCTGCGAGTTGTGCTCATGACCGAACACCCCCAGATCCACGCCGTAGCGGTACATCAGACCCTCGAAGGCGGCCTGGCACGGCGCGCAGGCGTTCCCCGAGCCGGTGGTGTACCAGGGCCGGTGGCCGGCGACGACGAGCCAGGGGGTGACGGAGCGGTCGACGCTGGCGAGGTCGGCTTTCAAGAACTCGAGCTGCTGGTGCGGCGTGCCAAAGGGTCCGCCGCCCAGGCCGGCGGATCCGCCCTGGCCGTCGGGAGCGTCGGGGAAATCAGTCTCGGTGTTGATCATGACGACGTGCACCATGCCATATTCGAAGGAGTACCAGAAGGGCGGCTTGGCGAGGCTCTGGGCGCGGCGGGCGAGCGCCTGCGCGGTGCCGTTGCTGCTGCGGCTGGAGGAGGGGAACGCCGTCGGCATGGTGGTGCCGAAGCGCTGGAGAAAGTCGGTGAAGTTGTGCTGGCCCTCGGGACAGAGCCCGCTCGTGTAGGGGATCTCCTGGCATGCAGCTTCGTGGTTGCCCGGGCTGGCCATGTAGAGCTTGCGGCCGGCGATGGGGGCCAGCTGGTCGTAGAACTGCTCCAGGATGGCCTGGTAGGCTTCCTTGCCGTGCAGGAGGTTGGCGGGGGTCAGGAACCAGTCATCGGCGTAGGCGAAGTCGCCCGGGTGGATGATGAGCTCGTAGTCGTCGACGGTTTTGGCCAGGCGGCCGATGGTGGTGTGGTTGAGCTCGGGCTGGATGTTCGGGATAGTGTCCCGTTTGGCGTTGTCGGAGGCGATGGTGTAGCCGTCTCTACCGTAAACGCCGAGATCGATGACCGCGTTCATGTTAAAGGGCGTTTTGTCTCCCGCTGAGCGGGGACTGAGGAAGTGGTCCACGCTGGAGTTGGTCGATACGATCTTGTAGTAGTAGGTGGTGGCGGGCGTCAGATCGGTCAACACCACCACGTTGGAGTAAGTCCGGGAGGTTGCGTAGGTCGTCGGCGAGGACGAGCAGGCTTTGGATGGCAGATTGTCCTCTGAGAGACCATATTGAACGCAACTCTGGTTGAGTTTGACGTATGTGTTCCATCCAACGGACACCGCTAGGGGAAGCGTTAGCTGAGTATATAACAATTCTGCGTCATACATCAAGACCGTTCATACCATTTGGACCGTATACCGCCAGACGCTGCTGGACTGGAGTAGTCACATCCTGAGGAATGGCTGGATAGTTCACCCGGGCGAGGGTACAGGTCGCCCCGATCAATACCGACTGGACGATGGTAGTAATCCCAACCATGACTGTTCGGTCTGATGCCACTGACAGACGACGGATCGCTGCATGATGGGCGTCCCGCCCAACGGCCAGCATCTTATACACTCCCTCATTGGAGACTGATCAGGTACCAGGGACATGCCTCGGTCTTGTCCTAACCGAACAGGCCAATCATGCCTGTCCCCAACTGCACGCAGCTCACGAGGTCCATTTGGATGCAGATCGCGCGGAGACCGAGTCGTTATGAGGGTGAAGCCCGAGAGTGCAGGTGAGGGAGTGGTGAGTGGGTAGATGAGTGGATGTTCGGATGACGGACGAAAGATGGGCCCGATGAGACTAGCGGCAGCACGTGGACACGCAGCGAACGATGAACGGTCGTTTCCATTATCAAACGAGTACTCGGAGTCCGTCGGATGTCGACCTACGGAGTAGTATAGTACCTAAGGCATGCTTTTAAAACTATGTGCTATTCCATTTCAATAGGTTCAACGGCTCCCACACACAGAGAGAGAGACCTTCAAAATAATTAAGAACAGAAAAGAAATTAAGAGCGCTCAAACAAAATCATTCACCGACCCTGTCCCGTCGTCCAGGTCAACGTCGTCGAAATCGGGCTTATCACGGGTATTACTCTGAGCAGGTCTCAATTCAACACGATGGAGCTGTTTACTCCTCGCCCTCCAGGACCTCGTCCTCGGCGTACTCCTCCTCGCCCTCGGAGATGGAGGCGTCCTGGTACTGCTGGTACTCCGAGACCAGATCGTTCATGTTGCTCTCAGCCTCAGTGAACTCCATCTCGTCCATACCCTCGCCAGTGTACCAGTGCAAGAAAGCCTTGCGACGGAACATGGCGGTGAACTGGTCGCCGACACGCTTGAAGAGCTCCTGGATCGAGGTCGAGTTACCGATGAAGGTGGATGACATCTTGAGGCCGCGGGGGGGAATGGAGCACAGAGCAGTCTGGATGTTGTTGGGGATCCACTCCACGAAGTAGGACTGGTTCTTGCTCTGGATGTTGCGCATCTGGTCCTCGACCTCCTTCATGGAGACCTTTCCGCGGCTGCCACACAAGTCAGTAACAGGTCAAACACAACAAAAACAAAACCACGTACAAGATAGCGGAGCAGGTGAGGTAGCGGCCGTTGCGGAAGTCAGAAGCAGCCATCATGTTCTTGGGGTCGAACATCTGCTGGGTCAACTCGGGAACGGAGACGGCACGGAAGGAGTGGGCGCCACGGCTGGTCAGAGGAGCGAAGCCGACCATGAAGAAGTGCAGACGAGGGAAGGGAACCATGTTGACAGCCAGCTTGCGGAGATCCGAGTTGAGCTGACCAGGGAAACGGAGGCAGGTGGTCACGCCGGACATGACAGCGGAGACCAGGTGGTTCAGGTCACCGTAGGAGGGGTTGGAGAGCTTGAGGGTGCGCATGCAGATGTCGTACAGAGCCTACTTCCGTTAGTGTACTGCTCTCGTCATGATTACTCCTGTATGGCAGAGATTCCAAAGCGTACCTCGTTGTCGATACAAAAGGTCTCGTCGGAGTGCTCAACGAGCTGGTGGACGGAAAGGGTGGCGTTGTAAGGCTCAACCACGGTGTCGGAGACCTTGGGAGAGGGAACGACGGAGAAGGTGGCCATCATGCGGTCGGGGAACTCCTCACGGATCTTGGAGATAAGGAGGGTACCCATACCGGCACCGGTACCACCACCGAGAGAGTGGGTGATCTGGAAACCCTGGAGGCAGTCGCAAGCCTCAGCCTCGCGACGAACAACATCGACAACCTGGTCGACGAGCTCGGCACCCTCGGTGTAATGACCCTTGGCCCAGTTGTTACCGGCACCAGACTGGCCGAAGACGAAGTTGTCGGGACGGAAGAGCTGACCGAAGGGACCGGCACGGACGGCGTCCATGGTACCGGGCTCAAGGTCAACGAGGACGGCACGAGGAACATACTTGTTTCCGCTGGCCTAAAGGGGATCGAAATTAGTGTCGAGGTCTTTGGAGCGTGGAGAATCTGTCCCAGGATGGTGTGGAAGGGACGTACCTCGTTGAAGTAGACGTTCATGCGCTCGAGCTGGAGGTCGGAGGAGCCATTGAAGCTGTTTCCACATCAGAATCGTCCATCGTCGTGTAAACCTCCATTATGGGAGCCCATTGAGCGGGCGTCGGTGACACTTACACACCGGAGCCATCAAGGCCGTGCTCGCCAGAGATGGTTTGCCTGTACAGTTGTCAGCATCATGCCACCACAGAACCCTTTTTAGCCCGAGGACGCATGTCCGTAAGTCTCTGCATCCCACGAGAGCCAGCATTCCCCAGGTTGATTCCAGACGTACCAGAAAGCGGCACCAATTTGGTTACCCTATCACCACCACCCAGTTCAGTCTCTGTCACAAAACATCCTATCCCCATCCTCATCGAATGGACACGGTCGCACTTACACACTGGCCGGTTTGCAGATGAACCTATGATCACGAAGAAGAAAGAATGTTAGTCAATCCATCCAAAGTTTCTCCAGGAACGGGTGGGGTTGGACTTCAGAGAGCAGCCCAAAAGAGACGCGTCGGGGGGAGAGGGGAACAGGGGGATCGGGCACAACATACGATCTCACGCATTGTGGAAGGATGGTTAACGGGGCTGTTCAGATATAAGGATCACGAAAGGGGGGAGGAAGTGGTGCAGAATTGGAGGGAAACAAGCTGGAGAGTGGACGTGGAGAGAGGATCCAGGAGGAAGAGAGGGAAGAGGAGGAAAAGGGAAAGGTCGTTGGGTTGAAGGCGAGTTGAGCGGTGAGAGGAGATCCCGTTGTGCGGGCGTCTCAGGGATCAACAAGTCGAGGCGATGTAAATAAGGGGGAGGGACGCCTGGGCCCAGTTGGGTTTAGCGCAAACAGGAACGAACCACACTTGCCTGTTTGGGCGACACCAGTTGACAGACCATTAAACACCAGGTACTATGTAGTACTACTAGGTATGTGGTTATCCTAAGGGTAGTAGATTCAATTCTCTACAACTACTCCAAATCTCTCACTTCGCCGTGTTCTCCACCGTGTGAGAGCTCTCCAGCCATGTCCCAAACTCATCCAGTCGTTGTTCCTCCTCGTCCTCCGCGTCAAAGCCCTTCTCCGCCAAATCTTCCAGCGCCGCCCGCTTCTCATTGGTCTTCTTAAACCGCTCACTGCCGTCCGAGATGTAGGCCTCGACCCGTGTTCCTGCAAAGTAACGGCCATCCATGACCTATACCTCATGTTAATGCCATCGTCGTCCATATGTTGCTAGAGTTGAGGGGGTAAACCTACCCGAACACAGTTCCGCGCCGCCTCTGGATCAGCAAAGCGAACACTAACCACACCTTCGGGCTCCTTATCATATAACACAACATTAGTGATTTCTCCCAACTTGGAGCATTCCTCTCGAATATCTTCCTTGATGTCGAGAATCGCCGCGGGATCCTCCTAAAATGACAGTCAGTGGACAAGATCATATTGCGTAATAGCAAGGCGGCCGTACATCCAGTTCCTTCAGAGTAAACATGTGCTTGAGGATGACAATCTTCTCGAATCGGGAGTTGGTGTCGGGCAGCGCAGACGGCTCATCATCATCCCAATCCGCCAATTTACTACCCCGTCATTAGTTCGACCACTCCAACGTTCATGTCTGGTAGCCCGTACCTGTTGAGCTTCTGTGTACGCTGCATAATCTTCCGCTTGTCTCTCATGCTGGTCTTGGTTGGCGCTTCTTTCTGACTCTTGAAGGAAAAGTCCGCAGCCTGGACCTTCATAGGTCCCTGCGGGCCGGTCACACCAAGTCTGAAATCAGAGTCGTCCAGCATCTGTATGGCGAGGTTGACCGATTCCGGCCGGAAGTACACGATCAGAGCTTCTCCCTTGAACTTCCCCTCGTCATCCATGTACATCTTGATTCGCGGACGACCACTGTCGATCTCCTCCGCGATGACGCCGCATTTAGAAAAGACATGTTGAATCTCCTCGAAATCCGCGTCGAGAGGGATGGAAGTCACGTAGACGGCGGTGTTGACGCGCTGCTTCTTCTGCTTGTTGCCCTGCATGTCGGTCATATCGTCGGTTAGCACGGACACAGCCAGTGCACCATAGGAAAAAGATTGACTGACCTCGTCGGAATTCGTCTGCTGCTTCCGTTTCTTCTTCAATTGCTGAGCGGTGATTTGCTCGTTCTCGTCCACACCCTCGACTTTGTAGGCTTCTTGTTGTTTCTGGAGCAAGTCTTCGTCGACCTGGAGAACATCCACGGCGCGCAGGAAATCAGTGTCATGAACCAACCAAGATCCCATGCAGTGATAGCTATGCCAGCATATGTGCAACGGAACAGAGGTTTTCCACGGATGGACCGTGCTGCGGCGACGTGCTGCAACAGGAAAAGAAACCAAACAGCAAGGCAGGAGGAGCTCAACAGCCGGAAAACACAGGAGGAATGGCCCAGCTGGAGAGAAGGCGCGCACACACCGTCGGAATCCACCGCTTCAAGACCGTATCGAATTCAAATTCCTGTCCATCTTCCGTTTCCAAGATAAATTTATTGTCGAGTTTCGAGAACGAGATGCGCGGGTCGCTGTCAAATTCGGAGGGGTCCTGGGGGAAGCTGCTGAGTGGCGGCGGAGCGCCTTCGGGAGTCGGCGACGCCATGATGGCGGGAGGAGAATAACGGAAGGGGAAGAAACAGAGGCTAGAAGAAAGGACAAAGGGAATATAGAACGAGGGCCGTTCCACAGTGTGGAGGAGCTAATTGAATTGGGAGTTCCTGGAGGGAGAGGTGTGTTCGATGGGAACTTCGCAGGAAGCTAGAGATCTCCATCCGGCCAAGTTAATTACCTAACCTTCCCCAGTCTACGGAGTACGCAGTACCTCGAGCTCTGCAGCTATCCCTCAGCCATTTTTAATAGTATATAACTCCAAATCCGGGATTCCAACAATTGGACGTTCGATTAGAGGGTGAATTTGCTCCACAAGATATTAAGACCGTCGTTTCCATTTCCCTCTTTCACTTTATATCGAGACCGAAAGGGTGACGTAATGGACTGCTGCTATACAGACAGATACTGAACAAACCAGACACAAAAACGTTAATACTACTATGTACAACAACTCACACAATCAGAGTTTAGATTTCTTACCCCCTCGAATTGAGCCACCTTCACCACAGCCAGTCTCACTCCAGGCTCGTTCAATCGCTGTCCAATACCGCAGCCCATCTGCCATCACCAATGCGCAGTGAGGGCCGTGTTCGAAGCAAACCCCATCGACGGGGAAACCTTTCGCGCGAGCAGCATCCATGTGTCGCTCGACATCCAGCCATCGGACCATCTCGTCCTCCTGTGAGTACAAGTAGAGTCTCCGCGCGGCGACCCCGAACAAAGTGGGGTCGTTGAGCTCGGATCGTAAATCCGCCACGGAGTGCATCACTCCAATGTGTTGGAGACTGGTGATCATCCCCATCGTTGGATAGAGCAACAACCTGCCAATCGTGTTGGCGGGCTGCGTGCTGGGAAGGGAGAGCGCGGCGGCATTGTAAGAGCGGCCAAATGCGTTGTCCCCCGGACAACAGTCGAAAACGACGAGTTGGAGCGTGGAGAGGAAGCTGGTATCGTTGGGTTCTTCACTTATCGAGCGGACAAGCTGGGCGGCTGTGTTGCAGCCCCCATGGGAGAAGATATGGAGGAGGGTCGTGGGCGCATTGTTGGACGAGAGGATACGCCTGATGGCTGCGCGGGCTGGGGCCAGTCCGCGACGGATCGCTTGAAAGGAGCGAACGGTGATATCAGAGAAATTAGCAGTGATGAGAAGAATGTAGGCACTCGGGAACCGTCGTTGATATTCAGTCGTGTATTTGGAGATTCTGCGAATGGTTGCGCCTCCCAGCCATGTGCATAGGATGATCAGCGTGGGCGATACGGAGCGTTCGATATGCGGTGATGTTGGTTGGTAGAGATATATATTCTGGCTAAGCCGAGTGAACGCTTCCAATGAAGACGTGTCCATCTTGTGATGGCTGATATTGGCGGTCGACTGTACGTGCATCGATGTACGGAGTATGTTGATTAGAGATAGTTTGTTGAGGTTGAGAAATTGATTAATTAGTTGGGGCCGAAGCATTATCCGTCACCAACGAACAGAAATATCCCTCATTACAACGAGATTGAATTTATATACGCAGTGTTTATATATTGTGAACTAACTCTGAAAACAAAAAGTTCAAATGAACCGAAATGCATGCTTTGCCATATTTTCATGATCTACCCAGTCTGATAAAACGGAAGGAAGGTGCAAACGTAGATGTCGGGAATATAGCTCAATCTTGGGTATAATCAGCGAACAAGGAATCTCGACTCAAGAAATATGCGCTTCGTGTGGTATGTGCTGCGTGTGTTATGTGCTGCGTCCGGTAGTGCCTCAATGGAACGGACATTTACCAGTCCGAGAGGTCTTCAGTTCTTCTATGGTCTGGTTCAAGGCCTTCCGTCCTTTGCCTTCAAAATACTTCGGACCGACATCGGGGATGAAATAGCCCTGTGGGTAATACTTGTCGCCACCATCACCAGGTAGAGGCAGCCCGAGTGCCCAGGTCAACCAAGCAACTGGTCCCCATCGGTTCCAGAAGGTGGGTTTGACATAATAAGGGGCCGCATCCCACTGAGTGATGAAGACGCGTTCATTCTCGTCCTGCTCTTCAGTGAAGTTGCTGAAGCGGAGGAAATACGGCCGAGGAAGCGCCAGGTAGCGCAAGGCGAATCGACGAGCGGACAGCAGCAAGGAGAAGAAACGTGCGTACGAAGGTGGTGGAGGCTCATAGCTGGTGAGTTGCGTGAGTAATCTGATGTTGGCACTAAATTCCATTGGGTGCTCGAGTGATCTGCACTTACAACATGGCCTTCCGTAGCCGATCATCCATCATAAAAGACACGAACTTCAGTCCGATGTGCTTAAGCGGCCCAGGGAGCATGTACACCAACACGGCGGTGGTCTGGTCAGCGACTTCGCGGTTCTTTGCATCAGGCAGCATGCACCGCACTTCATATTCGTCGCTCCAATCGGAGATCTCCTCTAACCAGTGAAGCCCATCCTGCCATCCCTTCTTGGAGGACGGGAGAGCGTCGTAACTGATGCGCAGCCCGTCTCCCAGGCTCTTCCAGAAAGTACCAATCGCACACTTCTCGAGATCACTCAATTTACGCCACTCGAATTTCTCGATGAACCTCACCGGCTGGATCGCAAACAGGCCGAGCGTGTATAGCATGTCGTCTTCGGAGATCTTCCCCGCAGACCGATAGCCGCTGTGGATCCAGCGCGTTCGGGCGATCGACTCCAGGACGCGTTTTGAGGATGGGGCGTGACCCATGAATTCCTGGACCAAAGCGCTAGTATCAGTGTAGCGTTTGAGTGACGTGTCGGGATTAGAGAATTGGCTGGTAGTGGTGAGGAGTCTGGAGATAGTGGGTATGCCATAGGTCTTGGGGGGCCATTAGCACAAGATATCTACAGACATTCAAAAGCCAGATATGATACGGGCCAGTACGTACCCTGAACAATGCGAACTGAAGAGCCTTGACAAATATAAAGGGGAACTCCAGCTCCAGCATAGCCTTTTGGATCTCCCATGCCTCATCATCCGTCATGCGGGAGAGAGACGCCCGAGTTGGGTAGTTGTACTTCTTGTGAAGCCATTTCAGACGACGAAAGCGAAGAAACGACACGAGAACGGGGTATGCTGCTACAATCAAAAAGCCGTATGAGAGAAGCTGGCTGGAAGTGATATCAAGGGGTTTCCCCCGCAAGTTGAGCCAGAGGCTCTGGAAGCCACCAGCGTGGGACTGGGTGCTGTTATCCATCGTCTATGACAACGAGGAGGTTGACATGAGAGATACGAGACAGAAGAGGGTAGAGCGCAGAGACCACTTGAAAGTCGGTGTGGAGAAGAGAAGATACGAGGAGTTGAGAGAGATCAAACCATCCAAACAAGCCCCCCGCATGAGTTGAGCTTCTCCACCATCTGAACCACTCGCCGCTCTTCACCTACTCCTCCGTACTCCATCTATGGATGCACGCGCGAATCTCGGCTGAAATTGGTCTTTGCTTCGGACTATGGTGAAGATCATCAATCTGGTGCCTCGTATCTTCTGTTGTATGTGAATCCTTCACGGAAAAATGGCCAGTTGATTCGCTGGTGCGGCTTCTTGCGGACCTCGGCAGTGGCCGTTTCTTATGAACGCGATCCGCACAAAAGATTGGTAGAGGAGTCCAAATGATGAACCGCTCTTATTTGGATCATCTGTGATCAAAGTAAACTGAGGTTTACGTTTGGATCCTTCGGACCCGTCATCGTGCAGATTTGTCGCAGTGCTCGGCGGAAGGAAGCCGCGAGGCCATTTGAAAATCATCCGACACTTGCATGCTGTAATATCCGACTCTGTCAAATACCTACAGTTGCTACATGCCGATGAACTTCGGAACTCCGGTCGATCAGGCAGCTGTCGATTATGGCATTTTTCGGAGTCCTCACGTTGAAGTTCCCCGCGTTGCCTTACCCGCCCACGGATATCGCAAAGTAGCTGTACCTGTCGAACAACATATAGAAGCATGATACCCCTGCGCATGCACTGACAACAAGGTTATGTGCCTTGACGATGATTGTGGTGCGACTCGGCATGGTGGGCCACTCCGACAGCAGAGAAATCACTTTAATTACACTGTTCACCAGACTATCTACCGGCAGAAACCTGTTGTATTTCCACAGGCTTACACTGACTCACGCTCTATTGGTGGGAATGAAAGGTTCAAGGTTCCTGCGCCAGACAGCTCGGAGATCATTTTCAGAATAGCTAGACAAAAAGGCGTCCAGTGTGCGAGCTCCAGGGACAAAACAAGGTCATGGCTTCTGGGCCATCATCTACTTGTGAGGTCTCAAGATCGAATCTTACGACTGGTCGGATGTGACTTGACGCGATCGGTGTTTTGATCTGGACTGCATCTAGTGGGCCCTAATGTCCTGAAATGGTTTCCTGCAGCTACTCCGTAGCCATGGTAACTCTCAGCAGCTGAAAGTCAACGTCAACAATAATCTGATGGGGAACTTTATCACATTGCAGACTCCCCACTGAGGACTTCCTAGGAAGCTAATCCGACTTCCAAGCCAACCAAACTTTAGGAATCATCTATCATGGATCCACTGATGACATCCTGTTTCATTATGCGCCATTGACCCTCGACGTTGTCCTGGTTACTGAATTGTCCTGGTTTCATTCAGTAACTCCCGGACCATTTCCGCTGCTGTCTTATTGAAAAGAGATGTGCGCGGGATTTCGTGGCGTCCATGATGAGTATAGGTTCTCCGTTTGGTTGACTCGCATATACCAGAGAGCTCCACTGCGCACTCGAGACGCGGATCATTGGAGCCGTAGAAATGGGCCGTTGGGATGGGAATGCAGTACGGGCCTGCCATCTCGTCTCGGAGTTCCTCCTGTGTTATTTCTCCTTCCCGTAAAGATGGACTGACCCACCGTCCCTTTCTCGACTTGTGGAAACTATCATTTGATCTGGCTAGTGACGTCCGGGAAGCGCGGTCCCGTTGCTAGGAGTCCTCAGCGATATCAAAACCGAGACTGTCCATCACCGTCAGGGGCGGGCCCCCGCCGAAGAAAATGGCTGCCTTGAATGGTTGTGGCAGGCGAGATGTCTCTGCTTCATGCAGAAGCAGGGCACTTGCAACAAGAGTTCCTCCTTGCGAGAAGGACATCACTGCATCATAAGGCCCGTTCCGCTCAGTGTAGCCGAACAACCAAGAGCAACTACCACGGATTGTTGCTAGGCTGTCCTTTGACCAGAACTCGTAATATGGCGGGTCGTAGACCTGATCAATACCAGCAAACGGAGCGCTGGTGAATGGTGCATCTGGAAAGTCCCACTCAATATTCATGTCCAATAACATGAACGGAGACCCTCTTCCGTCGATTGATCATGTTAGCATGTGCACTCGGGCCATTTCCGCTGAAGAACTGACCAGTTTGTGACTTGAAAATATCCCCGCTACAACCCTTTCCGTGAAGACAGAGGACCCTCATCATGTTTCGTGAGGGGAGGTTGTTTGGTCAACTTGAGGACAGATGGCAGCACTGATCTCTAGCAGAAGGCAACATTGGAAGTACAGAAGCACTTGGACTGTATTGAGTGCCATGCATTCAGACCCAAGGAGCATCCGGATTATTATGGTATCATACATGGCCAGTGGCAAGAGGGACTTGTCTGTACTTGGACCGAGGGACAATCAGGGTTTGGCCAAGGGATCCATAGAGTGGAAACCCTCCCGATTTCCATCACAACTCCGAAAGGAAGACCCCATGTTAATTGGTAACACATATCATACCCCACAGTATTTATCCTGTTTTGAATCGTCCTCAGCCATGGATTATTGTGCAATGCATGTCACAGGCTCGTGCCCAGTTCTCTGCAGGAAGACAGGAGGTCTGGAACTCGATTTTCCAAGCCCTATCCGGTGTCTTCCGCGTCAACATCACATGGAACCGCGTCCAAGGTCAAGTGTAGTCGTTCACTAGAACCTGACTCCTTGAACGTATGATATGAATCCCTGCTGAGAGACGTAAGCTGACCTTCGTCTATAGTGCGCTATATAAAAGTCTTCTTACACACGACTAGCCAACCCTCTCATCATAGAATCACTCTGAACCCAATTGTACTTGGTTTTATATCACTGCCACTATGGATAACCCTTCTGTCATCGTCGGCATGGCCTGCCGTGTGCCAGGGGCCACTACACCAAGTAGACTATGGGACAATATCGTCCAGAAGAGAGACCTCTGGCGGAAGATGCCGAAGGACAGATTCAACATTGACGCTTTCTTTCACCCAGATGGAACCCACAAGGGAACGGTGCGTATGCCGCTTCTTGTTTCTCATAATGTACAAGTGCTAACGCTTGACCAGATTAATGCCAAAGGTGGCTACTTCCTTGACCAACCTCTTGGTCATTTTGACAATGAGTTCTTTCGCATTTCGGGTAAAGAAGCTGCTGCAATGGACCCTCAACAGAGGATCCTTTTGGAGGTGGTTTATGAAGCACTCGAGGATGCTGGGATCCCTCTGGAGGATGTCCGCGGGTCCAACACCTCGGTCTACTGTGGAACATTCACCAATGCGAATGATTACAACTCCTTGCACGGAAAGGATTTGGAGTACTACCCAACTTACGCCATCACTGGCACTGGTAATCCCATTCTGAGTAACCGTATCTCCTACTTCTACGGTTTTAATGGCCCAAGTATGACCATTGACACTGCCTGTTCATCCTCTCTTGTCGGCCTGCATCTAGGAAGTCAGTCACTACACAATGGGGAAGCAGCAATGGCAGTGATTGTCGGTTCTGCCCTTCAATTTGCCCCAAATGTATACCAGACCCTAGCCGACATGGGATTCTTAAGTAGCGACGGTCGCTGTCGTTCTTTTGATGCAGATGGCAGCGGTTATGTTCGTGGTGACGGAATATGTGCAATTATCCTCAAACTTGAACGCGATGCGCTTCAATGTGAAGACCGTATAAGAGCGATAGTGAGGGCCACAGCTACCAACCACGATGGGAAGACGGATGGGATCACGCTTCCATCCTCCGAGGCTCAAGAAGCTCTAATTCGTTCCGTCTACCGAAGCTCTGGGCTCGATCCTGACCATACCCAATTCTTTGAGGTAAAGCTGTTCTGTAGAGTTTGCACCGACTCCCCCTGCTGATGTACCTCTATAGGCCCATGGAACTGGGACCAAGGTCGGTGACCCTGGGGAGACCAGAGCTATAGGCTCTGTTTTTGCAACCAAATCGAGGGAAACTCCTCTCTTTGTTGGAAGTATTAAGGCGAACATTGGACATTTGGAAGGTAAATACAAACACTCCCCAGGTTTCTCGCAACAGCTAACCATCTGCCAAAGGTGCATCTGGACTTGCTGGTTTAATAAAGACTGTTTTGGCGATGGAGAATGGCATAATCCCTCCCAACATGCTATTCAATAAACCCAACCCTGACATTCATTTCAGAGAGTGGAAGATCGAGGTCCCCACTACTACAGTACCATGGAACAACAGCACCGGCATTCCACGGCGTGCAAGTATTAACTCCTTTGGGTATGGAGGGTCAAATGCACATGTCATATTGGAGGCCTATGACAACCCCCCTGCCTGCCCACGGACTCTCCCTGGAGTGGCAGTCGACAGTTATGACCGGCCATTTCTGATTCCAATTTCTTCCCACTCAGAACAGGGTGGGAAGCTGTCTGTCAACGCCTTGAAAGAATATATCGACAAAAAGACTGATCTGGATACCGAGAGCCTAGCATATAGTCTCAGTTCTAAGAGAACTATGCATGCCTGGAGATCATTTGCCGTTGGCCACGACCGATCCTCTATAATTCATGACCTGGACGTCCCGCGAACCACAGCTGCATGGAATACGGCGCCAAAGGAAGCTAATCGAGTCGGATTCGTCTTCACGGGCCAAGGTGCTCAATCCTTTGATATGGGGAGACAACTCATTCAGCAATCCCCGCTGTTTAAAAACACCTTGAGCAAATGTGACAATGTCCTCCAAAGTCTCCCTGATGGACCTTCATGGTCAATCATCAGGGAGCTCCTGCGTGACAAAGAAACCTCCAGACTAGGACAGTCTCAGTTTTCCCAGCCTATCTGTACTGCAATACAGCTTGCATTGGTGTGTCTGCTCCGGCAATGGGGTGTTGTTCCCACCGCAGTCTGCGGTCACTCATCGGGTGAGATTGCCGCTGCTTACGCAGCAGGTATACTTTCCCTAGATGCAGCTATCATAGTGGCCTACTACCGGGGCCTCCACATGAATGCAGGCATTGGTAAGTCTGGTGCAGGCGCCATGATGGCTGTGGGCATGAGTCGGGATGACGTCCTCGTTGAGCTTCAAAATTACCAAGAACGGTTGACCCTGGCAGCTATCAACAGCCCTACAAGTGTGACGGTCTCTGGTGATAGGGACGCGGTCGCTAACCTCCAGGCATCTCTGGAGCATCGCGGGATCTTTGTGCGGCTGCTCAAGGTTGAGCAGGCCTTCCACTCTCATCACATGTTCCCACTTGCTCCAGGCTATGAGCGCTCGTTGGAAGACAATCCATCATTTACTACGCATAAAGCCACCTGCCGCATGTTTTCGAGTGTCACAGCACGAGACCCGACTTCGCAACAAACGGATGCTTCCTACTGGGTACAGAACATGGTACGCCCTGTGCGGTTTATGGACGCTCTAGTCGGGACTGTGCTCGATGAGGATGAAGAGCAAAACGTCGACTTACTTCTAGAAGTTGGACCACATCCCGCTTTGAAAGGCCCTTCTCGCGAGATCTTGTCTGCGCTGAAGCTCAATATCCCGTACTTTGGTACCCTCGCACGAGGTGTGCCTGCCTACGAAAGCCTTCTCGAAGCTGCCGGCCAGCTGTTTGCTGCTGGATACCCCGTGAATCTTGAGGCTGTGAATAAGAACCACGCCATAATTGGTGATTCAGTTGTTGAAGAGTCTAATGCTACCAGACTCCATGACCTTCCTTCATACTCCTGGAACCATAAAGACCATTGGTTCACAACACGTTTGGTTGACGAATATCTTCATCGACCATGGAGACACACTTTGCTCGGCGCCCCCGTACCAGGTGCTGCCAAAAGCATGCCTCGTTTCCGGAACTACATACGTCTTTCCGAGATCCCTTGGCTCAAGGATCATGTCATCGACTCGAAGGTTGTGTTCCCTGCCGCCGGGTTTGTTTGCATGGCTATCGAGGCAGGCGCTCGCCTCGAGAGCGAGAGGGTGCGCATCAAGAAGATCAAGCTGCGGGACGTTATCGTCAAATCCGCTTTGACTTTGAAAGAAGATAGCGACCAAGGCTGCGAAATTTTGTTGGAACTGCATCCAGTCACGTCATCTTCCAGAACGACCTCGGATGACTGGCATGAGTTTACAATCTCATCCTACAACGAGTCCAACGAGTATGCAGATCACTGCCATGGGCGTATCTGCGTTGAGTACGGCGCACCGGCGGCATTGAAGCCGGCCCGGAAGTATCCAGACCCTGAAGAGCTGTACGCTAGATCCGATCGCCGTATGAATCCCGTGGCACTATACTCATGTCTCGGAGAGCTGAATTCGCACTACGGCCCGCGATTTGCATTACTTAAAGATGAAATTGCCGTTGGACCTGGATTTGCAGTCACGCAGATATCCTTTGACCCTAGCTTCCAGTCCGCGCACGAGCTGGCCGAGGGCACGATTATGCATCCAACCTTCCTGGACGCGTCTTGGCATGTAATGTTCCCAGTGATTGAGGCTTTGCTAGGGAGACAGATCACCACAGGCTATGTGTCGACCTTTATGGGATCCATAGACGTTTCAGGAGCGTTTGCATCGAAGGCTGGAAGCTCGGATCTACAGCAATACACGGTCTCCACGTTCACGCAGCTCCCGAGTCCCCGGGTGGCCATAAATGACATTCTCATCTACCAGCTCGATGGAAATATGATGGTCGAAGCTCGTGACATTGAGGCCACGGCTATGCAGACAGATTCCGCCAGGTCCAAGGATCGCACGCTGTTTTTCCGGCAGCGCTGGCAGCCATGCTTCGAGTTTCACGAGCATAACGATAGAGCGAGCCTCTTCGAGCTCCTTGAGATCTATAGCTTCCAATACCCGACATCAAAGATCCTCTGCATCACTTCGCAAGAGGAGGATGTCAGGGCGATTATACCCCATATATGGTTCTCCGGCACGCAACGTCCCCGGTTTGCAAAACTCGACATTTGGACCGACAAAGACCAGAACAGTTTCGCTCATAATTTGGAGAATTTCTCAGACGAGCTGGTCAGTGTCTATGAGCCAAAGAATAACTATGATCTTATCATTCATTTGCCCAATACAATGAATCTTACCCAAGAAAGCCTCGAGTCGTTGCTTTCTCCCAGGGGATTCTTGGTACGTATACACTCTGAAAAGCAGGATGCACTTCCTTGGAACGACTGTCGAGTCTCTCGACGACAGATCCCAGATAAAGATGCAATAGACCTGGCGATCATCATGCCGTCCTCTGGCCTGACCGCTTCACGGACCGAATGTATAGTCCAAAAACTTCGAGACTCCCAGGCCACACAGACAGTCACGGAGGTGGATCCCATTTCATTACCCCGGGAAGAACTTCCAGCCTCGACAGTGGTGGTGCTTGCAAGTTTGGACGAAGACATCAAGAAATCCGAGGATCGCTGGGTTGGTATTCGTGATTTGCTCAACCGCGAGAATATCACTGTGGTCTGGTTGTTACAGGGCGCTACCAATGAGTGCAGCAATCCTGATCAGGCCGCAATCTTGGGCGTCCTCCGCACTATTCGCAACGAGAACCAGCAGTCTCGATTCATCATGCTGGACGTAGAAGCGGCTAGCTCCGACACTCTCATCGTGAAACGTATACTTCAGGCGGCCGATCCGAGCAATACGGAGGAAGAGTTTGCCGACAGATCAGGGTGTCTGTATATCCCTCGTGTTGAAGAAGATGTCAATCTCAACCGCAAGCTGCCGCACGGAATTGGCAACGAGCCAAAACTTGAACGATTTGGTGATCATCCTGCCCTGACTTTGAAAATCGGACAGGTGGGTTTGTTGGAGTCATTGCACTTTGCCGAAAACGACGACATTACAAGGCGGCCTCTTCAGGACAATGAGATCGAGGTGAAAGTGATGGCTTCTGCTATCAACTTTCATGACATTGCCGTGGCGATGGGCATCATTCAAGATCACAAAATGAGTGGCGAGTTTGCAGGAGTCGTCACAGCCGTCGGGAACAAGATAGACAGCGCCGAATTCCAACCAGGAGACCGTGTCGTTGGCTTTAGCCCTGGAATGGGCGCCCATGGCTCGCTGGTGAGGACGCACGCTTTGTTCTGCCATAAGGTCCCTGAATCGGTCGACTTCCCTATTGCTGCATGCCTTCCGGTCGTTCTATGCACAGCTATGTACTGTCTCGTTGATATTGCTCACCTTCAGCCGGGAGAGACTGTTTTGATCCATGCGGCTGCCGGTGGCGTGGGGCAAATGGCCGTTCAGATTGCCCAAAACATAGGTGCGAAGGTCCTAGCCACGTGTTCCAAGCCAAAAAGAGAATTCCTCAAGCGTCAATATGGCCTCTTGGACTCTCAGATATTCTCCTCCCGGGATGACTCTTTTGTCCAAGGGGTCTCCGAAGCAACTGGTGGTCAAGGTGTTGATGTCATTCTGAACAGCTTGGCCGGAGACTTGCTACAAGCAAGTTGGGGATGTGTAAAGACCTTCGGCCGTTTTGTCGAGATCGGAAAGCGAGATATCCATCAGAATTCAAACCTCGGTATGGATGTCTTTCGCAGGAACGCAACGTTTACTGCATTCGACATGGTCACTGTGTTTGAAGAGAGACCAGAGGCTGGCCGCAAGATGCTTTCTGATGGTCTTGGTCTTTATTTCCGAGGCGAAGTCAGCCCGCCGGAAGCACTTCATGTCTTCCCTTACAGTCAGGTTGAAAATGCATTCCGCATGCTTCAGCTTGGCAGGAAACCGGGGAAGATCGTCATGATCCCAAATGATAATGACATGGTCATGGTCAGACCACCAGGCTACCAACACAGGCAGCTCTTCGGTCCTAATAAGTTCTATCTTCTCGTGGGCGGCTTAGGTGGACTAGGCGCAGCTCTCTCCGAGTGGATGTACCTTCGCGGAGCGAGGAAATTTGCATTTCTGTCTCGCTCCGGAGACCAGAAGCCAGACGCGAAGAAGACAGTGAACTGGCTGAGATCGAAAACTTGCGAAGTCATCGTCTTCAAGGGCGATGTCGGCCTGCTGTCTGATGTTGAAAGAGTGACAACAGCCATTGGGACGTCCCTCGCTGGCATCTTCCACCTAGCAGCTGATTTTGAAGACACAATGATTCGGACCCTGACATTGAAGCAGCTACGACATGCTCTCCACGCAAAGTGTCAGGGAGCAATGAACCTGCACCTCGCCACGAGCTCTGGCAAGCTGGACTTCTTCGTCTGTGTTTCGTCTGGTGCTTCCGTATGGGGAAACCGAGGACAGGCACCGTATGTTGCTGCAAATGCATGGCTTGATGCATTCGCCCGCTGGCGTCGGGAGCAGGGCCTTGCTGCTACCACCATGAATGCTGGGGCTGTTACCACTCGAGGGCTTATAGCCGAGAGTGATATTGCCCGCCAAAGCCTGGAGAGAAACAAGCTAGACAAAATCACCGAGCAGGAGCTTCTATATCAGGCGGAGGAGGCTGTGTGTCTTGACTTCCCCGAGGGCGATCCCAAGGGCCTGGACTGGCACCAGGTGATCATCGGGATCAATGTCGCTGATCCTGATGTTTACTGGTCTGGTCGCTCCTTATTCCGTGGCCTCTATGCCAACCGAAAATACGGGGCTGCAACAATCAGCAAAGGAGCAAAGAACCTTGCCGCACTTTTGCAGACCGCATCCAGTGTTCATGAGCGAACCGACATCGCCCTCGAGGCCTTTATCACCAAGGTGGCTGGTGTGTTGGGTACTCCACCTGAATCCATCACCCCTAGCAATGCTCTGTCGTTCTATGGCCTGGACTCGATTGTTGCTGTGGAATTCAGGAGATGGTTTAAGGACGTGACCGGCGTTGATGTGTCCTTGTTTGATATTCTTGCAGCCCAGTCAATACACGACCTGGTAGGAAAGGTGGTGTCAGCAATGCCTACCGCAGTTGAAGGGCAGTCGAACGGAGCCCTCCCGGACAGCAACACAAAGAAACCCAAACGAGGAATGTCCCATCGCTCCGAAGCAACTTTCCATTTGCCTAGATCCCGGTCTGCAGGTCCTGTGCCGCCGTCGGCTTTTCAGGCACCTTTCGTTTCGATGTTGGACAGGCTGGGGGACAAAGGGCTGGCAAACCTGATGGCAAGCTTTCGACTGAAAGGGGCCCCATCGATCGAGATACTCGATAGCACCCTTCGCATGGTAGTTGATAGGCACTCTGCTCTCCGGACCGCGTTCTCCCAGGCCAACAAGTCTATCTTCCAGGAAGTCCTCCCAGCCGGAGGCTTTCTACTCAGACACCATGACCTGTCCCACCAGTCTTTCTCTGCAAGTCAGATAAATGACTACATACTAAAAGAGGAATCCCAGCCGTTAAATATTACGAGGGGCGAAGTTGGAGCTGCTTTGCTGATCAAATTGCAGGATGATATGCATCTTCTTGCAATCGTTGCTCACCCACTCTGCTTCGACAGAACGAGCCTTTCGGTCTTCCTTGATGACTGGACCAGGCTCTATGAAATGGTAGCAGTAGAAGGGGATCCAACTGCCGTACCGTACCCCCGAGCGACCTATACTGACTTCACTGTCTGGCAAAATGAGCATCTAGCATCCGACGAAATCCTATCCCACCTGCGATATTGGTCTTCGAACCTCAGAGATGTTCCAAGTCCATCGAGAGTGTTACTATTAGAAAGTGAGGCCCGATCCATGGCTGTCGATCCTGAGAGAAATGAACACAGGCTGCATTTGAATCTAAAGTCACTCGGCCGCCTACGACGGATTACCAGTATGCTCAACGCTGCTCCATTCCATTTCCTCCTTGCAGCTCTTCGAGCATATATTTTCCGCCACACTGGGGACAGTGACATTGTCATTCTGAATGTTGTCGATGGCCGGCCCCATCCGGCCGTCGAGCATCTGGTGGGCAATTTCATGAACATGGTGCCCCTCCGCCTTCGAGGGGTCGGGGAGGATATGATCTTTGAAGATCTTGTGCTGTTCGCCCGAGATGTTGCACTCCAAGGAGAGTCGCACAGCGACGTGCCTTTCGATATGATTGTGAGCAGCCTTGGACTGGAGCGGACAGGGGATTGTCTGCCCATGGGCCAGGTTGGAATCCAGTATAGGACGAGTGCGAGCTCTGTTTCTTACAGCACATCCGACTTCGTGGCGACTGTGGAGAAAAGAATGAAGATGCCGTCTGTGTTTGAGTTGTATCTGGACGCAGAGGAGAGTGACGACGGGCTTGATCTGTGGTTTAGCTCTTCTAAGGGTGTGCATAGTGCAGGCCAGATGGAGGTGTTTTCCCGCTCGTTCCATGCGTTCTTGTCTTGTTTGATTCAGGACCATCGACAGCCCATCAAGGATACTACGCTTCCTAATTGAGGTGAAGAGGGATGCATACTAAGAGTTGGGGTGTAAGGTGTCACTGAGGCTATAGTTATTGCAAGTTAGTCTTGTCTTTTACAGTTGAGATAGCTAGCAGAGTATCTGGTAGATAATCTATTGAATGAATCTTCAATATAACCAGGCTTCAATTCGAGACCTAGGCTCTATAATATTAACTCATCTTCCTTCCAGACTTCTACCAACTGCTTCCCACGGTTGATGTAGTCATTAACGTATCTAGTTCAGCTTGTTTCAGGTGAAACAAAGACATTCACGGCACTCGCAGCCTGAGACAAAGTGCATTGTATACTTCACGGTAAAGATCGAAGACATTCACGCATTGTCTGTTCTGGGGCTAGATACCGTCTCATTAACAGATTGCGGCACTTCCCAGTTTCGATTGGTGTGATACTATGAGCGGAATACCTACTTTTCTTTGACCTGATCACAACGAAATCAGAGACATCCCATCAACATCATGAACTACGTGATTCTCCATTTACGCGCCTATCGTCTCTATAAAAGCCCTCTAGACAACATGCATCGACTGCCTCATCATATCCAAACGCCTTGTCAAGCCTTGTCTATTGATACTAGTGCGCTATAACTCACCCTCACGACAAAACAAGAGTCTTTGCACAATCCAATCCACAAGAAGAACCTCAAGATGATCGAGAAAGTCGAATTCGACCCTCCCAACATCCTCGCCGGCCGTGACAACCATCTTCGTCGCCTAGCACACCAGCGTCACATCCAGTCCGTCGCACCGCCCTTTGCCCTAGGTGCAATCATCACGTAAGTCTTTCTTCCTTATCCTCAAACAAAGACGCCTAATTAACAATATGCTTATAGTCAGGCAGCGCACGGCTCCCCTCTCGACCCAAGAAGACACATCACCTACTACTTGCGCGACGAGTACAACCGGCTCGTGGGCCCCATCCACGTCCCCTTCAGCTACGAGGCGGAGGAGGCCCTGGTCGCGAGACTTGAGCGAGCTCGTTCTGCGTCTGCGGCTGCGGCTGGTACTGCTCCTGGTGATACTACTTCGTCATCTAGCGCGGATGGATCTCTAGCGTCGTCTCCTGCGTCGGCGAGTTCGCTGTCTAATCGCAATGAATCTTCTTCTGTGTCTTCTGCTCCGAGTGCAGGTATTCGTGGTCGTCGTCGGTAGATGTGTTGGTTTGTTTCTTGGTTTGTTGATCGTTAACGGTGATATGGGTAGCTTTGGTTGCTTGGAGTTTATGGTCGGGTAGAGGTGGTTTGCAACGGCAGGCGTATGGAATGCTATGTTCATGGAATAATGAATGAGAATTGCTTTCTTATGTGCATGTTCGTTTTGCTATTGTATTGTGCTAGGTGCAGTAAATGTACTCCGTAGGTAACCCTATGCAAGACTGACTAAGTCTAAATACAAAGGGATGTCCATGATATAACCTTGCAAATCAGTGCATGCATGCACACTTTATGCATGCCATGCACGCCATGCAAGCCGTGTACAGTTATCCAAACAAGCAATCCATGCAGACTATTACATGATGACTACCAAGTTACACATCACGACAGCAATGTCCGCGGGGCAAGCAGATCCACGCCGACGCTATGGCCATACCCATACTTGCCGAACTCTCTTCCTCTTGCGCTGCAGGTATTTGGCTCGGGATTCGGGCTCACAGAGCTTCTCACGAAGTGATCGACATAGTCTCTCCTTGCGTGGTTGGTGCATACCAGACAACCGGCTGCGACGAGCTTATACGTCAAGATACCAGCCATGGTATGCGATGCGCACGACTGTGACAAATCGCGTCAAGGTACGACCGTCGAGCGGATGAGCTCGGAGTGCCTGATAATCACACGAGACAACGGTGATAACGGGGACTGAGCGTGTAGAGAGCCACGTCTCCATGTCCCCGAATTCCGCGGCCCTGTTTGGCAAGAGGATAGAGATCAGGAGATGAGCACATCACGCCTTCTCGGGCCTCATGCACTGGCTATGTTCCCGGGCTCTTGCAGCAGGCATCCGACTGGCGTCCTTGCTTGTGGAATGTCGACATGAGCGCTGGAGCAGCGCGCGCGCCGTGTTGCGGCACAGAAAGGGTGATGTCAGTGCAGCAGCAGAGCAGCAGCAGCAGCAACATCATGACTCCATTTTTTACACTCTGGAATCCCCCCTTCCTTGCTAGCCCTATTTATACAGCACCTACCGCAGCGCCTCTCACGGCCGTCTGTCATTCGGTAGTCTCAGTCTGCGACAGCTTCACCGTGACACAGAGGGCACAGCGGGCATTGGCATCATCGGCTCTTTTTGATCCTTCTCCCGTCCGTCTCGCTCGTTCTCTGCTGAAAGACCAGCCCTCCAGCGCTATATGAGCCCAGCATGCAGCCCGATCTGGAAAAAGACCGCGTGTCGCCCTCCGTCCGCAGCCTCGCCCCGTCGTCGGACGACACAGACCACGCCCATCCACCACCGCCACAGTCACCAGGCTACCGCACGACGCTGCGGTCAAGATACCAGCGCTGGGCGCGATGCATCAAGGGGCTGGAGAACCGCGGCATCGAGCCGATCCCGCTCGACGAGCGCGTCAAGCCCGACACCAAACACATCTTCCACATGTTCCTGATGTGGTTCAGCATGGGCATGGCCCTGAACAACATCGTCGTCGGGTCGATCGGCACGCTCGTCATGCATCTGAGCTTCACCGACGCGGCCCTCTGCGCCGTCTTTGGCAATCTGCTGGGCGGATTGGCCATTGGGTATATGAGTACTTGGGGGCCGCGAAGTGGCAACCGCACGCTTGTATGTCTTCAACCACTCTCTACCTGCTTTGCTTCTGATTAACGGCGGACAGATCGTCGCCCGCTACTTCATGGGCTACTACCCCAGCAAGATCTGCTGCGTGCTGAACGTGCTGACGAACCTGGGCTACGGCATGGTCAACGCCATGGTGGGCGGCCAGCTGCTGTCCAAGATCTCCGGCGGCAGCGTGTCCGTCGTCGTGGGCATTGTCATCGTCTCGCTGGCGAGCTTCGTCATGGCCACCTTTGGCATGTCCATCTTCCAGTACTATGAACGGTACGTCCCCTGCTTCTTCTTCCCTTAGCCCTCTCCGACTCTAACCCCCAGCTAGATACGCCTGGTTCCCGCAGTTCATCGTGCTCTGCGTGCTGACCGGCTCAGCCGGCCCGCAGTTCGACCTGCACACCGTATCATCCGGCACGGCAACCGAAGTCAACACCAAGCGCGCCGCGTTCTTCTCGCTCTGCCTGTCCGTCGCGCTGGCATGGGTGCCCCTCGCCGCCGACTACTACGTGTACTTCCCGCCGGACATCAGCCGGTGGCGGACCTGGACGGTCACAACCGTGGGCGGCAGCCTGTCGATGTGCGTGACGCTGTTGCTGGGCGCGGGGCTGGGGTCGGGGGTGGCGCACACGGCGCGGTGGGCGGAGCTGTACGACGGCACGCCGGGCAGCCTGCTGATGGCCGGGTACGAGCGGCTGGGGGCGTTTGGGAAGCTGTGCGCGGTGGTGAACGTGGTGACGGTGGTGTCGAACAACGCGCCGGGGTCGTACTCGATGGCCATGAACTTCCAGATGCTCGGCGACATGTGGCGCAAGATCCCGCGGCCCGTGTTTACCGTCTTCACGACCGTCGTATACATGGCCTGCGCCATCGGCGGCCGCAACTTCCTCTACGACATCTTCAAGAACTTCCTCCCGCTCATCGGGTACTGGGTCGTCATCTGGTTCACCATCAGCGTGCTCGAGGACCTGATCTTCCACCGCTGCAAGCACTACGACTGGGGTGCGTGGAATGACCGCCAGAAGCTGCCCGTCGGCATTGCGTCGACCGCGGCGTTTCTAATCGGCTGGGCTGGTGCTATTGTCGGCATGGTGAGTCGTGCTCTCTGTTGAGATAGGCTCGGAAGCGTGCTAACCTGTGCAGAACCAAGTCTACTATACCGGCCCCGTCGCCCAGCTAGTCGGTGACAGCTGTGATCTGGGGATCTGGCTGGGTATTGGCTTCACCGGGGTGGTGTTTCCACCGCTGAGGTTGTTGGAATTGAAGATTGTCGGTCGGTGAACTACCCGAGGTTATGGGATTGCATGCATGGACGGGCTTTGAGGATACGCCCGTACTGCACATGTTGCATGCTCCGAACATTTCATTGAATTATCAGCAGACGCGAGCAGCTGCAATCGTGTTTATAGAAAAGTCGTCAGACGCCAAACGTCATTGTCCTGTGTTTATGACCATTGTTAGATACACTCATTCCGAATTGAAATAGAGACATACTCGTATGGATAATACACGCCGGCCTACGAAAGACACCAACACATAAGAATTTTGATTGTATGTACAGTACGAATATATCAGACCATCCTCACTGCGCCAGCCAGCCACCTCTGCAATTAGTCTATAAGCAACAAGCAACACACCTTTTCAACCCTCCTACGCCAAACAGAGCGGTATCTAGTAAAAGGACCGAGATGAACAAAAACAAAGCTCCACGGACGCAAGGCGAACGAGTGAGCCATAAACAACCCAAAGACAGGAAAAGACAAAGGGAAAGGTAAGACGCGTATGTGTACATCGTTGCATGGCCCTATGACCATAAGCGTATTCGGATATTATCACAGGCAGAGAACACGGCCCTACGACCGGCTTTGGCTCTGGCTTGAGCGAGATCGCTGCGACGTGGACCTCCTGCTGTGGCTGGAGGGGGCCCGGACAGGAGCATGTTCAAAGAAAGGGAGGAGGTCTGGGTTCTGGCTGGGAGGAGTCTTCGACGTAGCTAGGTAATCGCCCACAATCTGGTCATCCGCGGCCGTGTCAGGATGAATCTCAATGCCCTGCTGCTTGGCCAGTCCGGCCCGTGGGTTGTTCGTATCGAATTTGAACGATTCTCCTTCTCCCGAGGGCGCTCTTTCAATTGGCGACCAGCCAGCGATGCTCCCGGCCACAACGCCGGCCATTGCCGCTGCAGGTCCAAAAGTCGAGCTGGAGCGAGACCGAGTACGCCGTCTCGACCGTTCCGGCGTGGCCGGCTGGGGCGGAGAACTACTGCCATCACCCACAGGAGTACCCGGGATCGAATCGTCTCGTGAGCGGGAATTGCTGCGAGATCGCGGCAAAAGCTCCTCCGGATGCTGAAGCTTGTGTTTGAGATGCCGCAAACGACCTCCACGGACCGTCTTGAGGAATTTCAACTGATCCCGGATCTCCTCCAAAGCCGGGTTCCACTCATACCGCCGGTCCTCGTCTGACACCAAAAGCTTGGGGCTCTTCTTCCGATGCCAGAACCTTGGAATGAGTCTGGAGATAAACTCGTCAGGGAAAAGCCGGATGATCACCGCGACGGGAAGCGAAATAACACCAAGCACCAAACAAACTCCCCATTGGGCCCCGTTCAGTTCGTGCACGGAGAAGGCCTGGCCACCCTTGAAGACAATCAAGATTTGAAATCCAATGATAATGAACTGAATTCCGATGAACCACCGGTTGCGGAACAACCCCTCGAAAATGTTCAAGTTGTTGTCCAGCCGGCGCGAGTTCCATTGGTTGAAGATCTGCATCCACACAAAGGTGTTGAACACCACAGTCTGGAGGACTGTACCCTCATAGCCCAAGATGCTATGGCCGGCAAAGTTCAGAACCAGCGTGACGGCTAGTTGATAAATACTCTGTCCGATGATCATTTTCCACATAGTCAAGGTAATCAGCGGCGCTGATTTCGGCTCGGGCCTCCTGTTCAGAACGTAGGGAGACGGCGGGTCTGTCGCCAGGGCGAGGGCTGCGAAAGTGTCCATAATCAGGTTGACCCAGAGAAGCTGAACAGCAGTCAGGACGGACTCTTCACTGTCGCTAGCCACGGCCGAGACAAAGGTCAGAACTACAGCTGTGATGTTAACGGTGACTTGGAATTGCAGGAATTTCTTGACCGCATCGTTCACTGTCCGACCCCAGGCCATGGCCTTGATGATCGATGCAAAGTTGTCGTCCATCAAGATGATGTCCGAGGCCTCCTTTGCAACTTCTGTACCGGTAATGCCCATGGAGAAACCAACGTCGGCGGTCTTCAAAGCCTGGGCGTCGTTTGTACCGTCTCCGGTGACCGCGACCGTCTCCCCGAGCTTTTTCAGCTGCGTGACGAGGATCTTCTTGTCATCGGGACTGGATCTGGCGAGAACCTGCAGTCGTGGGATGATCTGCGTCATCTGTTTGGTGCTCAACTTGCGGAACTTGGGTCCTTCAATGGCAATTCCTCCGGGCGTGAAGATGCCGCATTCTTGGGCAATGGCCTTCGCCGTCAGGATATTGTCACCCGTGACCATTCGCACGAAGACCCCCGCTCGCTGACATTGCTTGACCGATTCAGTAACACCGGCTCGGAGAGGATCTTGGATACCAAAGACGCCCAACAACACCATGTCCTTGAATAACGAATCGAAATCGGCGCGGCTGCGGTCATCCTCTAGGGTGCGAGCGCCGCGAGGGGGCCATTGCTCGAAATCGCGATAGACCAGACCAATGGTCCTCAGTGACTGAGAGGCATAGCGGGTGATGAGGGTGTCCAGCGTGGTCCGGTCTTGATCGGAAATAGGCTTTTCAGACAAGTCCTTCGTCGGATCTTCAACGACACGCGTACATTTGGCGACCAGAATTTCCGAGGCACCCTTAACCAGCATCCGATATCTCCCTTTATCCATCTTGATGACAACTGCCATGCACTTGCGGCCGGAATCAAACGGTACCATCTGGACAATTTCGGCATTGGCCCGACCCTCGCTGACCGAACCCATCCCCAGATACGTTCGAGCCCAGCCGAGGAGGGCCGTCTCAGTTTTTGAGCCGATAAAGGTCATCTTGCCATCCTCTTCACCTTCAAACGCGGTTGAGTTGAGCACGATGGAGTCGAGCAGGAGTTGTTTCGCAGGATCAGACAGGCTCGAGGCAAATTCAGAGGGTGACAAGGGGTTTGATGGATCTGGGTTTCCACTTGAACCATGCGGAGAGGCCGATTCGGCGGATTTGTCTCCAAATTTTGACGCGAGTCCCAAAGTAGCGGCTACGGCCGTCATCTTGTTCTCCGTCAGGGTTCCTGTCTTGTCGGAGCAAATGGTGGTCGCATTGCCCATGGTTTCACAGGCTCTCAACAGCCGCACCAAGTTGTTATCCTTGAGCATACGCGTCGTGGCGAACGCAAGCGCTAGCGTGACCGCCAGGGGGAGTCCTTCGGGAACCGCCACGACGATGATAGTCACAGCAACAATGAAGATCTGCAGGAACGCCTGACCCTTTTCGTCGGCAGTACCCCCATGCTTCAGGTTGGCAAGGAATTTGATGAAGAGCACCACGAACAACAACAGACCGGCGGACAGACCAAGCTTGGCGATGTATTCGGCCAATACGTTCAGCTTCGCCTGAAGGGGCGTGCTTTGGCCCTCATCTTGTAAGGACATCAACGTCTTTCCGTATGTCGAGTGAATGCCCACCGACGTGACCAAGAACGTTCCCACTCCCTCGGACACCTTCGCGCCGGATACGATGAAAGGATCCAGTTTGGCGACATTTTCGTGATGCTCAATCGCACGGTAGACTTCATCTCCCGAAGTCTTGCGCAACAAGTCAGACTCACCGGTCGCCGAGGACTCGTCACACTTGACGTTATGGCCGTCAATAAAGATGCCATCCACCGGAACCATGTCACCCGGTTCAAGATGCATCACATCACCCACGAGGATATCGTGAACCGAGATCTCCATCGTCTTTCCAGAACGGATCACCTTGACCATCCGGTTTTCTTTTTTCTTGTTCAGTTTCACGAATTGACGTTCCATCTGCCAGTCGTTGGCCGCACCCACCACCACAACAATCAAGATGGCCACGATAATGGCAACGCCTTCGACCCACTCCACCCGGGCCTCGCCGTCCGATGGCCGCACCGACTGGTAAATTCCGAGGGCAAGGGAGATGATGGCGGCCACCGTCAGGAGAATGATCACCTTGTCATTGTATGCGATCCAGGCCAATTGCAGGATATTTTTGGTTTTTCTTTCGGGTAGCTTATTTTCGGTATAGATGCGTTTTCGATCAAAGAAGGAGTCGTCGGATTGCTTCGGGGATGTGCCCATGGTAGACGTGGTAGCCTGACGCGGTGGTTGGGAAGCTGCTTTGGGGACGGGGTCCTGGGGTGTCGTCGAAGTTGCGTCTTCAAAACTGATGGAGCCCTCCAGTGTCGTCTCGTCCAGGCTCAGACCGCTGTTGATGTTCGTCCGCAGACCCTTTTCCAACCCACGCAGACCACCGAGGGCATGTAGCGCGCCAAGGTTCTTCGGGTTGAGCAGTTTATTCAACTGACCCGGGGAGAAGGCGAATCGATTATCCTCCACATCGAACTCATCTTCCCGGCCGGGATCGGGTCGGAGGGCCTCTTCGTCGTCGAGCACAACACTCCGGTTCAAGTCCGCCCGGGACCCTTGCGATCCTGACGTGCCGATGAACGTCTCTCCGCCGTATGATGCCGAGGAATGGTTCGTGTCTTCGGACTCCAGGGAGTTCCCGCGCGACCTCGCACCCGGGACGGAGAGGAAGTTGGAATTGGGCGTCGGCTCGGTCATCTTGGAGGCGGGAGATGAGAAGTTATGGGGGGAGGTAGGCCGGCTATCGTAGTCGCGGAGTTCGGAGGAGCCGAATGAACGAATGGAGCCAGGGGAAACGCCTTCAGAGGGCGTGATGCTGTCGTTGTTCAGGAGCGCCCTGGTGTCCGTCGCTTCGGCATTGTCTGAAGTGACCTGCAGGGAAGGTTGCGAGGGCGGCGGGATGATCTGGGGAGGCGGGATGGGGTGATCTGGGCTCTGGGTGATGGCAGAGGTGTCGATGGTGATTGTTGGAGCTCTCTCGCGGCGTCGCTGGGGCGCGGACGGGGAGGAACCCGGCCTCTCGTCTGGGGAATCCGCCATGATGGTCCCAAGGGGGTCGCACCGTTAGAGTGGGTCCAAAGAGAGACAAAGGGATCGAGGCGGAAGAAAGGGATATCGATATCAGTAAGAATGCGGCTCCAGAGGGAGCAGATCACTTTGATCCTGCGATAACATGCAAGCGAAACTGGTCATGGGCGTGAGTTGGCGCGGGAGATTTGGCCGAACGGATCCGGAGAGTGATCGAGGTCGATTCTTAACCCATACGGTGTCTGGTGTTGACAAGGAATGGGGGTTATCCACATAGATTGCAATCAACCGAGGCCGGTGGCTGTCCAGGTGAGAGTGAAAGATGGGGAGAGAAGGTTCAGTCGCAAAGGAGAGAGGTGGAGCAGCGATTGTCCAGGGCTATGGTGTTACCCCGGCGAACTGGAGCGAGAAACACTGGGTGATGAGGTGTCAGCGCATGCATGAGCCCAGAGACCCGAGAGGAGGAGGATGGGATGAGGCCGCAGGGTCTCTTACCCAATCCGGGGGGGGAGCAATGACGGGAAGTACAGAGTACAGCCTCACTGCTTGGTGAGATGGAGTGAGGGCTGAATGGGAGGAGAAAGGGAAAGGGACGTGAGGAGGAAGTCTCGAGGAGGTCTCTCCGACGACCGCATGTACATTCAATGTTTTCAGTGGTATTAGGAGAAGAGGAAAAGAAGGAGGGAAAAGTTGGAGACGCAAGTGAGTTACAGGTCTAGTAGCGGTCATGACGCCAATCCCGCCGACTGCAGGCCTGGACCCAATCAGGGAGACTGGCTGCGGCCGTCTCCACCGCGGTCGAGACCCTAAACAATAAGGTATCTACTTAGGGTACTCCCTCTAGAGTACAATCTACCTTGGGGACAGTAGCAGTATACGGTCTATCAGGATTTCAAATATTCAGATACTGAATTACTCCATGACAGGAGACCGTAGAGCCAGAAATCTGGATGCGATGTTTGCAATTGCCACCTTTGCTCCTCTTCGAGCGGAGTCCATTGCTGGCCCGTCACTCGTCGGAAGCGGGTTTGCACTGCCTCACTCGATTTCTCCTTTTAATTATTTCTTCCGTCTATCGTTTATTTTGTTTTATTTATGAGGGATATTATTGATCATTTACTTTCTTATGAATTATTCGATCACTCCCAATAAGTAATAATCTTAATGATAGTTTTACTCCCATCGATCCTATTTGATCTCACCTGTTGATCTGTATACTTTGCACACCAATTGAGCATGACAACTAGACGCTGATCCCCTCATTACTCCATACGACTAGAATGACAGAGGACGGGAGTTGCATACGTCGCCACCATGTACTCCGATTCTATTATTACAGTATTATTATTATCATTATTAAGAACCATTCCCAGCGCTTCACTCTTGCCTCGGGAACAGGGCCAATCTGCTAGAACGTACTAACGGTTCCACCAGCCTTGGCATTTGGGCGGTGCAGACCTTTCCTTTACTCCTAGTCTGGCATACTATTCCCTTCCTTTCTTCGCTGTTGTCCTACAACTTTGTCCAGTCACATTCATGTGAAGATAAAGAATTCAATAGTAGTAGTACAGAGTACCAGGTATCATGGAGCATCCTTACCTCTGAAACTTCAAGAATCCTTTATACTAAATTCACGGTGGGACCGCAGTAAATACAATCAACCTCTTTGACTACGACAAGTATCCATGGATTCACCACAACGCGCTCCATATAACATCATCCTCTCCCCATTCTCTGTCTCTCTCCTGTAGACACCACCGTATAAGCTATATACTGAGGCAACATGACCACCACAAGTCAATCTACTGTCTATACTTTGTCTACTCATCTAATGAGCATCATGTCTTGGGTGGAAGGAATTCCATCCGCTACATTATTGGCGGCCGCCCTAATCCGCCGCGCGGACGGCCAGCCCCAGCGTGCGCTGCTCATCTACAACGTCGATCCAATCCAGCCTAGAGCGCACACGCACGTACCCGAGTGAATAGAGCAATGTGTTCCATTTCTACAAAGAACATACGTTGGCAACCTGTTCCAAGATACCATTAGGCCGACTTCGCAAACTTCGTCGTATGACCCAACACCCATCAGAGCCTGGATGTGGGTTGGGTTAGATCCGGAAGTGATGTAGACAACTCCATGCCACCAGTAGAAGCTTACTGAAGACATCCTCGATATCCTAGCCAGCCGAGGCTTGGGCAACTTCACCCGCCAATCAGCTTCAGCGTCAACATGGCGCCCAGTGCATTCCTCCATACAAACGCCTGATTCTTCTGGACAAAGCCAGATGCGTCCGCCCAAAGCTGGCGTCGAATACCCGCAACCTGGCCTCTGGGCTCGCGCAGATAAACACGCGCTATCCCAAAAATGTCTTGGGAAGCGTTTGAACGCGTTTCAGGAGTCATCTCCTTCGGTTGGACATGGCTAAGTCATGTCCTAGTCAGCTTTGGACCCGGAAAAGACTGGGTGCAATATTTCTTCCCTTCTTTGTGGCCACAGACGAGGTCTAGCATTGCATAAGGATACCTACGCAAGTGAACTGATCGACAATATACTCCCTATTTGAGAACGGGCATATAGGAGACCCCCTTGATACCAAGACAGCGATGCGATGCCGCTTAGACGACCATGAGTCTACATACTACGAACTCACCGACAATAGCACGGGCCCTTGAACTCGCAAACGATGAAAGTTTGCCAAGCTGATAGCACTTCTGGGTCTCTCAAGGGATAGAATACCTATGTAACGAAGCTTCCACTCATTCGAGGTACCTAAGAGCTGGAGCGGAAGGGTCGTATTTGAGGATACAATATCAAGGGATCCTTTGTGCGGTTCTTGGGGGGCTCTGTGGAACGTGGGTTCGCCCGTAGCATGATTCAAGGGCATTTGATCAACCCAAGACCCGGTGATACCTCTGTTTCTAGACACGCAATTCTCATACGTCTTAGCAAAGACGTTCCCGGGACAGAGGTCCCATTTGTGGCAAGCGGGACTATCGCGCCCAGAAGTGTTGTATCCTTGCGGGGCTTTTTGTGCTCGCAAGGCTTCACGTCACAGGGATTACGACAGACATAGAAGACGGCTATCTACAATATCCATAGGTAGTACCTATTAGGTGCTGTTTACCAGGCCGGGTCTCGCAGCCGTGGTAGAGGCAACCGTTGTCTCCAGGGCTGGAACGCATTTGCCAAAGAGTGCAAGTATGGCCACTCGGAAGATCAGCAACGCTCAGAGGCCTTCAAGAAACGGGTTTACCACAGGTACCTACATGACTGTAAATTATTGAAATGACATGCAACTCCATTCATGTACAGCAGTAGAGTCGGCCTCCAGACCGATAGACCACCGTTCCAGACCTGATATGCAATGAACCCTACCAGAACCCTCGCCCAGATACAGAAAAGTAAGGCAAAGAAATGCAAGAGAAGGATCGGGTAAGACAGTAATATACATGCCCATCACCCCATAGATAATAAATACATTCATCGCGCCTCACGGAGGATCTCGTTTTCACCCTCGGTCACATCTATATTCCAGATGCCCAAAGACTCGCCTCCGAGCATCTTCTTGCCCGGTTTCGCTCGAGTGTTCACCATGGCCTTGCTGGACAACGCCAACGCATCCACCAGCTCCGCCATGCGCCGAGAGAAGACAAAGCTGCGGGTCAGGTATTCGTTCTCCGATACCTGTATCGCCATGTTCATACACTGGACCAGATGTTCACTGCTAAGCACGTGCCCCGCGTAGTACAGGGCATTGTGATAGTCAAGGAACAACTCGGGAATATAGGTGTTTCGGATCTCTTCAAGTTCCGCTTGCTCGGATTCTAGATCATCAACGCGTTAGCTGGTGTACTGGCTGTATCTGATTGGTAAATGATATCTTACCGTTATCGGCCACGACGAGCCATTCGTCCAACACTGCGTCGACGTGGATCGCGATCTCATCAAGAGTGTCCTGCAGTTCATTTCTCAAATCCTTGATAGCACCAGAATCACGCCGGCGTTTGTTCCTAGACCGGTCAGCATATATCCTCGCCATGCAAGCTGCATCGACGACCTACTTGTCAAACTTCTCGAACGCTACCGCGAACCTCTCCAGAGCATCGAACCCGAGGATCAGCTCTTCCAGATCACGCATCGTCTGTGACTGCTGCACCAAGATACTCGTCTGGGTAGTAGACGGGACACCATTCGACCGACTCCGTCTGTGGCTACCCAACAGTCTAGATTTGGTCGGGCTGGAAGGCTCCGGAGTGCCGGGCTCAACGCCATCTTCCACACCTGCAGGGAACTCGGTCAGGTCGAAACCGAAAGATTCCCGCGAAATATCAGACAGCCTCATGCGCCGGCTCAGCTCTCGGGCAGCAGACAATTTTCCTTTCACTACGGATGATGTTAGTAGATGATTATCATTTGATGGAGTAAGGACATACCGTAAAACTTCCGATACAACAAGGCACCGAGCTGGCAGATCCGGCCCCATTGTCCATCAACGTAGCGAAGCCACTCCAGACTGCGGATGATCCTCTCATCGGTGGCGCAAATATCTGTACCAATGAAGTCCTTCTTGACCATCACCAACTCGCGGTGGCCGTCCTTACGTCGGACGACCTTGGGATATTGTTTGAGGGTGCGTGGGTGGTCCACGGCAGATACACTTGCACTGATCCATCGCCACTGGTCCTGCAGAACAGCCTCAATATCGATGCCGTACTTGTCCATCAGCCTGACCTGCTGCTTTCTCTCTCGTGGCTCCACGATCTCGATCAAGACCTGTCCCAGTACGGAGTGGGCCATGTGCGTCGGAAGAAGCGATGCATAGAGGGGAATGATATCAACAATGCCCGCCTCCTCAAGGTCCGCAATGTACCCAATCACATTCACTGACGTTGTGTCGAAAAATTGCGTATCAGTGCGGACATAGCCAAGGGAGTTGGCAATGATGTAGAGATGTGTTGCGATCCTCAACGCATCGCTATCTTCCGCGGCGATGAGGAGCGTCTCGTCAACGGCGCCTGGAGGCAGATCCGGCACAAATGTAGCCTGATCCGCTTTGTTTGCCGCCACCTGCGAGACGGCTCGGGCCAGCGAGTAGAAAAAGGTATCATACCCTTTGCCGAGGATGGCGGCTTGGATGGTACGATACGGGTTACGGGCCTCCACCCCGATCCGGTCGTTGCCCTTTGTGTACAGCACAAACTTGTTGAAGTCGCCATAACCGACCGGTTCGGGCACAAAGGTGACAGGGCTCGTGGGAGAGTGGCTCAGTTTCCGTTGGAGTTGTTTGCAGAATCCCTGGTAGCGAGAGAGCACCACACTGTTGAAGTAAACGTACAGGTAGTCATCCCAACTTTGACAGACCTTGAAGGCCGCCTCGGTTTCACCGCAAAGTAGGGAATAGACCGCCCGTTCGAAGTCTTCCGTGTTCGGATTCCGGGCCAGAGCAGAACAAGCGGCCCGCCAGGTCTCTTGGGAACGCCAATTCATCATGCGAGTAGAGCTGTCATCGAGAGGCGTCCGTTCTCCACCAGAATTGGGATCCACGCTGGAGCCGCACAAGCTGACAGCACGCCAGTTCTCCAAGCGCGCCTCGGACCACTCCCGGATCTTCGTCCAGTTTTCTCCCTGACGGAGCATCTTCCAGCACGCCATCCAGGTGGCCCGCTCGTAGAACTGGTCCTGCTTCTGGAGTTTCTGCCTCTGACGGGTGACGGCATCCGGATCCAATTGGGTGATCAACGGCTCCGACTTCTCCGAGCTCAAAAGGGAAGCCGTAATTCCCGGGGCGTTGGATTCCAGCGGTTGAGGCCAAGCACGTAGTCGCTTCTGTCCTTTGATGGTCTCTTTCGTGTAGAAGCCAACCATGTGTCCACAGGCCCTGGCCTCGTTTCGGCCTGGGCTTCGAGTTCGGAAATGACCGAAGTCGATGTCTTGGCCGCCCGTCTTTGCAGTATGTTCCAGCCATTTCATCGTAATCATACATTCCAGCGCATAATGGTCGGCACTCAAGAATTGTTCCCAGACGTCCCGGTCCGAGGAGTAGCGGTGGAGCTTCTGGAAGGCGGTCGCTTGGGCTTGTTTGGTGCTCTCTCTGGTTGCAGGGTCGTCGATGCTGATTAGGTTCAGAAGAAGCTGCCAGGTGTTTGCTTCGAGTTGCAGTCGCTGGATCTCCTCTTCTGTCTTGGAGTCGCGGGAGGCCGATCCGTTGGTGAGGCTCGCGCCCCAGCCCATCTTGGCGCGTTTCAGGGTGTGCTGCTTGGAGATATCCTGGATGGCATCTTGCGCCAAGGTCTGGTAGCTCTTCACCAACTGGTAGGCGGCTTGATAGTTGCCGAAATCATCGGCGCGACTTCCTTTTTGCTTGAAACGGTCGAGCTTCTCTGCGAACGCTTCGATCTGGCGGGTGACTCGGTCGGCGGTCCGACGCAGAGGGTGCAATGCTTGCTGTGCGCCTGCCGAAGTGAACAATTCCGGAGTTTTTGTCACGTCCACTCCTTCTGGGAGAGGGCAGTTAGATTTGCGCCAGGGTCGAGAGTCGGAATAAGAGGTAGGGAACATACTGTAACCATTGGGAGCGCCTAAATGCAGGGGCGATTCACTTCCATTTACTCCGTTTGTGTCTTCGACCGAGCCGTCCTCTGATTCTTCGTCGCCTTCTTCCTCCTCGTACTCGTCCTCCATGTCTTCGTCGGCGTCCTCCTGGTCTTCGGCTTCTTCGTCCTCGTCTTCGTCCATTTCTTCGTCATCCATTGGTTCCTCCTCATCGTCATCGTCTATCTCGATGACCTCGGGTTCGTTAGCGGCCGGGTGGTGAGCTGACTGGCAAGAGGAAACGAGGGCGTTAGCAATGCGGTGACGGCAAAACAAAGCGAGTACTTACGTTCAACGAGGTGAACCCGGCTCTCGCGCCGACGGAGCCCGCGGCTCGCGTCAAAGGGGCCATGGGCGGGGATATGTACTGTGAGAGAGGGAGAGATGAGGGTAGAGGGGGAGAAGAGTTGATGTCGAGCGACTGGGGAGAGCAGCGGACAAGACGAGGATGGTTTGGTTGGCAGGGACAATTCAGAATGGAAATCATGCGTGTTTGGGCGCTAGCTCCTCTTTGGGACTAGCGCGGTCGGCCCGCCCACGCATAAAAACCCTTCCGTCCTTTTTTTCTTCTCTTCTTCTTTTTCTTCAACAAATGTCAATTAGGCAATCATTAGAGTCTCGGGACGAGCGCTTTTCAATCTTCGTTCAGGTCATTGGCCTCTCTGCGTGCTCAAGATTGTCTTAGAGCAATTGGCAGTTCTTACAACTAGTCTAGCTTTTACTGATTATGGGAGCTCAGACTGCAAGGGAACTGGCACACCGACAACAGCACTGTTGATGGATTATGGCACCCCGGTGGTGGATCGATTACTTTGGTATATCTATGACAAGTCGTAGCGTCTATGTACAGTCGATGATTGAGCCGTGGTCTGGTTACTGTCCTTGCGACCGCTGCTTCATCTTGAGTCGGAGCAAACTGGCCTTGGGACAGCTGGGGGTCTTTGCATCATCACCGCGCTCCTGGTAAAATGCATTACAGCATTCATAGAGGGCATCGATCTGTGCCTGGCATTTCTCCTCCTGGTAGGAGTTTTTCGTCAAGCAGGCTGAGTAGTCTCATTAGCCGACTGCAGACCTCCATGGGTGTCGGAAGACTACCTTGGATGGCACACTGAGTTGTCAGCGGGATCTCACCTAGGCTTCATCTATCGGGCACTTACAGCTCGTGGATGACACGGGGGATCCGTAGCGAGATCTTCCTTGAGTCCCTAGGTCCATTATCATCCGCTCAAAGTATATCTGGCTCTGCCTTACCATGACACAATATGGTCGCAGAATCCTTGCGCGAGAAGCTGTATGAATAGGGAAGAGAAACGGAAAGAAAGATCAAGAATATCTGAATATGTCAACTGGGACAAACACAGCGGCCAACTGAAAGGAAACCAAGCGATCGATGTATTGTATGCAGAGAGTGACATCTGTTGTTGGACCTGCGCCGCAAAATAGATTCTCCGCCGCGCAATTGGTGGGGGTTCACTTCGCCTTCCTTCCACCACCTCACCACCAATTCACTCTCACTCCTCCATCTCCTATAGCCTCTTCTTTCTCGCGCTCTTTCGCTCCTCCTACCCTCATCTGTCCATCATTTGAAGCGGTCTCTTCGCGTAAACCTACTCTACGATCTCAGTAAGTCATTAGCCGCTCCGCTCCGCACCGACATGCGACAAACGTCACCGGAAACTAACTCTTCCCCAGCTCTCCTCCCACCCCATCAACGATCACAACGACATTATGGCAGACTCGGGTCTTGACGCTGCTGCCCCCGCTCCTGTGGAGCACCTGAACATTAAAGTCACCGATAACAACAACGAAGTCTTCTTCAAGATCAAGCGGTCCACGCAACTCAACAAGCTTATGAACGCCTTCTGCGAGAGACAAGGAAAGCAGCTGTCTACGGTCCGTTTCCTCTTCGACGGTACTCGTGTACGCCCGGAAGATACCCCCGATACGGTACGCCTTCCCCAACCAACTGTCCCAAAGCACGGCGCTAACATCCCTCTGAATCAGCTGGACATGCAAGACGGCGATACGCTCGAAGTCCACCAGGAGCAGATTGGCGGCGGCTGCCTCTGAGAGGGGTCATTCGCTCACGTTGATATCTGCTCCTCTGATTTTCCCTCGTGCTTTCGTTGTATTTCTGGCATCCAGTCTCAGGCGCACGGTGTTGTAAGCGTGGCCCCCGGTTTTGGGTTGCGTCAAGGGGGATCCAAGAAACCAAAAAAACTTCTACGAATAAACTTTTTTACTTTTTTTCCTTTTGATTATCGCAATATGCACCAGACGGAACTCCCGATGGACTGACGCTCATTTCTTCTGGTGTCCATATTACCACCCGTTAGGCCTAGAATAGTACAGACCACAGGACATACCACATCTCTTGACAGAAGAAACCCATGCAATGTAATCGCATCAGCCAACCAACAATAAGACACGGAACCACCCTCCGGAACAAGAAACGGCCCAACAGCCGCACCGCAATAAACATACATAGATAGACATATATATACCGCGAAGAACGGCCGGCCCAAGGCGCTCGGCGAAACCCCAGGACCCAGACCGACACATAATAAGAAAGAATCACTCATCCCAAACCGCCGCCTTGGCCTGCTCCTCCGCCTCCTTAGCCTTAGCCGCCTCCTCACGCTCGCGATTCCGCCGCTTAATCTCCTGCTCCTTGACGGCGCGGTCGTACGCGCGCTGTTCCTCCGTACGCTTGGGGGCGCGCAGGCCCAGCGCCCCGGCGATCATCCTGCCAGCGACGGCGGTCTGCTTCTCGGGTCTGCGGGAGGGGGTGGGCGAGCGAGAGTCGGACGCGCGCGAGGTCGAGCCGGAGTTTGTATAGGCCGGCGTGGCGGGCCAGGGATTCGAGGTCTGAGGGGAGATGGGGGTGGGCGGCGGGTCGAGGGGGCCTTCGGCGGTGACGGAGGGCGAGAGGGCGGTGTCCGGGTTGTTGGAGGAGGAGGCTAGCTCGTCAGAGGAGGAGACGGTATCGGCCTCATCTTCCCAGGAGTCGGCGATGACGGGGGCCTTCTTCTTGGGGATGGGGCGGGGAATGTCCTTGATGGCGGCTTTGGTGCTGAGCGAGAGGTCGCTGAGGGAGGAATGGAGCTCAGAGGCGGTGGTGGAGGCTGCTGGGACGGACATCGGAGCGGTTAGTGGAGGGATTGTGGGAGGAATGGAGGGAGAGAGGAAGGTAGAAGGCAGTTAGAAGAGAGAGGAGGTATAAGTGCGGGTCAATGGGAACAGACTCTTGGGCTTTGGAGGGGTATCGGGAGGTGCCATGCCCGGGGGAAGGATGTCGAACAGCGGATCGTTTGGGTAGGAGAGACGGAATTGATAGCCGTGGGGAATGAGAGAAACGATAATCGTAGTTAGTAATAATAGATACGTACTGTAGTCGGGAGAGAAGAGAGGAAGAGTCTAGAGAAGTGATGGAAGAATGATGGCGTCAGTCGTGGGGACATGGGCGGGTGATTGGCTGCCGGGTGACAAAGCAATTTAAGATGTCACTCCTATTTATTTATAGAGTCTCAAGTACTCCGTATATAGAATTGTACAATAGTTTCAGTCCTCCTTCTAGTACCTCAATAATTACTCTACTTTGAATCTGGATATCCGGAGACAGACCCTTGACGACACTTCCTCTCCATACCACCACTAATATAACAACCTACTCCCTCAGTATTAGACTTTCCTGTCCCCCGCAAGTAGTGGGTCGACAAAAGCACTAGTACTACGTAGTAAGAACTAAAAGTACATGCCGTCACGATGTCTTTCTCCTCGTCGGGACAGGGCCGCATCACTCTGCCTGAGGCCATGTATCATGCCTGAGGCATCACGACGCGAGAGTGGATGTCGCATCCACCTGTCTTCCGAGAAGGCCAATAACAGTGCCTATACGGGCCTCGGAAATACCGGTCAGCAGTCCGAGACCGGCGGCGGGGAACAAACGCCTTTATGCCTTTATAAGCTCATGATCGCCTTCTTCGGCTATTCTGTGGGCATGCTTGCGTCTTTATAGTTCGCTTGCCTCGGACGTCTGGTGGCTCCAGACGCAGTCCATTGTCGACTGGTAGCCTGTGGTATCTGGTATACCCAGACATACATAAATATAAACATGCCACAGATATCCTCCCTCGCAGCGCGGACGCGGAGAATCATCCCGGCAGCGGGAAACCGTCTCGCCCGCTTTTCCACATCCTCGCGGAGCTACGACTATGCCGACACGCTCCCTAACCTGAAGATTGGCGCCCACACACGCGTACTGTTCCAGGGATTCACAGGTACGAGCGCACCGACGGTAGAACCCATACAATATCTGACAATCAACAGGCCGACAGGTATACTCACAGCCACTCCGGCGAACCACGCTAACAAGCTCAGGCTACGGCCAACGTGAAAGAATCCCTAGCGTGGGGGACCAAAATCGTAGGAGGCGTCAAACCCGGCGTCGAAGGTGAACACCTGGGACTCCCTGTCTTCCCTTCTGTGAAAGCCGTACGTCTTCTGATCGTTACCGCTCAATACTTCGGCTCACGAAGAACAGGCCCAGGAAAAAGCCAGACCCGATGCGTCTGCAATCTACGTCCCCGGGAACCAGACGGCTCAAGCCATTGAAGAGGCCGTCGAGGCGGAGATCCCCCTAGTCGTGGCGGTCGCCGAGCACGTCCCCATCCACGACATGCTCCGGGTAAGGCACTCTCTACGAGGTTAGAATGCGTGAGTTAACCGAGTCAGATCCACTCCATGCTTAAAACGCAGTCCAAAACACGTCTGGTCGGGGCGAATTGCCCCGGGATCATCTCCGCCATTGGCAAGTGTCGCATAGGATTCCAGCCACTGCCCTGTTTTGCGCCAGGAAAAGTAGGCATCGTTGCGAAGTCCGGCACGCTCAGCTATGAGACGGTGGCGTCGACAACGCGGGCCGGTCTGGGACAGAGTCTTTGCATTAGCATGGGAGGCGACGTCCTCGCCGGAACGAACTTTGTGGATGCGTTGAAAATCTTCGAGGACGACCCCGATACGGAGGGTATGATCATTGTCGGGGAGATTGGCGGCACGGCCGAGATGGACGCGGCCGAGTGGATCAAAGATTACAACCGCAGGACCGCCAATCCAAAGTATGTCCCTGTTTCTTCCGAACGGAGCACCAAAATACTGACGACGTAGACCCATCATGGCCCTTGTCGGCGGACTGTATGCTCCTTCGGGACGTATTATGGGCCATGCTGGCGCCTGGACCGCCATTGGCGAGCCGGGCCCAGAAGAGAAATACCAGGCGCTCGAGCGTGCCGGAGCTGTCATGGTCAACCATCCGGAGAAATTCGGCGAACGCATGAAGACGCTCTTGGCCAGTCGATCTCGTGCTTCGGGTGCAGTAGCTGTAAGGCACCCCGCACCGCAGCATAAGTCCTGAAACTGATTTCCACGCAGACTTCCAATGCCGCGGGTCAAAGACGGGGCCTGCATACGATGAGACGGGTTATTCCACGGAGACAAGGAATGTTTCCCCAGAATCAGAAGCGGTCCCTCTTCGTCAAGCAGTTCCAAGCTCTCGATATGCTGAGGGAGAAGTCTATTCCCGTCCGCGAGGCCACACCCGCAGAGTCCGATATCTACCTCAACCTCACTGTGGATCGGACAGCCTTGTCGCCCTGTATCCTTGCCTCAACAAGTGCCGACTTTACGCCAGCCGCGACCAGCCGGTTTCCGTTCCCCTATGCCACGACACAGTTCACGGATGGGGAGAATTCAATTGTGGAAGCAGTCGCATCGCACCTGCAGCTCCCCCCATCGGCGAAAGGAAGACTGGCCGAGCTGATCCAAGCGCTGTGGGAGATCTTCAAGGAGAAGGAAGCCTATCTTCTGGAGGTCCGTACGATTTCTGTGGATGGTGCATTCGAAGTGCGTGGAGCACGATTTGGGTTCGACGACGCCGCATTCCGCAGCTCCGGACGGCAAGAAGAGGTGCACCGTCTGCGCCAGCTGGAGGAGGAAGTCCACGAGGAGGTAGAAGCCGAGAAGGACGGCATCGTTTACGTGAAGTAAGTTGCCCGTTGTCTTCTGAGCACATCGGCGAGCACTGCTGACTACCCAGACTCGACGGCGAGGGCAGCATCGGAACCCTAGGTAAGATACCCACGCCCTCCGTCCAGTTGCATACTAAGACGAACAAACAGTGAACGGCGCCGGCCTGGCAATGAACACCGTCGACGCGCTCACCATCCACGGCGGACACTGTGCCAATTTCCTCGACACGGGAGGCAAGGCGACATCGGAGACGGTCAAGTCGTCGTTTCGGATCATCACGTCGGATCCGCGGGTGAAGGCAATTTTTGTCAACATCTTCGGCGGACTGACGCGCTGCGACATGATCGCCGAGGGGATCATCCTCGCCTTTCGGGATTTGAAGATGAGCGTGCCGGTGGTGGTGCGACTGCGGGGGACGAACGAAGAAGCGGGACAGAGAATGGTGAGTTTCACTCCGACTGGATGCGATCGGCGCTGACGGGATAGATTGCGGAGAGCGGACTGCCTCTGCATGCGTTTGATGGGTTTGAAGAGGCGGCGCAGAAGGTGATAACGCTGGCAGGTAAATAGGACGGAGTAAGATAGAGATCTAGTAGATTGTTTGTATAGGAGTCGACATAGAGTGATGGCGTTACATAATCGATTGACCGCAAATTGCGAATCCCCGCGATCAGCGGAGGAGCCCCGCCAAGGAAGTCTTCCCCTGCGACAGCCACGTACTCTTTCTTCTCTTTTCTTTTCTTCCTCCCCCTCTTCATCTCCCTCCCTTCTCTCGTCTCGTCTTCCTCCCATCTTCAATTCCCCCCACTCAATTGCAAAAATGGCCACGTAAGTCGCCTTCCCACCACTCACTATCCCCAACTAACAACCGCAGAAACATCACCTACCACGCCGCCGCCCTCACCCGCAAGGAGCGCGACGAGCTCCGCAACCAGCGCGGCCTGACCATCTGGCTGACGGGGCTGTCGGCATCGGGCAAGTCGACCATCGCGGTGGAGCTGGAGCACCAGCTGCTGCGCGAGCGCGGGGTGCACGCGTACCGGCTGGACGGCGACAACATCCGGTTCGGGCTGAACAAGGACCTGGGCTTCAGCGAGCACGACCGCAACGAGAACATCCGGCGCATCTCCGAGGTCGCCAAGCTGTTCGCCGACAGCGCCGCCGTCGCCATCACCTCGTTCATCTCGCCCTACCGCAAGGACCGCGACACCGCCCGCCAGCTGCACGAGGTGCCCACCCCTGGCGAGGACACCGGTCTGCCCTTCGTTGAGGTGTTCGTCGATGTGCCCGTCGAGGTGGCGGAGCAGCGCGACCCCAAGGGGCTGTACAAGAAGGCCCGCGAGGGCATCATCAAGGAGTTTACCGGTATCTCGGCCCCGTATGAGGCGCCCGTCAACCCGGAGATTACTATCAAGAACGTCGATCTGCCCGTTCAGGACGCTGTGAAGCAGATTATTGAGTACCTGGACTCGAAGGGATATCTGCCTCCCAAGAAGGAGTAAATTTGTTGCTGGATTTTCCTCCGGTTTACGTTTGTTTGTTATGTCTCATGTGTGATGGATAGATTCTGTACAGAAGGCTAGATTGATCTGTACATACCATGTCTTTAGAATATAAGGTACTATACATATATACTCCGTATCTCCTTGTAAAATCCAGAACTCAATGCAGTATATACGCTACCAACAGACCAGCTAATTGAACTCGAATTCATAATACACATACGCCGTGTACTCGCCGCCCTCGCCGTGCTGCATCTCGCTCGGGTCGTCTCGCTTGACCCGGCCCTTCTTGTCGCGCCCAAACGCATTCCCCGCCAGGTACGAGTATTTCTCGTCCAGGTTCCGTTTGGCCTTGTCGGCTTGTTTCGTTCCGGGTGTCTGTCAGCTCCAGTTAGTTCTAGCCCTTCTCTTTCGTTTTTCCAGGGAAAAGAGCATACCCGAATAATAGTGCAGACAAAGTCCAACGGCAGTCCATACCGTAGCACCGTCTCGACAAACACCCGCAGCACCAGCACGTGCATCCAGACCATAACCGCCTCGCTCCACGACGTCCGGCCGAGTCGCAGCGTCTCCCCCCAGAGCTTGCGTTCGTCGCCGCCGACCCGCTCCACCTCGCGGCGCTCCTCCTCCTTGCCGCCCTCGACGTACTTGAACTCGCGTGGGATCCACTTGTGCTCGCGCGCCTTGTGGATGAATTCGGCGCTGTGCTTGCGGAACGTGGTCACCGCGTACAGGGTGAACTCGTCGTCAGCCGCGACCAGATTGGCCGAGCGGGGCACCACCATCGGCGACACAGTCTCGTAGGTCTTGAGGAAGTCCTTGGTCTGCTGCGACGGCACAGCCACAAGGTGCGTTTCCAGGAACTCGGAGTTCTGGACAAGGGAGCGCGGGTCGACGACGGAGGCCAGGGATTTGGTCGAGAGATTTCCTCTGGAGATTTGTTAGGGGTCTACCGTGGGTAGAGAGAAGTGGGTGGACGTACGTCTGCTTCCGTTGCAGGGTCATCAGGGTGTTCTTGACCTGGTTGTATTGGGAGTATTTCGAGCGGATGTCATTATCGATGCTGGCGGCCTCCTGTTCCGCGACGCGATTAGCACCTGCATGGAAAGCTCCGACGAGATCCGCATGCATACCTTCTGCAGCAGATCGATCAGCTCGCCCAGCGGCTTATCGGCACGGTACTTGACCTTGTTCCACGAGAACGTGCGGAGGTACTGGTCCACCGGCTCTGTCATCACGTTAGCCCCCATCTACATGCCACGTCTAAGACCCACATACTATCGTTCACGGCCTTCATCTTCTCAATCTGTGCTTCGTCGCCCTCCAGGATGTTCTTCAGCGCGTCCCCGACCTTGGCCACGACCGCCTGGCAACCGGCCTCGAGCTTGGCCAGCTCGTCGGCCTGCTGCACGAGGGCGTCGAGGGTCCCGATCTTGAATTCGGGGATCGGGAAAGGAGCCACGGTGCCATTATCGGAGGCGACGGTGGTGGAGATGGCGTCGAGGGCGTCGTCGCGGTGGTGGGAGGGGGTGATGGAGGTGGGGAGAGAGACGAGGAGGTACTTTGCTGCTTTGGACATGGTGGGTGGCAGTGTTGGGGGATGACTTGAGCGATGAGAGAGTGACACGCCCAGAAAAGGGCCGGAGGGTGGGAGAGCGTGAAGTTGGTCGGGGCCTGTCTGGTTGTATATCGATCTGGCTTGAGCTGTTGCGGAGTACGTTCGGGCCCGATCAGGTGACCTGCCGCTCTACGAGTGATCTCATACTACAGAGTACGGACTCTTCATATTTCAATATTATAGAAATTAATACGATAAGAATGTCTATTATCAGATGCATCTACTACAACAGTAGTATGTCTAACTATGTACAATGCACGAAACCGAACCGAAACCGAAATCCATCTATGCGCCAGCCCATGATCCCACAGCGCAATCCCAAATACACTAGTTGGTAATCTTGTACAGACTCGACATGGCCTAGAATGAAATCAGCTCAACTCTCGCACTACCCCTTTATGTAGAACATACCGCAGCTTGCTTGGGCTCCACGAACAGCGACTTGGCCTCGACGAGCACCTGCGGCTCCTTGCCGTCCTCAGGGAGCGTCTCGATGCGCGCCTCGACCCACGCCTTGCGGCCCTCGACCTTAACCGTCTCGGCGCGCAGCACGACATAGTTTTCCGCCATGGCGGGGCGACGGTAATCGATGTTCAGGTTGGCCGTCACACCAACCTTATTCGGCAGCGCGGGGAAACAGCACCGGCCCATGGCCTCGTCCAGCAAAGTAGCCAGCAGACCACCATGAACGATACCCGGGTGGCCGCACACACTGGGCCCGAGGTAGAAGATGGACACGAGGCTCTTGCCGCCCTCCTCGGAGAAGATGTAGGGCGGCACAACAATCTTCTCAGGGCCGGCGAGGGTGCCTGCGGTCAAGTTGCGCGCGCGCAGAGCCTCGGGGATCTTCAGGTGCGGCCGCGACTCGGTGAAGGCGGGGTTTTCGCGCAGCGAGACGGTCAACGGGTGGTTGCGAATGTACTCGTCGACGGTCTGGGAGAACTCATCCGGGGGCGCGAAGGCCGTCAGGGTCTCCTCGTCGGTGGGCAGGGTGACAGTCATCATGCGCGAGACGGTCTTGGATGTCTGGTAGACCAGGCCGGCAGTGAAGGCGAGAACGGCGATGGAGGTGAAGCCGAGGAATCGACCGAGGCGCGAACGGGGGTTGGATGTCTGGGAGGGAATGGAGGGGGCGTCTGCGCACACAGAGGTTAGTTGTGCCCGGGGAGAAGAGAGAACGGCAGGACGCCTTACCGGTGGAATACGGCTTGGAGGAGCGGTTGAGAGAACGAGAGACGCTGGTAAAGGGCGCACTGCGCGGATTTATAGGTCTGGGCCTGAGACAAAGCGTGGTTGTGGTGGAGACCGTCCGAATGAATGGGGCACGCATGGTGAAGGAATGTATGAACAGAAGAATAAATGAGATATTAACAATGAAATGAAATGGTCTGTAGAAGAAGAAGAAGGTTATGAGAGAAATAAGGAATGACTGGACGTGAGGCCTCTTTGCGTAGGCTCAACAGTTCAACGGTGGTCGGATAGTTCGATATTGATTCATCAGTCCGGCAGGTTCTTCTTCCCGCCCAAACAACCTCGGCTGATCGGGATGACTAACAAGCTCAAGGATCTATACAGAACTACGGTACTGGAAGAGAGTATCTCCAGTTACACATCTCCCACGCAGTGGTTACTCCGTACCTCTAGTCCCGTTCTTATCTCTTCTTTATACAATGTGGCATACACATCCTCAAACAGGACCTGTGTAGCTATGACGCATCAGTCAACTATCAGGTTCCACAGCATCGGTTGCACGGGACCCCCTCAACCTCTTCCATTCCATTTCTAGAGCCCAACCAGCCAATAACACAATGTGCACTGGGGAAATGGAATCCTGCGATGAGAGCATGATAAATGCCTGGATCACCACCTTCAACATTGAATGTGTTAGAAGCATGTTGGGGACTCTGGGGACTGCAGAAGTATATACTATTTGCCGTGATCCGTCCTTCCCGAACAGGAAATACCTCAACAACTATAGCCCTAACTTGATCACAAGTCCAACAACGCCTTCAACTGTTCATCAATCAGTCATTCATCTGCCATGAAAGACATTCTTTGCAATTGGATATACTAACTAATCGGATCGGATGCTTTTGAGAAAGGCACTATTGACCAGCTAGCGTCTCTATCTGCAGGGTTCCCCTCCGATCACATCTACTAGAAACATGCCGGGATCATCAGGGGCACACGCAGACTTTCTCGTTCTCATTCCAGCCGGATTAAAAGCATACGGGCTGTTGAGGGGTATATTGTCGGTTCTATTATTACTGCCTGGATAACGACCTGTCTCGTTCTCGACTGTCCTCCCGATGTATCCGTCTCCAGCATGCCAGGGGGACAACCCTTGACAAACAACACCACATTCCTTCAACCACCTTCACTTCACCACCACACTCATTCTCTCCTTAATTTTCAATCTAGTCGCTCGTTATCATGATTTCTCGTCCCTCGTTTGCCTTCATATCGGCCATTCGCGTCGCCCAGGCGCTCAATCACGGCCACCTCCCCCCTCTCCCCGACGACTACGACGTGCTTCAATATGTTGATCCGCTGATTGGGAGCGCCAATGGAGGTGAGAACAGTCAAGTCACCGTGCCAATCAATCTAACACATGTTCAACCAGGTAACGTCTTCGCGGGCGCGTCCCTCCCCTATGGCATGGCGAAAGCCGTCGCCGACACCGATTCCGAAAGCAACCAGGGAGGTTTCGCGTACGATGGCAGCAAAATAACCGGATTCTCCAGTCTTCACGATTCCGGCACCGGTGGCCAGCCATCGCTGGGCAACTTCCCGCTCTTCCCGTACGTGTCGTGTCACGATGACAACGTCGATGGCTGCGTATATCCCAAGAAGGAGAGGAAGACGACCTACCACAACGACTCGGTCACCGCCACCCCAGGCCACTTCGGATTGACCATGGAGTCGGGCATCAGGGTCGACATGACCGTCGCCCATCACACGTCGCTCTTCCAGTTCCAGTTCCCGTCCAGCAATGCGACCAAGCCCCTGATCCTGCTGGACCTCACCGACCTGTCCGACACGCGACAGGACAATGGCACTATATCCGTTGATGCGGAGTCGGGCCGCATGACCGGCCATGCGACTTTTCTGCCCAGCTTCGGCAGTGGCTCGTACACTCCTTACTTCTGTGCGGACTTTCGTAGCGCAGCGTCGGTCCGCGACAGCGGCATCTTTGTCAACTCGCGCGCGAGTACCGACGTCCAGGACCTGACCATCTCTCGCGGCATCAACGGATATCCTCTTCCTGTGGGTCTTAATGCATCTCCGTCCCTGCGGACAGACTAACGGAAGTAGGGCGGTGCGTTCATCCGGTTCCATGCTCCAGACAACATCATCCAAGCGCGCATGGGCTTGAGTTTCATCAGCAGCGAGCAGGCATGTCGCAACGCCGAAACCGAGATCCCCCACTTCGACTTCAACGCGACGCGATCCGCCGCCGTGGATATCTGGAGAAAGAAGTTTGCACCCATTCGGGTGTCGAGGCAGGGCGTCGACAGGTCCTTCCTGGTCAACTTCTACAGCGGCGTCTACAGGACCATGATTAACCCGCAGGACTACACCGGAGAGAACCCGCTGTGGAAGAGCAGTGAGCCGTACTTTGATTCCTTCTACTGGTACGCATCTTCATCTCTCTCCCCAGCCTACCTCTAACCGCAACAGTCTCTGGGACTCCTTCCGCTCCCAGCTGCCGTTCCTTACCATCTTCGACCCCGAGTCCCTGACACGCATGATCCGCTCGTTAATCGATACCCAGCGACATCTGGGCTGGCTCCCGGACTGCCGCATGTCCCTCTGCAAGGGTACACCCTTATCCCCACCACATCCACTCCCTCCACTGACAACAGCAGGCTACACCCAAGGCGGCTCCAACGCGGACGTCGTCCTCGCCGACGCCTTCGTCAAGGGCATCTCAGACCAGATCGACTGGGAGGCCGGCTACCGCGCGGTGAAAAAGGACGCCGACGAGGAGCCGTACGACTGGTCGAACGAAGGCCGCGGCGGCCTCATGAGCTGGAAATCGCTGCACTACATCCCCGTCGAGGACTTTGACTACCTGGGCTTCGGCACTATGACCCGCAGCGTCTCGCGCACCCTGGAGTACTCCTACAACGACTTCACCATCGCCCAAATCGCCCGCGGCATGAACAACACCGCCGACGCGGAAAGGTACGAAGCCTCGTCGCGCAACTGGGAGAACCTCTTCCGCGCCGACCAGCGGTCCGTCGTGAACGGCTCTGATACCGGGTTCACCGGCTTCGTGCAGCCAAAGTATCTCAACGGAACCTGGGGGTATCAGGTACACCTCCCCAACACGCACATCCTCATTCCCATCTAACAACTTCTAGGACCCCACGACCTGCTCCAACCTCGACACCAGCGGCCGCTCCTGTTCCCTCCAGAACAACGCCGCCGAGACCTTCGAGTCCAGCATCTGGGAATACCAATTGTACCCTCCCCCCAACCCACCTTCTTCCTCTTCCCCCCTCCAAACCAAGAAATCTAACCAATAGGAACTACCAGCTTCGTCCCCCATGACATGGCCCGCCTCATCACCCGCCTGGGCGGCCCGGCCTCCTTCGTCCGCCGCCTCGACTACCTCCACGAAAGCGGCCTCACCTACATCGGCAACGAGCCTGCCTTCCTAACCGTCTTCCAGTACCATTACGCCGGCCGGCCGGCCAAGTCGACCGCCCGCGCGCACGCCTACATCCCGGCGTACTTCAACACCGCGCCCGCCGGCCTGCCGGGCAACGACGACTCCGGCGCCATGGGCTCCTTCATCGCCATGACCATGATGGGGCTGTTTCCCAACCCGGGGCAGAATGTGTATTTGATCCTGGCGCCGTTCTTTGAGTCCGTGCGTATCACGTCTCCGCTGACCGGGAAGACGGCGACGGTGCGCGCGGTGAATTTCGATCCGCAGTATCGGAATGTGTATATCCAGTCTGTCATGCTGGATGGTCGGCCGTATACGAAGAACTGGGTGGGGCATGACTTTTTCACCGAGGGGCGGGAGTTGGTCGTTGTGTTGGGGCGGAATGAGAGTCGCTGGGGGACTGCGCCGGGCGATGTGCCGCCTTCGTTGTCGAGGAGTGGCATGGCGGATTTCAATTTTCGGGGGTTGTGAACAATGTACGATAGGTCTACGATCTACGATCTACTATCTACTAGTATCATGGAAATGACAGCTCGGTTCTATCGGCGTGGACCATGAGACGCTTTTCATAAGCATAGTGCGGACATGTTGAAACCATGCGGCAGTCTCGCACGAGATAAGGGGAATCGTAATATATACACATCATGCTAACAAGAAACAAACCAGACACCGAAACCACCACAATCCATTCACCCCGTCTAAGCCTTGGGACGATAGAACTTGCTCTCCACCCAGGGCATGCCGACGACGCTGGCCTTGCGGACCTTGTTGCGGACGAGAATGCCCACCTCCGTGCCCTTCTTGTGCATGCCCTGCTTGATGTAGCCCATGGCGATGTTGGTGCCGCCAAGGGACGGACTGGGCAGACCCGAGGTGATGACGCCGATCTGGGTGCGCGACTCATCGTTGAGGTCGACGATGACGGCGCCCTCGCGCGCGGGCGAGCCCTTCTCGACGGTGAAGCCAACCCGGCGCTGCGAGAGCGTCTTGGCGGGAGACGCGAGCTGGGGCAGGATCACGGACGCGCCGTTGAAGGTGGCGGTCGCCGGGTCGCGGCGGTCCTTGCCGACTACCCAGCCGAGGGAAGCACCGGGTGGCGTCTGGGCGGTGGAGATGTCGTTGCCGTAGAGACACATGCCGGCCTCGAGACGCAGGGAGTCACGGGCGGCCAGGCCGGCCAGACGCACCTGGTCCGGGTTGGAGAGCAGCAGCTCGGTGACCTGAGTGGGGAGCTCGGGGCAGTCGGCGAACGCGGGGATGGAAATCTCGAAGCCGTCCTCGCCGGTGTAGCCGGTGCGAGAGACTAGGACCGGGTGGGGGCTGCGCGAGCCGTCCGGCAGGGTGAGGTAGAGGTCGCGGCAGTTGCCGAAGTAGAGGGTGCTGAGGTCGGTCTCCGGGCCGGAGCCGTTAACGACAGACTGGAGGACCTCGGCCGCGAGGGGGCCCTGCAGGGCAACCAAGGCGCGGTCCTCCAGAATCTCCCACTTCAAGCTCTCGGGGCCGTGGGCGTTCTTGTACGCAGTGATCTCGGCCTCGAGGAAGGCGAGGTCCTCATCGCGCCGGCCCGCGTTGGTGACGAAGTAGAAGGAATCCTCGCCGCGGCGAGTAATGACAGTGTCGTCAATGATGCCACCTGTGCCATCTTCCAGCAAACAGGACAGGGTCGAGGTGTTGATCTTGAGCTTGTCGAGCGAGGAGGGGGAAACCTTCATCAGGAGCTCCATGGCGCCTGGTCCGCTGAGTTGGTGCTGAACCCTGTACACTTGTTAGCATCAAGATACCTCTGCAGCGTTTCTATGGTGTGGTATTCACGGGTATGAACATACATGTGGCTCACATCGAACAAGCTGGCCTTCTCGCGGGTCCACTTGTGACTCTCAACATGGCTCAGGTCGGAGTACTGCAGGGGCATGGAATACCCCGCAAACGGCACCATCTTCGCTCCACGAGCGACATGAAGGTCGTACAGGGCCGTTTTTCTCAGGGGACCCGTGGGGGCAGGAGAGGAAGCATAACGCACGCCTCCGTTGACAGGGAGAGTGCCCGCGCGAAGGAACGGACGTCCTGCGGAGCGGAGAGCGCGGGGAGACGAAAGCTGCCGCGGAAGCAGGGTTGAGCCATTGGCGGCCACAGGCACAGCACGAGAGATCGGCTTGGATCCCAGGAGGCTCAGGCCTCGTCTCAAAGGTCGTACAGCAGACATGATTCTGATCTGAAGCAGTTGGATGGGGGATTTACAGAAACAAGTTGTGCGGCGGACAAGAAGAAGAGAGATTGCGGAGAAGCCATGCAGATAAGCGGAAAAGTCACGTGGTGATAGGAGATCTCCGCGGAAATCGCCTCTAACTATAAGACACGGATAGCACCTCCAACAGATGTCTGAACCTCCGGTATGCCTTCTGCATGGGCCAAGACCGTAGATCACGGGGTCTATCGAGGATCTTCACTAGATCGTCGCGCTCCTCCGGTTCAGTGAAATATACCCCATAGAAGGTGATGGTAATGATGCCATTCGCCAGGGCCGGCTGACATCGCAGATGGTTCAGGACAACGCCACAGATACGGAGAACACTGACAGGGCCTGTGCTTCTGCTTTGTGATTTACAGGGCGAGGTGCATGTCTTCGTAGGCTCCGCATTTGGCTCGACGCGGTAAGGCGACATCTAACTTACTCGAGACGCGGGTCCTCAGCAACGAGAATCATCTTGCCCAGCTCCAAATGCTGAAAGGCGGTTATTTGGTTGTCTGCCGCATACCACACAGTATTAAACAGCCTGTCCTTTGATCTGTGGCCCTTTTGTGCAAGGGTCGGCTGTAGCCGATGCTTATGGTCGTGAAGTAGCTGCTGTCGTCGTAGTCTACGCTGTGTTAGTGGTGCGGTCTTCGTGTCATTTGGCCGGTGATATCCATGGTTAGAGCTCATTGATGAAGTACCACAAAATGCATGGCTCTTGGGGACTGAATGGCCTGCGAATGTTGTACAGGGCATCATTGTTCCAATCGGACACCCACGGCTCCCCACGCACTATTCCAGACTGGCCAGACCCAATCGGCGGAGGGACATCACTTGCTGATGCCTGCGCGATTGGGGGAGTACGCCCTGGACAACGAAAGGGAATGTGCCTAGACGGCCCACGGGCCTCGTTGATTTCCGTTACTGGATATGGTGTCCAGTTTCTAGGCCGACTGTTAACCCAGGGCTGGTTATGAGCGAGTCGAGCATCGAAATTGGCCGTGGAGCCATGCCGAAACGATGGCCTGGGCGGAGCCCGCACACAAGCCAGACTTTTCGCGTGACATCGCGCACATGTCGGACGTGACTTATCATCTGCAGAAGCAGTGTCAACACCCAGATCTCGATCACAGTGTGGTTGCACAGTCTTACACTTTTGGTGCTCCGCTGGGCGCATGTTCGTTAACTCGTGTCTGGTCAAAGGAAGACACCCATACCCTAACTCTTCAAGCAAGGTGTGTGTGCCATTGAGAGCTAGATGCCGTTGCTTCAATGTTCAATAGAGACCAGCTGGGAAAGGTTTTGGGGATATGAGGGGTGTGCGGGGAAGATGACCCCTCATGGATACTCCCCGATGCGGTAAGAGACCCCGCATGAGCCCTATAGGTCATACAGACGAAGTATACGGTATCATCAATCCAGCAGGAGGGATATTGGCAGCGCCTTGAGATTGCCTTCGCGCGAGAAGCTAATGAGTTTGTGGACGCTGTGCTGGGTGATCGGCCGGTCCCTGTGGTCTTGGAGACTGGCATCATGGTGATCAAAATTGGACAGACCTACAGCAGGCGTTGATGTCGGGGATGTCAGAGGAAGTGCTTAAATTGAATAAAGACGGTAAACGGGCGGTTTCCTCGGCTAGACTCTAGATATATCATCCTGGAAGGCCTAAAGGAAACCTACTAAAGATGTCTGTAGGAACTAGATTAATGATACTACCTATCAGCTGTTCGTCACTACGTGAGCTCCAGACTACTTTGTTTACTGAAATGGTAAGACTACGAATGCTATACTACCCTACAGCTCTAACCATTCTATATCTACGGTGTGAGCAATACCGACTCCTTCGGCACCACTGCAAGAATGACTCCTTGCTCCCCGGAATTCACCACGACCGGAAGCACAGACGGCCTCAACGCGGACCAGTAGTCCGCGGAGGGTGACTTGCGGTTGGAATGATTCATTTGATCCACGATAATGGATGAATATGTCAATCACGAAAGGCAGCTGTCGCATAGTCCGCACAGATAACACCTCCACATTGGTCCATGTCGTCGTGCGAAATTCTGCTGCAAAGTCATGTCCCTTGGATATTCCACCTCGCTTGTCTCGTTTCAAATCTCCATATCAAAGATGACAAAAAGGATGTAATCATAATTCACGTCACACATCACTAGAGCCCATTATTGGCGCAGGAGAATGGACTACCCACAGTTCCCGCTTGGTAGTTCAAGATCACGCTCTTAATAGAGGCCTGCCAAACCGATTAGTCTCGCAACTCAGTCAGCGCAGCATATGAGGCCACTTACATAAGTTCCCGGTCCGAGGAAGAAGAATCCTATGCCGATTAGCCCAACATTGAGAATGGCTCCTAACCAACCCCGAAGGCCCCGTTTCTTCCAGAACCCAGGTCCATACTCGGCACGCCGCATTCGGAGGTAAGCCACACCCCAAAATATAAACCCAAAAAAGGAGTCGAACAGCGAGCTCATAATGGAGAGGAGGTCAGAGAAGAAGGGAATGACTTCGGCGATGATGAAGGCCAAAATCCACAGACAGGCAAGGATACCCGCCCAAGCGGCCCACCCGACCACGGTATGATTGCCCTTGTGGTGGGTGCCATCAAAAAGACGGAAGAAGAGGAAGCGAGCCGAGACCGAGGCATAGAGCACTCCCAAGAAGATCAAGGTCGGGATCATAAAGGAAAAGGAGACCTTCTTGTACACCTCGTCGCCCAGCGAACCAAATGCCGGGGCTGTCATGTACTGGTTGCCAGTGTAAACGTAGATGATGGCACCAGCCAAACTGAACACGATAATCTCGGCGATTGTCACCGCCGTGACGGACTTCCAGAAGTCTTTAGGTTCTCTCATTTCGGCGATGAAGCTGGGGAGGGTAATCTGCCCGATAAAGGTGTAGCTGATATTGAGGAAAGCGCTCATGGCAGACACGAAAGTGGTTCCCTTGACCGGGAGGGCGGTCACGATTGGGTTTCCCTGCGCAGGAGTGTATCCAGCAGGGTGATCTTCAATGCCGGAAAAGATCATGGCCAACAGGACGGATATGAAGGTGGTCAAAGCGGAGAATGTCGCAACCTTGGACAGCGTACTGAAAGTTCGGGGAAGGGAGAAGATGAAAGAGATGATGGCGGTGATCACGGAGAACACAATGGTGCATCTCGAATGGCCCGTGATTGTGTTGAGGTACTCCGCACCCACCAAACAGTGCAATCCCTGGACGAGGTTAGAATTGATTCTGAGAGAGATGACAAGCAGACATACCTGAATGAAGGTATTGTTCAGGAGGAACATGATCGCGGTCAGATACCAGGCGATCCTGGAGTCCCAGAACAAGTGCTGACCGATATCACACACATCACGAACATGGGGATGACGCAGGCAGAACTTCCTGTGAGACTATTAGCACAGTATTCCAAGGACCGTAGCGGTCGGACATACCAGATCGTGAGCGAGGTATACAGCACAACAGCCGCGATGAACACGGTCAGGATCAAGCCAGGAACTAGACCAAGGACGGAATAGGACCAGGGGAAGGACATGATCGCCAAACAGATATACTCCGAGAACAACAAGGCCGCAGTCTATGAAGACATCGTTAGCGCAGGTTCAAGAGAGGGTTGACGTCAGACGTACCTTTTGCCAGCTGCAGGTCCGGTACTTGATCGAATTCCCGGCCTCGAGTTCGATCTGACGGCCCACATCATCGGTGTCCGAGTCGGACTGAACGTTCCGACTTTGATTCTCCAGGTCCAGCTTCAACTCGTCGGGAGAGGGATCTGACACGGACGAAGACCGGGGAGCGTCCCGGGACCCGTCAAGGGCCTTGGATGTATTGGTTGCCGCCATTTCAGCGAGCGGGCGAACCGCAGGTGTAAGGAAGCGATGGATTGGTGTATGGACGGAATTATGAAGACCTTCGGATGCATGTACTGCTCCTCGAATGCCAGGGTGGTTTGGGAGAGAGGGGATCTATTGAAGGTGATGTGATGTCAGTAAAACTCCCGTCTCGATGGTGAGTAGAAGATCAGCACATGCGACATACATTTAGGTCAGGGATGAAGGAGAAGTAGGCTCAGTGTGAGGAATAAGTGCGCAGGAGAGAAGATCAGCGAGGCGACAGAAATAAATATGGGGGCGAAGCGATAACGGGTCAATCTCTAAACGATTATTGAGATAGGCGCAGGAGCACGTTAGACCGAACGGACAAAGAAAACCAAGACACCGGACGGAGGGCCGAGAGGGCTTAAGGAGGAACAAGAAAAGGCAAGAGGCAGCCAAGCGACCAGGAAGAGGCTTAGCTTCAGGAGGGTGGTGAGATGAGGATACAAAGAACTTCACCAACGTGCGATCTTTTCTTCCGATAGAAAAGAAATAAAAGTCATAAATTTAAAAAATCAATTAAAAAATCATTACTTAAATCCAGGGAAAGAGGGAAAAAATGGTGATTTGGCTAACCGGTTCTGTAGATGAGAGCAGAATAGCGTGATTTCAGAGGCTGATAACGAAGGACGCCGAGACAACCACCTACACTAACGCTGTGAACCTGCTTTCGATTTCCAAAGAATCCCAGCTCCAACGAGGTAATTAGTGGAGGTCTGCACGGGGCCACAGAAGACGAATCTCGATCTGAATGGCCCGCATGAACTCTCAGCCATTTGTTCCTACTGAATCCAGCACATGACGTGCTCTGTGCGTGGGCCTCTGGGGGTGGACGGAAAAGGTTCTAGCTCCAGAATCATGATGGAAGGAGTAAGCCCATCTGCCCTGGTGGCGGTGGGAACGGACCATGGACATGCTTTGAGGTAGTTCTTCCCGCCCGTGGTGTGTAGATGACCGGGAAGTTACGTTAAGCCTCGCTAGACGAGCGTGGTATTCATAGCTTTCATCTCTGGTCGTCGTGAGAGCAGCCCAACGCCAGAAGTCAGATCCTTCCTCGTGGGCAGTCGAGTTACCCCAGAATCTCGAGCTGATAGGAGTTATTGTCCCAATGCGGGCAAATCGACTTCGAGTCTCCCAAATTGCTCATTGGCCGTCAATTTATGCACGGGCCCGCTGGTGATGTTAAGTAAGACGAGCTAGGGCTTCCCGGGTAATGGACCCGTAGATCTGTCCAATCAGAACATCATGATTGGTTGGTCTCCTGATGGAACCGGGCCCTGAATGCGCCAATCACGGCATGCCCTGGCGGCTCCGCCCGATGTGGCTGTTTGCAGGCCCCGCATTCGTCTCAACACCATCCCGAAGACGTTAGCGACCTGCCATCGACTCCGGACCATGACGTGGGTGGTGCAACCAGGAGCAGAGTTTTCTGCCAGACTCTCAACCAGATTCATGTGGTTGAAATAATGCACTGCATAATCATGACTTTTCGAGTATTATTCTGATGCCCTCCAGTGACTTGACCGTTCGAGTGACTCGAGATTCCTGTCATCATGGGCCACTGCTTTAGGGATGCTCCGAAGTATGTTCGCCGACCCGACCAATGTTGTAGCATAAGTTTCAGCACGTTATGCACTAGTCTATGGCGTGATAGCTCACATACTGTTTCTTTCAGCTCCTCATTGTCTCAAAGGGCCTCGATCGTAGCTAGGATGTTTCATCAGCCAGTAGCATGGACATTAGATAAAATTGGCTCACGGTGAAGTTGCTTCTAGAATCCTATCCCATATGCAAGGGTGATAGTCCAAATTAGACTTATCGCGTGGGCTCCCTTGCCTATCAGCTCTCCGCAATATATATCAACGCCACATGTTAAGCAACATCCTCGCCGCTGTTGGTAACCATACATTATCACGCCCTCTGCTCCTAATTCTACGTACACCCACTACGCTCATTACTACTACTATGTTAAAGAATGGCAACAAAATAGGTAAAAGCCCAGCCGTCTACTACAATAGATAGATACTGTAACAGAAGCAAAAAATGGAGTTGCGGGGAATCGAACCCCGGACCTTTCGCATGCGAAGGCATGCTAAGCGAACGTTATACCACTAAACCACAACCCCTTGTTGTTATTACGAGGTTCCGAATAAGACTACATGAATCAGGAACAACATCCTGTGGCGACATCCGCGGATACTGTCGCTTACAATATACTCGAGTAGCTAGAAATGATCACCCTGTCGTATGCACTCACTGCTCACTGCATGCACAAACCAGCGGCCATCAAGTACTTACCAGAATGCTATATTCTCCACAAGTAAATCATAAAGCCAATGTTACGGACTTTTGTATGGTATCTATCTGCCAGTAATATAAACATAACACCTCCTTTGCTACCCCCATCAGATCCCGTCGTCTTCCCCGGCCAGCAGGGCCGCATAGTCGTCTGCCGATGCAAAAGTCGGCAGATGCTTGAGCTTGCGCCTCTTCTTCCGATCGGTCTGGTCCTCGTCCTTGGGCAGTTCCACACCGCCGCCGAGTTCCATGTCCGACGGGAGTTCCTCGTCACTATCCAAGAACGCCTCGTCATCAGAGACATCCATGTCAAACTCATCCTCCGAGGCCTCCGGCTCCTGGGTCTTCTTCGACTTGGACTTGGACTGCACAGCGGCCTGCTCAGCCGCCTCGAACGCCTCGTCCTCATCCATCTCGCCCATCTCCTCATCCATCTCCTCATCGGACTCGTCGTTGAAGATAACCTCGCCTTCCTCGTCGTCACTCTTATCATAAGCGGACTCCAGATCCTCCATGTCCAGATCGTCATCGCTGCCGGCGCCCTCCAACTCGGGCCGCGAGTCGACCAGCGCCTGCCAGATCTCAGACTCAGCGTCGCTAAGACCCTCGCCATCCTCCTCGTCACGGTCAACGGGGTCCTTGCCCTTCTTCTTGCGTGTCTTGTCCTTGTCCTTGCCCAGTCGGTTGAAGTACTCGTGGAAGAATACGTCTTCCGCCGCCACATCCTCCGACTTCTTCTTCCAGAATGCCTCCGAGTTGAGCGGCACATGCTGGGCATGCTTGCCGCCTGCCACCAGGCGATCCTGCGCATCGCTGCCTGCAAGAGGCTGCATGATAGACGCGCCACGCGTCGTTGCAGCCGCCTTGGGCGTTCTGTAGACAAAGCGGTCAAGGAAGTGTGTCAGCGTGTGCAGGGTCAGATCCGGCTTTCCGCTCATGGGCTTGTGCTCGAGCAGATTCGCCGCATTGACCGACACTGAGGGGTGGAAGTGTGACAGGTAGGGTAGCTGTACAGTAGTCAGTCGATGCTCGTTCAACCGGTAGAGGCTACGGGCATATGGAGAGGCTCTTACCAATTCCCACAAGCAGGTTCTATCGGCATTGCTGTGCTCAGGATCGCGCTTGCGTGGGTCGTAGCCGTTAGATGGCTTCCGGGGCTTGGTCTCGGCGGTGACCGCCTGCTCGGGTTGCTCGTCATCCTCGTCCGGCACATCCTTGAATACCTCCTCGTCGTCGCTTTCATTCTCCTCTGGCTGATCGTACAGAGTCTGGATACTGGCAAAGGATTTCTCCAGTTCGCGGAGGAGGTAGAAGACACCACAGACGAAGGAAGGCTGGTGGAGACCGAGGACTTGGACGATGCGCTTCACGAAAGCCTTGACGCGACGGGCGTTGACATCGTTCTTCAGAGCCTTGAACAAAAGGTTGAGGTAGAGCGATTGCTTGGAAGATGTTGCGACCCGCGGGTCCAGGAGAGATTCGTACAGGGTCCGGTAGAAACGATCGGCCGCTACTTGGTGAGATGAAGTCAATTGTTGGATCAACATAAGAGCCTGAATGCTAGTGTTGAAGTTGGACGAATGAGTGATCCGGAAGAGGGTATCGATGTGTTTCGAGAGACTATTGATGATTAGCTTATTGCATTCAAACGCGGGTAGAGGCAAAAAACGTACCGCTCCGAGTCAGAGTTCGTGAAAGGATAGGCACGGTTCACACCAGTCAGCACTGCGGATACAAGCTTGTCCTGCATCTCCTCAGCCTGAGCCTGGCCCTTCTCTTCCTCCTTTGCGGACTTTTTGCCTCCCTTCTTGCCGAACTTGCCAGGCTTTTTGCCTGCCTGAGACTTGCCACCCTTGGTGGGTTTCAGCAAAGCGACGAAGAGGGAGAAGTAGATGTCGAGCAGTTGGACCGCAACAGTCTCTTCCTTGAGACTCAAAACGGTCTGGTTCAGCGTGATGATCGCGTAGTACTTCGCGTGTTGACTCTGGCCCGGGCGGAAGAGGACTTCCTCAACAGCCGTGATGATGGTCGGCTTCATCAGAGGGTGAGCCTGTTCAAGTTGCAGAAGAAGATATGAAGCACGAGATGCGATCTTCCTTGCCTTGTCACCGAGCTTGTTGACCAACAGACGCAAGAGATTTGTTTCTTGCTCAGGCTTTTCCTTCAGCAATTCGTACACATAGCTGACCGCTCTGGAGCGAGAGAATTCGATCTCATCGTTGCACCAGACCTCGAGGATCTTAAGGACCTCGAAGTACTGTTCCTTGAGAAAGTTCTCGTATGCCCAGACAATAAGGTGGCGTTTCTGAAGACCACTAGGGAGGGCGTCGCCTTCAGACCACCTGCTCGCTCCCTGGAACGCAGCGATGAGGGATGGCTGGTTGGAAAAAGATCGGAGCCTGCGATCATTTGGAAGCAATGTGCCCTGAGCGAACATATCCTTGAGAGATCGGAGAACTTCCACCGCCTGCGCACGACTACGCTTCTTTCCGAGACCGATTAGACTTTCCAAGGACTTAGTGTTGTGCAGGGGCGACTCCTGTACAGCAAGAGTCAAAGCGGAGATCTTGTCGCTAAGGGTACCGGTCGACATAATGGTGGTGTAGAACTTGTGCGACGATGAGGCGGAAGCCTGCTGCGCCTCCGCGTACATTTTGTTCTCCTGCTCGAGTAGGGTCGCGGCATATTGATGTACACGTTCCACTAGATGACGGGGCAGAGTGTTCGCTTGTTTCGCCGAGATCGTGGGGAGATCCGTTGCATACCAATCGGACCGGGGCATAACGGTCTATTGCTCGGGTCAGCATGTATGTAAAAGCTGGGGCTGGATATTGCTCACCAGCTTAGAGTATTCCTTGGGGAAAGAAATCTCAGCCTTGTCCTTGGGAGCCTTGTCACTCTTGGTAGATTCCTTAGCCTGTTTCGAAGATGGAGCGGGCTTGATCTCATCTTCCTCATCTTCACCAGAGTCTTCGGCTTGCTCGCTCTCATCCTCATGCTCATCTTCCTCTGCTTCATCCTCCTCGGCCTCGTCGTCCTCCTCATCGATGTCTTCCTCTTCCGCATCTTCGGGGACAACCTGTCCAGCCGCGGCTAGCATACTGGATAGCTCCTTTCGTAGTAAGTCCTCCTCGGATTTGCCCTTCGATTTCTGCGTAGTGTCTGCGACGTCCTCGACATCGGAGTCGATGCCCTCGAGAAGATCGATATCTTCCTTGGTACCACCGAGAGCCAAAACCTCCTGCAAGAAAGTATCATCCTGGGGTGCTGACGTATCTGCCTTGTCTTTCTTCTCCGCAGCAATCACTTCACCGTTGCGATCCCGCTTTTTGCCCTTATTCTTTTCGGCATCGCCTCGCTTTGAGTCCGTCTTCGGCGCGATTTGCTTGGGTTCCTTTGCAGAATCGTTGGAGCCAGCCTTGGTCTTGTTGTTTTTCGACTTTTGCTTGGCTGAACTCTGGTCCTTCAGTCTCTGTTCGATCTTCTGTCGCAGGCCCGCAAAGGCACTCTCTTCCAGCTGGGGAAAAGCGTCTGCACCGGCGTTGGTGCCATTGGCGGCAGAGCTGCCTTCGGAGACAGCCTCGTGAGCGCCGGAGGAGCGCTTCCCCTTACCTTTGGCCATGGTGAACAGTTATAATATACTGACCTGACCAAAGCGTCGTTGTGTTGAATGGTTTATCGCCGGACTTTTTTTTTCTGCCGCCCGAAATTATGGAGACACCCCGAGGCCGCCGGAGAAAAACTTGACCCGGGACCCGCCGTGTCATGCACGGACCACCTGGCCGCAGCCTTCAATTCCGCCGTGTTTAGTTGGAGTTCTTGTATCTTCAATTGTTTGAATCTGACCGGTGGTGGCTGGCAGTTGACAACTTTTTAAATTGGGGAAGCTGCGCACAATCCCAGCCTCTTGATTCATGATTGCCGGGTTTCGCCCGGCGCCGGGCCGCTCTTCAGTGGCATATCGGGCCTATTCGGGAAACCTTCGATTGCAAAGAGGCTTACTATGTCATTACCATGTATGTTTATAGCGCGCGCACTGGAGTTGTGTGCAGTGGCTGATAGTGACAGACCGATGGCAGAACGCGCGTGTCAAACTTTTGGATACCCACGGGAGGTATCTCCAAGAAGAATGTACAAGGAGAGAAAGGTACCTACTTTCTATCTCTACCGAGTATTTCACCCTCTAACACTCGTCCTAGAGGATGTGAATGATCTCTTGATTAGGGGTGGCTTCCTGCGGCAGGTAAGGTTCCCTCTATACATGCGCAGTCGCTGTCTAACTGCATTTAGGCCTACTCTGGGATCTTTCACATGTTGCCCCTTGGTTTGCGTGTGCAAGATAAACTAGAACGTCTCATTGACAAGCATATGCGCTTACTTGGTATGTGTTGACCTTTATGGAGAGTCCATTGGAACTTGCATTTCTAATTCCATGTAGGAGCCTCCAAGGTTTCCCTATCCTCGATATCCTCCCAAGAGCTCTGGGAACAGTCAGGACGTCTGAAGGAAGGCTCAGAGGTAGGAACTGCATTTATACTGACTAGTAACCTACTAAGACATGCAGGTTTTCCGATTTCTCGATAGGAAAGAGTCCCGATTTCTCCTCGCACCCACGCATGAGGAGGAAATCACCACGCTGGTGGGAAGTCTCACCAAGTCGTACAGAGATCTTCCTTTGCGCGTGTATCAAATATGTAGGTACCGTACAAGAGAACAAAAGGCATATCTAACAGCTCATGATAGCAAGAAAATACCGGGATGAGCCCCGGCCAAGACAGGGTCTTCTGCGTGGACGAGAGTTCATCATGAAAGACCTCTACACTTTTGACTACAGCATGGAAGAAGCCCTGAAGACCTATGGGCAGGTAAGAGCTGCCTATACCCGGTTGTTCAACGAATTGAAAATCCCCTATCTGGTCGCCGTCGCCGACTCCGGCAACATGGGAGGGAACCTAAGTCATGAGTTCCATTTCCCCAGCTCAAAAGGAGAAGATACCGTTATCACTTGTACGAGCTGTGACAGTGTTTACAATGAGGAGCTTGCAGACGGACAATCTCACGGGCTCGAAAATAATACAACTCAGTCCGAGGGGTTCAACACCGGGGCGGTCTCAGCTGAAGCAACCCCAACCATCTCTAACGATATCTGGATGGCGATCTCGCGGGACAAGCGAACACTGTTACGAGCCTGGTACCCCAAATTCTCCATGCAAGGAGACTCTCAAGAGCCCGTGGAACGGGAGGTGAATTCGCACGCCGTCAAGGCCGTGGCCAGTGCAGCGGGCGTCGACCTGGATCTCAGCGTGGAGAACCCGCTAGAGCAGTGGGCTACGCAAGTGAAGTCTGAGAAAGCCTCCAAGCGGCCGCAGGTCCTTGACCTTTACGACTCGCAGGTCCGCGTATACAAGCGCCCGCCACTGAGTGATCTCCTGCAGCGCGCTGGGTGTGCGGCCGACGACATCGACTACACCATGCTAGATCGGTTCCCGGAGACGAACAATGGGCTCAACCTAGTCAAGGTGCACGATGGCGACAAGTGCACGAAATGCGGACAGGGACATCTGAAGACCCACACGGCGATTGAGCTGGGACACACGTTCCACCTGGGCACCCGCTACAGCGAAGTCCTGCAAGCCTGTGTCATGGTGGACCGGGCGACCGCCGGCAAGTCCGAGGACCAAACTGTGCCGATGGAGATGGGATGCCATGGCATCGGCGTTTCGCGGATGATCACCGCTGTCGCGGACAGCCTGGCAGACTCGAAGGGTCTCAACTGGCCTCGGGCGATGGCCCCTTACGAGGTCATTGTTGTTCCTACCAAGGGGCTGGAAGCGGACGCAGAGAAGATCTACGATGTTCTGGCCTCCAATCCCACGTCGCCGTTCGACACCATCCTCGATGACCGCGACAAGCAGATGGGATGGAAGCTTGGAGATGCAGACCTGATTGGATACCCTGTTATTGTGGTGGTTGGAAAGGGGTGGAAGAAGCAGCAGACGGTTGAGGTGCAGTGCCGGCGGCTGAACAACCTGCGCGAGAATGTTCCTCTGGAGCGACTCCCAGAGTTTGTGAATTCACTGCTAGCGCAGCTGTAGAGCGGATGAGCTTTGTATTATAGATATCATTGTACCAGTACACCCAAATTGTACACTATGACTGCCAATATACCCATCTCACTTGTGCTGGCAATTTTTCCAGTTCTTCCTCTCGTTAGGTATGCATTGGAGTATCAATGCAGATCATTACCTCACAAATAGCATAACTGGAGCCAATTTCTGTATACCCGGTCTACAAGGTAGGTAGTCTAAGTGTAGTGATAACGCAATGGCTTCACTGTGTGATCTACACAGCCCGTCCAAGGCATAGTCTTTTGCGCGAGCAATCAGAGATTGTGCTGGCTATTCCATTCCATAATAGCGACAGCAAGAGGATGGCTCATGATGAGGCATACAGCAAAAGAGCTGCGCAACCAGTTATCCAACTCGTTTCCTCCCTATAATTTGTTGGATGGAACATCCTTTAATGTGCAACGCATATGCCACAGCCAGCAGATATATGCGACTCTATAGGATGTCTATCAATCTGTATCCCGCCTGACTAGTAAGTACTCTACACTGCTTGTGACTCATTTAGGGCACCTGATACCTGGCTCGTTCGCCAGCTCTTTGCGTTGGCCTCGATCAAGGTGCAAGCGTATTGGCGATGATTGCAACCATCAGTGTTTGGTAGGGATATCAAGATCTATTGACAGAAATCTCTGCATCCGAATATTCCAACACACACTTACTGCTCTTGTGACGATATCATAAACACCCTCTTCTGCGCAGGCAGATCCTGCAGGACTGACTTTATACTTAGGATTGGTAGATTGTTTCTATCCTAGCCACTCGCTCAAGCCACTGGAATGCAGGGTCCCAAAGCGATTGGCGTTTACAAGTATGCGCCGCCTCTATGGTGGTACTAGCTGGCAAGCCTTTCCTTACCGACTAGTCGGTTTAATGAATCATCCTGAATACCTTGTAGAGTACATGTGCCACGATCTCCTACCGGGCGAATGACCCAACACTATAACAACTGCGACAGATGTTAGACACGAGGCGTACACCAGACGTATCCCAGATTGATTGCGCAGCCATCTGGACGTCGGCAGTTGAAGGAAACGCACTGAGCGTCTATAGCCAAGATGTATGGATGTCACATGCATGCGGCGTTTAACAAGATTTACAAGACCTTGTCTTTACATGGCCTTCCGCAGGCAGAAAGAGCCTCTTACAAGCCACAGAATCTAAGCGAGCATAATGCAGGGACACAGTGCAGGCTGTGTCGTTACCCGTGTCCTCCGGTTGATGCCCAGCGGTGTGGCTGGTGCAGCACAAGACAAGGCGGTTTCGCTAGAGCCCCAATACGCCTGACCACCCAGATCTACTAAGCACCGGAGAGATGAGTATACAGACAAGTGTTCATTGATTTCAAGAATAGTAGGATCTTTGTTCACTGTGTCTTTTGACTCCGTGGCTCTTTTGTTGTCGCGACCGCTTTATAAACGACGGAGATCCCTCGTTTCCCGCTCACTTCAATTTCTCCACTACAATCGCTTCGACATTCCAGCTCTCAACTTCTACATCGATTCTTCCATACTTTATACAATTATTCTATCTGAAATACACGTTGATATACTTAAGATGAATCCCAGAATCGGCGTCGGCGTCTTCGTCTTCAACAACCAGGGACAATTCCTCATCGGCAAACGCAAGGGCAGCCACGGATCAGGTATGCCGTCCTCCACGCAGCTTTCATCCATCAAAAGGGTTTTGTCTAACAAGAACTAGGCACCTGGGCTCTCCCCGGAGGCCACCTAGAGTTCGGGGAGTCCTTCGAAGAATGCGCCGCACGGGAGATCCTCGAAGAGACGTCTCTCGAGGTGCGCGATATCCAGTACATGACTGCAACCAACGATATCATGGAAGCAGAGGGGAAGCATTATGTGACTATCTTCGTTGGGGCCCGTGTTGTCGATGGGAAGCAGGAGGCAGTGGTATGTCCCTACGATTCCTGATTCTTTTCCTACAAGGCATGACTGACAGTGTGAAGATCATGGAGCCGGAGAAATGTGAAGAGTGGCAGTGGGTTACGCTGGACGACGTCTGCGGTTTTTATGAAGCGTATGATTCCGCCGAGAAGGAGGGCACCATCGATGCCTTCCAGGGGCGGAGGCTGTTCATCCCGATTCTGAATCTGTTCCGGCAGCGGGGTGATCTGCTCGAGTCGCTCGTTTCTGGCTTGTGGTGACACAGGGAATCCGTTTGTTTCTTATTTTATGGGGTGGCATTTTGTTTGAGGCGAATGTTTGCATGCTTACGAATACCGTGGTATAGAATTTGCCATGATTATGCTTTAACCACGATCTAACACCAATTTCACTCCCAGAGCTGTAACTTCATAAACTACTGATAGTAGCCACCCTGCACAAGAGGGTATTGCATCCGATTAGGCCACTGTGTGAGAATAGCCGCACGAGCCTCTTCGATTTGCGCGCGGCTCACCAAGAAACCATGCTGATAAAACAGATCTATCTGCTGGTCAACCCAGTACCTGCACCCCTGACCCTGGTCGTTGAACTCATACTTGTCTCGGCCGTGTTCGACAAGTAAGCTGACATAGTCCCGTACCGTCCTGCTGGTCAGAACATCCAGCCTCACAACCTTCTGCGCGGACGGTGAGATGGTATAGTCCAGAAGGCTCACAACCAGATTGCCCTTGGAGCCGCCGGCAACCGAGGTACTGGGCACGGTATACGAAGGCGTCATATCCAGGTGTATCGAGTGGGTTGCTGACACACGGAGGTAGAAAACACCAGTGGTTGCCTCCTTGAGGGAGTCTTCCATGCGCGACTGCATCGACCCAGAAGACATCCTTGTCCAGGATCTCGTCCTTCTTACTTGCGGGGACGAACCGTAATGGCTTGAAAGAGGGGGGTCGAAGATTCATTTTGGGGTGGTGAGAGCGATGATGATTTCCTGTGGACGAGGTTGATCAAGGCAGCCCAGAATGCCTAAATATGTTGAGTCTCACATGTGCTCCGTAGGCGTGGTTGAGAATGACTTGGAGTGTTCCTATGGAGGTTAGTCGGAGTATAATCAATTGTCCCGTAAGAGATACTTATTACACAATTCTGTTTACCCTAGCAACTTAGAAATGCAATCCTCTTGACACACACACCATTATATCAATGATAAAGATGAAGAGAGAGGGATTACTCATCCAAACAGACTGCCCAGTAAGACCGACTAACCCCAATACGGCAAGCTGTGTACTACAGCAAGTCGTACAGGACCGCCTGGTTTGACATGAACCAGAGGATCAAATAAATTCCCCTCTCGCGAGCGGAAGAACATTCATGGCTTTTGAATTGATTGATTTGGACACATCTTGAGCCCAGAGCAGCTTTACTCCGCTGCATTCTAAGCAACATATCGACTGAAAGTCCCCTTCCATCATGGTAGAGAACTGCCACAGCGAGGTGACTCTCGATTCTGATGCCCCTGGAAACATCGACTGCACAGGGGTTGATTCGTTCGTTACATCCACTGCAATGACCGCCGAAAGGGCCTACTATCACTGCGGCAATTTCTTCATCAAACGTGGCCTCAGGCCGAGCGAATACAAGACCACCCACCGCGGCACGAAACACATCCCCCGATTAGGAAAGCAACGACTCCAAAACGAGGCAGCAACTTTGCGTTTTATTCGACGCGTGAGCAACATCCCTGTTCCAACTTTGTACGGTGCTTTTGAGCTCGACGATTCGTTTGTATTGATCACAGAACACATCGACGGAGTGGCTATGTCAGACTTAACGGACGATCAGAAGTATGTCGTTCGTACTGAAGTCGAGCAGCACCTAGCCACCCTACGTAGGATCAAGTCCAACACTATCGGTGGCCCTTCAGGGATTGTGCTTCCGCCATATCGCGTGATGCGCCTCTCAGACAAGAACGAATGGCCTCGAAAAGTGTCCAAAGATGGTGAATATGTCTTCTGCCACAACGATCTCGCCCAGCACAATATTATCGTTGACCCTGAGACATTGAAGATACGTGCTATTATCGACTGGGAATACGCCGGCTTCTTTCCTGAATACTTTGAGCGGCCTTTTTATGAAAGACGAGGCCCGTCAGTAGCTCTGGACGGTGAACATGATGATTCTGCGGACTTACTGCGATTTATGGAGAAGACTGCTTGAGTTGGTATCCAAGGCCAGCGATATTGAATGTTATAAGCAATATTTGTTAAATAAATGGGTCCCTGAAGAAAGGAAAACCGCGAAAGAATTATTGAATGACCCGTGGCTGGACTCTGCATAGGAGGAATTCATCATATACTATCATTACCAACAAATATGGATTTGGGATAGACATCTATCTACAGAGCTAGCTCCTTAGCAATAGGTCTCCGAAAATACCTTTTATTTCCACTTATTGAATGAAAGAAAATGACCTACATACATTGTACATGTAGTACAGAGAGTACACTCTGTCGAGCCTCACGTGACACCAAGGCTGTTAGCAACCGCTCTGCGAACCAAAAGTCATCACCACCGCCCGCCGTCGACGCAATCAATACCGGGACAGAAAGCACCCGTCGGAGCCCGCGAGACATTATTCCGCGTAGGTCCTCTACATCTCACCGCACAACCTACACCCAAACAACTACGAGCAACAAATATCCGGCGCAAAAATGTCCTCTTCAGATACCCCCGCATCGGATGCCCCTCCAGGTGCAGGTAACGCAAACGCACCACCACCCAACCGCGCAGCAACACCTAACTGACGTCGGGGATCCCCGAAACAGTGAACATCAATTCGCTCTCTGTGCCGCAGCTTCGCGCCCTTCAAACCCGTCTTTCCTCCGAGCTTGAACACCTGACCACCTCGCATACCAAACTCCGCGCCGCGCAGTCCAAATTCCGCGACTGTATCCGGTCGATCAATGAGGGTGTTGTTGGGTCGGATAAGAAGGGAACGGACGGAAAGGATGACATCCTAGTGCCCTTGACCAGCTCCCTGTATGTTCGGGGCAAGCTGGTGGATCGGGAAAAGGTGCTTGTGGATGTTGGCACCGGATTCTACGTGGAGAAGGTATGTGCTCATTTTTCGCGAGTCGGGAAATGTGTCGAGACTGACCGGTGCATCCCGTCCTCAGACGCCAGCAAAGGCAATTGCATTCTACGAGGACAAGGTCAAGAACTTGGAGGCAAACTTGACAGAGCTGGAAAAGATTGTGCAGACGAAGAGCAGTCAGCAGAGACTATTCGAAGATGGTAAGCCGTGCTTCTATATACGATCATTATATTTATCGCTAACACACTTTTCAGCGCTGAGGCAAAAGTTGCTGAGTGAAAATGCCCCTTCGACTGCGGCCGCTGCAGGCGGTGGCTGAGGCCTTGCTATGGATATATGGTCTATGTTTTGTCATATCAAGGGACACGAAAAATATCATTGTGAATAGAGTGAACTCATACATGAAATGACCCCAAAAGAGTCCTTCAAGTCGTCGTGATCCCCATAGAGCTATACGCTAAATATGTGTTCGGTTGTCATCATGAACTGCACGGAAACATGATCAAAGAGATTCTCTGGGCAGACTGGAAAGACTGAAATGCCATCGCCTAGAACAGAGTGCCGAGATCCGCATCCAACATTTCTCTAGGGGTTTTGGTACTGGTGGCCGGGGAAGACCCAGGGATAGCGCCCTGCATTCTGTTCACGACTGTCGACCTTGCTTCAGATTCGGGGCCGGACAACTCTTGAGTGCCCTCAGGAGAGATGCGTGTTGGACCGAGGACTTCCGCAACACGCTTCACCAAATCAACCATCTCCCAGAATCCAGCGCCCTTTTCGTTTGGCACGGCCGACTGCCTGGGAAGAAAAAAGGTGTTCAGGTTCGGATTGTATTTCGCAGATTGACCAACGGGCAGGTTCGCATGTTCTCCTAGTAGATTATCCCATTTCGAGTCGAATATCGATGCACCCCATGATGTAAAAGGGACTTCCGAAAATTGACTTGCCGCGGCCGTGACACTTTGGTCCTGCATATTGAAGAGGTTCTTGCGAACGTATTCGTCGTAACGGGCAACCTCCAACGTGTAGTCGGTCCCTTTCAGTCGATATCGGAATGCAGTTTTCTCCACAAGCCTAGAGACAGGGGGGGAGTCTTTGAAAATCACCTTTCTGCGTGGCGGTGCGGAAATGTCAGTGATCTTGGTGTCGTGAGGGATTTTAACACTGTGGCCAAATTCTTTCAATGAAACATCAATGGAAGAGGCCTCGTGGAATTCCAAGGACCTGATCTCCAGCTGCCAGTCCGATCTGTTTGCAAAGTCAGCTTGCGCCGCCGAAGATCCGCGTTGAGACTGACCTCTCGAAGTCGATGACGCCAATCTGCAGAGGGGGCCGTCTATCGTTCGACTGTCCACTCTTTCGAGGCCTGAGCCATCGGCGTTGAGTAACCTCATACTCCTCTGCAAGTGGGCTCTTGGCGAACTCTACCTCCAGTCGTAGCATGGAATTGTTCGAGCCTAAGAATTCAAAGTTGACAGAGTATGCAGGTTCCACTTTGTCGAGTAAGCTGGTGGCACTCTCATATGTCTCAAGCAGATCGGTTGCGTTGTAGAATCTAGCGAGAAAATCTTCTTGGGAGACTTTCAACCTGCAAATCATGACATGATTAATGGCATACTCTATAGAGTCTGGGAGAGCCTTACCCTGGAATCAGTCTGCCCTTAGTTTGCTCATATAAGAGCATCTCTCTGAACTCCTCAAAGCTGTACGAATCACTGCCTTCTTTGGGTGCGCGGTACTCATCAAGCACAAACAATCCAATATTGATACGCATACGCAAATGACCGCGGACAAATATAAGTCCTTTCAATGATGTTTCAACTGCTTTGAGTACCCGGGCGTTGTTCTTGGATTGTATGAGACCCGATATGTCTTGCCATGACTCCAAGTCGAGCCCCTTTAGTTTATTTCCTCGGAGAAGAGGCCTAGCCAAGTGGTTTTCGTGCTTCACCACTATATTCTTCTTCATGGTGGTTGGACTTGGAGGTTCGATGACGTAGACCTTTGATTTGATGTTGCTGCTGGCCACAGTTTCGACCCATTTTGTTCTGAGACGGTGGGCGATGTTCTTGATCGTGTCATGATCCTGACCTAGGGCACAGATGAAATCGGGAAGGCCCTTCGGGACGAACAAATGGCAATTGAATTTAGCGCGAAGGACATCAAGAGCTTCGAGCTGTTGTCCAAGGGCTTCGGATAAGGATGGACCTTCTTTTGGCCACAGAAAGAGTAGCTAGAAAGAAGAACGTGTTAATGCACCCTTACAAGCCGACGTCTTTGTACTGACCTTCTCCGGAAACGCTAAGAGTACTTCAGGCTCTTTCCTCAGTTGCAGTATAGCATGCTCACGTCTCTCCTTCATCTCAGCATTGGCCTCTTTACCCGCGTTCTTGGCGTGGATTTTAGCCCACGCGCCCTTTTTCTGAGGAGCATCGAGTGTGCACTTGTCGAGTAGACCGAGAAGAAGTTCTTTGGCAGATGCTACCTGAGCTGCCCCGCCCCACAAAGAAATGACCTGTTGGATTTCAGCACTCTGCACTTCGTTTGGCACACAGACAGGGCGCTACACTACCGTATCGGCGTGGCGAGGCGCTTGGACAAAAGCACCTGTCTTGCGACTGATGCCCTGGAAAACTTCGAGACGCCCTTGTGTAGCTTGTAGTTTCCGCCCGTGGAGCGTTGATCTGGCGACGCCGAAAAACCTAAGATGGTGTTAGTTCGGACGCTCGATGCTTTGTCTGGGAATTCCTTACTGATTTTTGAACGATCCAAAGGTTGCGGGAAGCTTGACGACGTCTTCATAGATAGCTTAGTACGTTGACCAACATGCATATATGTTGTGGGACTCACCAGTGGGCTTTTTGTCACCAGTTATCAGGGCTGCCTTTGAGGGAGAATTGGGAAACAAAGGGGTGGATCGATGCGATGCGCCTCGAGCTGTGTAGGGTCGCCTAGATCTCGAACTGGCACGCTCCCGGGATGCTCTTTGTGTACCTCTTGCAGAAGATGGGTTATACTGCTGACCACCGGTGGCTGCTACAGTGGAGTATGATGGCCTGGGGGGTTCATTTCGGATGGTGGGCGCGGTAGACGCCCCGGCTGGTTGAGGATTGCTTTGGTGTGACAGACCACGGGGGTTGACTGGAGCTCGACCGTACCCGGGTAACTGCCATTCTGGAGAGGGTGTTAGTACAGAGGAACGACGAACATGGGTTATTCACCTCGTAAAGGGACTTACCTTGGGCTCCCGATGTCTCATGACTGACGTAGTGTTAGCGACATGTGAAGCGACAAGTTGAGTGTAAACTCACTCCATGATTACTTTCGCTTGTCGGTACCGGGAAGGATTGAAGCGTTTAGGAAGGACTAAGGAATCATGAGAGATGATGAATGATATGGCCTGAGGGAGAGAGAAAAGGAAAGAAGGAAAGACGGGAGGAAGAGAGAGATAGAAATGGAAGAGGGAAAGAACAGGTAACAGAAACTGGAGAGAAAAGTGAATCCTAGTGTTCGTTTGTACCTTCCAACGGAACCTGGTAGAAAAACCTCACTCTTGGATGACTGCATGCCCCTGCACCAGTGAAGGATAATAACAGAACTGATTTATGTATTCATCTTTGTACAGGTATCTGGAGAGACATACAGCCAGTCCTGTAAGACTGGGAGTTGGGATGAATGAAGGAAACACTTTCGACTTCAGTTGTTGATGTATACTTCCCATACCGCATTCTGATTGGTTCAGCCGGGAGGACTCGCCACTAATCCCAAACAGGATAAAGTGGACAGACGCGACGCCCGACGCGTCCCAAACAGGAATGGTAATTAGTCGCTCTCCAGTCGGATTTTCAACGTCCGATCTCCATCCCATGAAGGATCATTACAACTTTACCCGCCGTTCTTTTGCTGTCGTCTTTTTCCAACTCACTCCAATTCCAATCAAAGACAATGACTCCAGAACCAGCGGATGAAACCGACTCCACGCAAACTCGCAAGCGCAATGCCCGCAAACGCGCCCAGATGTGGATGACCAAGGGGGGTTTGGTCCGGGATGACTCCGATGATGAATTGGGCAAGGAAGATCATCCGTGGGAGTGGATCTACGACTCGAACTCTGACGAAATCAAAGATGGAGGTGAGAGCGCACAACCGGCGGAGGAAGTCTCGAGGTCAGGCCGGAGACGCCAGGCCCGGACCAAGAGTACCAAACGCCGACAACAGATCATCGGGGCCAGAATGGGCACATTTGAATGCAGACTCGGACAAGTGATTCTGCTCAAGTCGCCTGAAGCAGGAAAGGACTGGGTTGGGATTATCACTGAATTCCTCGAGGAGGACGATGACGAGGCAGAAGGCGAAGTGGTCAAGTCCGCCAACATCATGTGGTTTGCTTCTCCAGACGAGTTCATGTCGACAAGGAACAAGCGACGCGCCGATGCTTTGCCAAACGAGCAATATCTTACCGCAGACTTCAACGTGAACCCTCTTACCTCGATCAATGGCCGGGCGACCGTGATGTCCAAAGATGCTTTCTTTGCGAAATATCCAAATGGCGCTCCTCCGAAGGGCAAGGATGCATTGGCTGAGTACAACAAATGCATCGTATGCCGGAGAGGCGTGAACCAACTCCAGGGGAGATATACTCCCGAGTTCGTTTGGGAGGAAGTGTACCGCGAGGACAGAATATTCGATTTGATCAACTTGATCAAAGATGGCTTGAAGGCAGCCAAAAAGCGGAAACAAGTAGACAACGATGTGAGTGTTTGTTTATCACCGCCCAGCATACTTCCATCTAACGATGCGTCCTTTAGTACGTCGATATCAAAGAGAAAGAAGATGACGACTTTGCACCTACCACCCCGAGGAAACGCCAGAAAGTGGCCACGAATGCCACACCCCAGTCACGACGCCAGAAGGCGTTGACGACCCCAAGTCACAAGCGGTAAATGAGACTGTATACCCCGTGTACCTTTGCAGAGACTGAGACTTACCAGGATCGTCGTCAAAAAACCACTCGAATTCACACCACTCGGCACTCGTGTTCTCTCCCCGACACATTTCGCTTCACCCTACCGTCAAGCACGAACCCTCCTTCACGTTTCCACAGTACCCACATCACTTCCCTGTCGCAAGAATGAATTCGAGACCGTCTATAATCATCTCAGTGCTGCGATCATGGAAGGCACGGGCGCCTGTATCTATATCTCGGGCACACCAGGAACAGGAAAGACAGCAACTGTGCGAGAAGTGGTCGCACAGTTGAACTCCGCCGTCTTGGCGGAGGAGATGGACGACTTCATCTTCGTCGAAATCAACGGCATGAAGGTCACCGACCCACACCAGTCCTACTCATTACTCTGGGAAGCCTTGAAGGGTGACCGAGTGTCGCCATCCCATGCGCTCGACCTTCTCGAACGCGAGTTCTCCCACCCCTCACCACGCCGCGTATCATGCGTCGTTCTCATGGACGAACTCGACCAGCTCGTTACCAAAAACCAGTCGGTGATGTACAACTTCTTCAACTGGCCGGCTCTCCGCCACTCTCGCCTGATCGTGCTGGCTGTCGCAAACACCATGGATCTCCCCGAACGAACGCTCAGCAACAAGATCTCCAGTCGTCTGGGTCTTACCCGCATCACATTCCCCGGGTACAAGCACACCGATCTCATGGAGATCATCAGCACGCGTTTAGCGAACGTCCCCGGAAACATCGTTGACGCGGACGCCATCCAATTCGCAAGCCGGAAGGTCGCAGCGGTCAGCGGTGACGCGCGACGTGCGTTGGACATCTGCCGCCGTGCGGTTGAAATCGCCGAACAGAACAGCGAGGCTGCGCAGGACCCGGACGCGGACGAAATCGAGTCCCTCCCGCCAACGCCAACCAAGACACCCGCCCGAAAGGAGAGGTCCCTGTGCAAAGAAACGGTCCAAGCAAAGATGGAATCTCCCCAGAAGAAGCTACCCCAGAAACAGTTCGCTGGCAGGGTCACTATAGCTACAATCAAGCAGGCCATTCAAGAGGCAACGTCGACTCCGCTGCAACAATGCCTCCGCACGCTGCCTCTTTCTGCAAAGCTCTTCCTCTCTGCGCTCTTGGCCCGTGTCAAACGAACCGGGATTTCTGAGTCCACTTTTGGTGATGTGATCGACGAGGCGAAGCGGATCGCCGATGCCTCAGTTGCAGTTGCAGGTGCTGCAGGCGCGAGTATCAAAGACTTCTTGCTCGCGGGGGGCAGTAGTGCCCGAGTCAAAGCCCTTGGATTCGCGGCAATGGAGCTGATGAACTCTGGGATTCTTGCCCTGGAACATGGAGGGACTCGAGGAGGGTCGACTGCCATTCCAAATAGAGACCGCAGCGGCAAAGTGAGATTACGGGTGGCTCCTGAAGACGTCAGAGCTGCGTTTCGGGAGGATCTCGAAGCAAAGGGATTAGGTCTGGGACAGGACCAGTAGGCCACTGAATATACCCTTACGAAAGGGCAAACCGCACTTTACGCGCATGTTGGCGATTTGACTGGCTTACAGATTGCCATTTAACGCATGATACCCATTCCTGTTGGATGAACCTTGACAGGCCGTCACTACTGAGGCAATATAAGCATAGTTGGATAATGAGATGTTTAGACCATATATGATACAAATGATACCCAATCATTTTTGGGCCACTTCATAGTACCTTAGATACCGAGTATATTTAAACATTGAAACAAGAAAGGACCCCAGACCCTCAACGCTAAACTCCATAAACGTGCATCAAACCGTCCGATTCTAAAAGTCAAAACCAGACCAATTACACAGGGTATCAGATGTCCACAGCAGCCTAATATCTCTGTCTGCCCAGAGTCGGAGCCCACGTAACCGGATGCGATTCGGGCGTGGCATTCTCGTCTTGCTTCCAGACCTTGATGGTCTTGTCCGCCTCACCCGTAATCAGACGGAGACCGGTGCGGTCAAAAGTGGATGCCATGATGCCCGCTTCGGCCTCCAGCGAACCGGGTTGGGCCATAGTGTCGATTGTTTGGAATCGATAGCCAGTCTTCCAGTCCCAGAAGCACATGGAGCCGTTGTCGCCGCCCGAGAAGAGAACATTGTCTTCGTTCACAGCGAGAGTGTTGATGACAGCGTTGTGTCCTTCGAAATTCTGCATGAAGTCACCCTCCGGACACTTCCACTGCTTGATGCTACCAGTACTAGCGCTGGCGAAGGTAAATTCCCGCGGGTGAGTGACGATGTTCCGTACACCCTTCTTGTGGTGAGTCAAGACGCCCATGGACTTTCCGGCTGCGAGATCCCACAGACGAACGGTGGCGTCTAGAGAACCACTGATGATCTGAGGATCGGCCTCCTGACACTTGACATCGGCGACAGTGCCTTTGTGGCCGCTCAGAACGTGAACGTTGCTTCGTGTGCGCATATCCCAGACTCGACAGACACCATCCCGACCACCTGTGACCAACAAATCGAGACGCGGGTGCAGCGCGAGGGTGTACACTCCGCTGAGATGGCCGTGATAGTGGCGAATGACCTTGTTCGTTTCCAGATCCCAACACTTCACCATCTTGTCCTCTCCGCACGAGAAGAGGTACGGGTGCCGAGGCGACACGGCCAACCCGCGGACAGTAGAGATATGACCCGTCAGCGTGAGACGGAGGGAGCCGGTCGCAAGGTCCCAGATCTTGATTGTCCGGTCACCTGCACCACTGGCAAACCACTTGTTGTTCGGTTCGACCGCCAGACTCCGCACCCATCCCAGATGTCCAGAGATCACTCGCATCAACTTCCAGGGCGCATGCCAGTCGGGCTTCTGTTGCCGTGTGGCGGAGGGTCGCTGGATCAGGCTCTTGGGTTCGTTCTCTCCGCCCACACCGCCAGCACTGGGACCGGGGCCCCTCTTGACGAGGGACATCGAAGCGCCACTCTTGTCCGCTGGTCCCTGCCCTTGTGCCTGGATCTTCGGGCGCTTCGTACGACCGGCGGCTGCCTTGGCTTGTTTCTCTGCGAGCGCGGGAGGAAGCTCCTTCACATCTTGGTATTCAGCCTTTCTCCGATATGAAACACCAATGGAACCGTCGCCTGTCGAGGGGGTGACCATGAGGTAGTCGGTACCGAAAAGATCTGCAGTTCGCTTCGCGGACAGGCGCACCGCCTCGTCGGGTGTGGTCGATGGAATCGCGTCCATTTTGAAATCAGTATGTTCTCTTTGTAGTGTATTTATTAAGACCGCAGCGATATGCGCAGCGTTTTGGTGAAATTCTCGCGAACGAGCGTGGGCGAGGTCCTTTTCGCGTCCAGAACCCTAGAAAATAGGAGTCGTCGGGGTTCGAGAAAATTGTGAGGGTCACTTCATTCGAGTCGCAGTATGAAAATATTCAGCTTTCCACAAAGTAAGTCGGTAAAGACGCAGGATTGGGGTAGAATGGAAGAAGACGAAGGCTGTGGTGGAAGGTCACGCTGAAGGCGGGTCTGAACTTTTGGAGCTGCTGTAATGCCTGAGGCATGAAAGCTTAAGTAAGCGAAATTGGCCTCCCCGCAGACGGATAACATCATTTCAGTAGCTCCCCGATCAGCATCTACTCCGATCTATACCTGAAGTCCTGAACCACAGCGATCCAACCATGGATCCCAATCACGACGCCAAATTCCCTCTCCATGAGGCTGCTCGAGAAGGAAAAAGTGAGCTCCTCTTTATTGCACCGAATTTCAGTCTGACTAACAGATACAGCTCAACTTGTCGAATCGCTCTTGAGCGTGAGTGCCCCGCATGGCTGGAGCTCTCTTGGCCCCAGATCTCGTCCATGATGGACGCGCTAACGTATCCCGACATATAGGCGAATCCGAAATTGGCAAATGTGAAAGATGATGATGACCGTCTTGCGATTCACTGGGCGGCCGCCTTTAATCGGCTTCCGGTCGTGGAGCTCCTTGTCTCCACCAAGAACTTTGATCCTGATGTCGAGGTCCGCTAGCCACCCTAGACATGGTCATGCCTCAGGCGGGAAGACAAAGACTAACGAGCGCTCTACGGCGTAGGATGGATCAGGCTGGACGCCCCTCATGATCGCAGCAAGCTTGAAGAATGCCGAAGGAGACGCCATCATCGAGCTGCTTCTCCGCAAGGGTGCGGACGTCAGTGTCAAGAGTTCATCTGGACAGGTTAGTATCACAATCGCAATTACGCATAAGCAGAGCTAATAAATCCCATCATCCAGAACGCTCTCCACTTCGCAACTTCCAAAGGCAACCTCTCCACTGTCCGCACCTTAATAGCCAACAAGTGCAGCGCGCGAGTCAAAGATAGACGCGGTCAGCTGCCTCTGCACCGTGCCGCAGCCATTGGTTCTTCACCCATCATCAAGGTCCTCCTCGAGGAGGGAAAGAGTCCAGTTAATGCCACAGATATGGATGGCTTGACAGCACTGCATCATGCCATCTCTGAAGGCCACGGTGATGCGGCCATCACGTTACTCAAGGCTGGCGCGGAAACAGATAAGAGAAGCTCAGATGGGCTTTTGGCCATTGATATGGCACCAGATGCAAAGGTGAGTCGTTGTTTGCGCGCGATTATTGATTCGTAGCTGAGTGTTGTTCAGATTCGCTCCTACATCATGCAAACAGCAGAGAGGGAAGGCATAGAATTGTAGGTTAGAGGGAGCGGAGCGCGAAGATCTGGGAATAGAAAAGGAGAGATGACAGACAATACTGTGCTGAGGATTGTGGCGTCTGCTCAGCTTTGTAATATGAAGGATACCCGAGTGACTACAGTAGGACAGGGTCAGATTCATGAAGAACTATAAGTTGTATCACATAACATCGTCTAAATAAAGTCTATATACAGAATTGGAGTGAAGAAGTAATCGGCAAACAGAATAGACTACCGCATGGTTCTGTCGGCCAGTTCGCGGTACATCTGCTTGATATCCACAATATCAGCTTGGAGCTCTTCCACCCTTTCGCTCTTTTCACCTAGCATCTCGAGGGTCGTCTGATATCGTTGGTCCAATTCCTCAAGCCGCCGCTCCAACTCTTGCACGCGAGCATCGGCTTCCTTTTTCTCTTCCGACTCTCGCATAAGATCAACCACTTGCTGCCGAGCTTCATCGCGCTGGGATGTGATCCGTGCGAGCTCGTCTTTCGATGCGGCTCGCTCACTTTCCAGCCGACGAACTGTGGCACTCATCCGCTCTACCAGTTGCACTGAGGGGCCAGCACCGACAGTGGATTCGGAGATGATGTCGTTGATACCGCGGGAAGGCTGGGTGTGAGCGCCGCCAGATGCAGAAGGAGTGCCAGAGCCACTAAAGAACTCATCCGGTTCAAAAGTTATTGAAGGCGCGTCGGTAATATGCGGGGTGGAAGCGCTGTTTGTCACTGGAGGAGACAGCACGGCATGCGTCGAAGCTGGGAATGAATTTTGTCGCGACGGAGTGCCTATTTCTGGCGATGTCATAGGTAAGGTCGAAGCACGTCGGCTGCTAGGACGGTAGTCGGATAGGGACGCGACAGGGTCCAAGTTGCTCGGTCGACGGCTGAATGCAACGGGTGATCCTGTTCGAGGCTGCTGGAGGAAGTTCGGGGATGGGGCAATCTGTTCTCGCCATTTGGCTCGCTCTTCCTCAAGTTTCTGCGTCCATGTCAGGTCGCAGACTTTCTTCTGTTCGACGAAGTCTTTTTGCGCCGAGGCTAAGTCGTCTGTGGCCTTCTTGAGCTTTTGCTCCAGCTTTTTGAGTTCTTGTATGCGTTCCTCGAGTTTCACCTGGAGGTCTTGCTCTGTTTCCTTTGCGACTTCCAGTTCCTCCTCGACTCGCTTCGACTTGAGATTCTAAACACCAGTTAGTTTGTCCGCCTACAGATATTTGCGGGGTGTTCCTTACCACTTCCCGGACCTTTCGACGCAACTCTCCTTCTCGCCGGGCAACCTCATCGCGCTCCTTTTCCACATTTGCTAGCCGCGAAAGAAGGGAGCCCTCAAGGGTCTGCCAATTTTCACTGGCAACAGCATATTGGGTCTGCAAAGTTTCTATCTGTCGGAGCAGCTTTGCCTGTGATTCACTGGCAACCCCAGAAGAAGCTTCTTCTGCTTTGAATCGAAGGGACTCCAGTTTGCTTTCCAAGATGGACTGCTCGCCTTTCAATTCAATCTCGAGCGCATGAGCCCTCTCTTTTTCTTGTTCGACGGCATTCTTGAGATCATCGATCTCTCTTCTCAGCTTCTCTTCGTTTATATCGCGTTCAATCTTGGTATTTGTGAGCTCCTCCTCCAACTCAGCAGCACGCCGCTTCTCTTTCTCCAGAGCATCGGACTGAGCTTTCGCTTCAGCCGCTTCAGCGCGTGCTACAGCTCGGGCGAGCTGACCCTTCAGCTCTTGGACAGTTTGACTAAGAGAATTGCGCTCTGATGAGATGGCCTCAAAATCTCGAGACATTTTCATCTGAGCAGACAAAGAGTCGGCCGCTCTCTTCTCCGCAGCTTCAGCTCGCTTGGCTCTAGTCTCAGCGTTGACTAGATCCCTTTCCAGCCTGTCCGTCTTCTTCTTGTTTTCGACCTGAGCTTTAGAGTTTTCGGTCAACTGTTGCCGGAGCCGTTTGATTGCCATCCGATGGTCCATCTCTGTCTTCGAGAGTTTTTGGCCTTCCTCCAGGAGCAGCGCGATCTTCTCATCTTTCTCTCGGAGCAGCTTCTCTGTGCTTCCGGGCTCCGCAGTTGCAGCAGCTTTCTTGGCCGACTCGGCAGCCTCTTTGGCCAAGTACTTGAGCTTCGACTGCAAAGCATCTATCCGTTCAATATAGATGTGCATCTCTCCCTGCCAGTGAGACTCGGCGGCTTTGAATTCTGCTTGCATTTGCGCAATTGTTTTCTCTTGGTCATTGAGGTCTGTTTTGACGGTGGTCGCGGTAGTATCGACGCCGGATTGAGCGGGCTCTTGAGAATCTCGGGACGTTCGAGGTTCCTCGGCTGATAATCGGCTATCTTCGACAGCTTCTGTCGCACCGTTCAAGGCGATGTCCTCCTTTTGCTCCGGAGACGATACACCGGAATCATGGCTGGTCCTGGGGTTTGCCATGGAAGCCGACAGAGACTCATCGTGTTTAGCAAGGCTGTCTGCGGGCTTCTCGGGATTCTTTGGGGGAGATCCAAGACTTGATTCTATATCCATACTTCCGCGCGCATCGTTACTGGGAACCGGACTCGTGACAGGCGACGAGACACGACTTTGGGGAGAAGGAGTAGCACCCGCCGGGGGGGTGCTAGATCTGACAACCGCACGCGCGAGACGTTCTTGAAGACGATCATTTTTTCGCGCGTTTGACGAGCTGCGGGAAAGATCTGGAACCAGGTGTTAACATGCGCTAACATCCGAAACTGACGGACGGTATCATACTGCCTGTCTGCGTTGCGTTCGCACTTGGCGGTCTTGATGGTAGTTGCGTCCGATCATCTTCTTCCGATAGTATCAAATCCAATCTCGACTCCACACCAGCGACAGCCTGCTGGAGAAAAGAGCCCACCTTCCACTTCGGTTTCGAACCCTGAGGATTTTGCGCCATGATGGTCTGTCGGAGAAGGGAAACGGCGCGGATGGAGGTGGAGATGGATGCTACTGTGTCGCAGCGGTGCGGGAACAACTACACTGGCATTGAGAGGTAGAGGTTCCTGACAATGGTTCCAGTCGATGGTTGTCTGCCGTCACGGGCAAGCAAGACAAAAGGGAAGAGAACGGGAAGAGGAGGGGGTTGAGACGCCAAACGAGGAATTATGACGAGAGAGAGAGAATAAGAATACCGAGGGGACTATCCCAATGACAGGGGAGTGAAGAAGTAAGACATACCACGTTGCGGGAGGTAAAAAGACCCCGGCGACGCTTGCGTGGATGACGACGAGAGCGGCATGAAGCGAAACCCGAACAGTAATTAGTTAACGGCTGGTGCACGGGGCTTGGCATGGGGAACAAACGTCAACGTGATTGCTCCATTCGGCCCTCTCTCCGCTGTCCCCTACGCCGATATCCAACTCAACACATTCCTCCGTCTTTCTCTTTCTTTTTTTCTCGCTCTCTTCTCCCCTGTTGCCTTCTCTCCTCCCGGGTAGGCTCCTTCGTCGGCCTTCCCTCGATCCGTATACCCCATCATGTCGTCCCTGCCCCTGGAGCCGCCCACGTATCTGAGCTCCCTCCAGAACAACATTCGAGCTCGTCCGATCCCCTGGGAGGGGGCGGTTCGAGCAGGTAACATCACCGATGACCACCTGAAGAAAATCAAGGCTGTGGACAAGGTCCGAAAGGAACAACGGCGCCAGACTATCGAGGGTGATGTGGCCGGATATGTTGGCTTGCTCGCTGGCAACTCCAACACGAAGAGTGTGTTGGATCTGGCCTCCAAGAGGTCCGACATTGTCCAGTATATTCTGGTTCTTGCGGCCGATCTAATCAACGGTGAGTCGCTGGTCCAGCGTCGTCTCCCAGCTGAAGCTATGCGCTGACCACGCCGCACGATGAAGATGTTCCGGCCCTGTCCTCCGCCCTAGTCGCCCATCCCGATCCTTATCGACCTTTCCTCCCCTTCTTGAGCCACACGGCCAATACCGACGACCCGATCCCTCTGCTTACCTCGACCTTCCTGACCAAGCTTGTGTCGATCAGTCTTGTTTCCTCTTCCAAGCCTACCGCCCGCGATGAGGCCGCACTTCCACAGCTCTATGCCTATCTGAGCACCCTGACCCAAAATCAGGACAACGGTCTGCAGGACATTGGCGTTCGGGAGCTATCCGCACTCCTTCTGACCGCGAGATCTCGGGAGATCTTCTGGAAGGAGCGGACGAAGACGGTTGAGCCCTTGATAGAAATCCTACGTGCTGCTACAGGGGGAAAGGATAGCAGCTCCAGCACCCTGGCGGGCAGTTCGCGGGCGATCGAGCCAGGTCTTTCCGGTGGAGTCGGTCTTCAGCTCCTGTACCGAGTTCTCCTTGTTCTGTGGCAGCTGAGCTTCCAGGGCGCATTAGTTGGCGAAGGTCTACAAGCGTATGTAAACTCCTTCCCCAGGCTCAATCCGAGAATCTTGATATTGACGAACACAGTGATTATGAAATCATCCAACTCTATACTCATCTCCTGCGTCTCTCCCCGAAGGAAAAGACCACCCGGCTCCTCCTTGCGACTCTGCACAACCTCCTCTCCTCTAACCGCACCACTCTACTCCCGGTCGCCATATTCGTCCGACTTCCTGCCCTCCTGACCAACATGTCAGGCCGCCACCTGACTGATCCCGATCTCCTCGAGGACCTGAAGTCCCTGTCGGAGATGCTGGACGAGTATACGAAGACGCAGACGACGTTCGATCAATACGCAGCGGAACTGCAGTCGGGCCACCTGCGTTGGTCCCCGCCTCACCGCAACCCCACTTTCTGGAAGGATAATGCGCGTCGGATCCTGGATGACGGAAACGGGGCGCTGCCGAAGAAGCTGGCCGAGATTCTCTCCAAGAGTTGGGACAACGACAAGCAGGTCCTTGCGATTGGCTGTAACGACGTGGGTCACCTCGTGAAGGAGCTGCCGGAACGACGGGCCCAGCTGGAAAAGTTGGGCCTGAAGGCGCGGGTGATGGAGCTGATGGCAGACAAGGATGAGTCGGTGAGATGGGAGAGTTTGCGGGCGGTGGGTGAGTGGCTTCGGTATACATTTGATGATTGATTCTACTTGGTTGTTATGATGTGTTATTTCTGTGTGAATATACTACCCGATTATTGTCTTGCTTTTTTTGTACCTGCTGTCTCTGATGGATACTGTTAGTGCCATCTCCTGTGCATAGAGCGAAGTGAATAGTGGATTAGACATTATGTACTGTACGTCGACAGTTGTTTTCAGCTGGTGGCGAGATCTTACCTTTACCTAAAATGAGGACAAACTTCGGAACCGTCTGAATGAGAATCACGGATACCCCGCATAGAAACCGGGACCAGATGGATTCCATGAACTTCCGAACCATCATCGCCCAGTCGAAAAGGACGCATAAGGACAATCCCACATATCCCAGGTTGTTCGCAGAGACCGGTGGATCTCTGGCCTGGAGGATCGGCCGCTATACAAAAGTGCGCGGGTCCGATTCTATTCTGCTTATCTCTCTCGACTCCTCCCTCCGATACAGCCGAACTAGCCCTGTCCAGGGTTTCGTTTCAGTCGGTGTGTCAGACAGTCTTTGGAAACGCTCGACAGCAGTCTCTCCACGATTTGATCTCTTCCGTCCTGTACAGACCCGCCCCGAGAGAGAACGAGTGAGACCGACCCCACTGCAGAGTATCGAGGGAACTAAAATACGGAGAGGGGCCCCAGAACAGCGACAAGAAAAAAAAGTGACGGATACTGCCACTCACCACCGCACCATCTCCAACCCCATGTCTCGATCGTTCAACGGGTGCAAGCGATGTAAAGCCCGACGGCAGAAATGTGACGAACAGCGGCCCAGTTGCGGGCGTTGTCAATCGGCGGGGACGCCATGTCGATATGCAATGCAGCTGCAGTGGGGAGGAAGGGCCTTTTCACGATCGAGGTTTGGGGCCTGCGTAGGCAATGGGGGCATGCAGAAGTTCGGTTCGTTTCTTCCCTTCTGATCAAAACCGCTTTTTTCCCTTTCTCTTTGGCAAATGCCTGACATGGATACTCGCAGAGTACTCCCCCGGTGAATTTATCTACACGACCAACGCTCCTCCTCCGACGCTCGACACCATGGCCCTGACCCGACCCGTCGATCCGTTCGCCTCCCTGACGTCTGATCAGAAGGCGCTCCTGCACCATTTCCTCAACGACGCCTCGCAGGTCACGGCGAGCCACTCGGGCATGCAACAGGACATCTGCAAGATGCTGGTTCCCATGGCGCTGCAGACGCCGTCACTTCTGTATGCTACGATGGCGCTCTCCGCGATCCACCTACAGTCGCTACACAACCAGTCGGAGAACGTGAAGTCGGCACCGGACATCGCGCGGCTGATGGCCTTCAGCCTGGAACACTTCCGCAAGGAGCTGCAGAACCCGGCCGACAAGAGCTCGGAAGCGCTGCTCGCCACGGCGCGCACGCTATGTCTCGCCGAGATCCACTCGGGCGCCATCCACCCCAACTCCTGGCGCGCACACATCGAAGGCGCCAAAGCGCTGATGGACACGGCTGACCACCAGGGAGGCCTGTCGCCGCGGTCGTCCGCCGGTTTTCGTCGCTACCTGGACCGGTGGTACTGGTCGATTGTGTCGCTGACGGCGCTGACGGGCAACGGTCGGCCGATTGGCTACGGCTCGGAGCCGCCCTGCGCGACGACAGACATGGGTCAGTCCGCCGCGCCGGACTACCTGGACGATTACTGGGGGTTCACGGTGAGCCTGGCGACGATCTTCCGGGAGATTGGGGCGGCGGCATGGCGGAACCACCAGGGTCGGCAGGCGGCGCAGGCGACGGTCGTCGACGGGACGGAGGTGACGGTGCACAGTGAGGCGGCGGCGCTGGAGTCATCGCTGCGCAGCTTGATGGACCAAGGGGCCGGGGCGCCGCCGGCGTTCTATCCCGGGGTGGCAGAGGGACTGTCGGCAGAGTGCATCCGCCAGCTAAGTCTGTGTAATGAGGCGTTCCAGCACAGCGCGCTCATCCAGATCCATCGGCGGCTGCGGCAGACGCCGGCGTCGTCGCCGGAGGTGCAGCGGTCGGTGAAGCGGATTCTCGAGTGCACAGCGCTGATCGGGCCGTCGCCGGGTCTCAGTCCATGGGTGATGCTTACGACGCCGCTGTTTATCGCGGGGTGTGAGGCGCGCGGTGAGGACCGCGACCAGGTGCGCCAGTTGCTTTCCTCGCTGCACGATACGATTCACATTCCCAATGTGATGCAGTCGCTGAAGTTCCTGGAGCAGTTCTGGTCGAATCAGCTGGATGAGAACGAGGGCTGGAGTCAGTATCTTGGTAAGTCTGTCTGGCTGATTGTGTGGGAGTGTTGTGCTAACGGAGTAGATCGTATGAGGTTTGATTTCATTCCATACTGAGGGTTTGCGTAAGTAACGCGGTTATGGTTCATGTTTATGGTTACGATGCTAAGAAGCGATCACGGGGTGTATGTTATGGCTGTATGTTTAGCTTGGTTGATGTGATTTTATTTGGCTTGTGCATGGCGTTGCTTAGGAGTTTGTCGAGTGTTTTTCTGCTTAGATTATACCTCATTTATCCCATGTACGTCTGGTGCACGTTGATCTTCATGATCTCATAAGAGTATGTAGGTATTTTGCCTTGTTGGTCAACTATTCGATGATGCGTCATATATATAGTAGGGCTCGCCAAGGCAATACTTAATCTAATATAAATAAAATAGCCACCATAGTTCACTATAGTTCACCAGGCGGAGTTTAAATCTGACAGCAGACTACGGAGTACATAGAAAACCATCCAACTACCGGTAGAAGATACATCATGTTTTGTCCCGACAAGCTTTAGCACGTCCCTCGAGGCGTCAACACCCCCTGGAAGACGCCCGTCAGCAACATCCGCCCACGAACTACTGAGCATCCCTTGCCGCCAGAGTGTGACATGCATGACACCGAAGGTCGCAGGGGTCTAGAAGCCCGACGCGTCAACAAGCTGGTTAGGGTTTCAATATGATCTGTTTTATGTATGAGAAACTGGTATTAGAGTACTCCCAAATGTCTGAGCACGGAGCAGGATTATTAGGTACCTATTGACACATGTCGTAAGAGTACTACGAGTCCGGATTGCTAGTAGTAGTGCAGCGATCAGCAGGTACAGGGCTAGGGCGGATCCCGGACGGACTGGATCCTGGTGGCGTTGTCTAGATGAAAGTTGGATGCATGGGCGGCAAGACGACGCAGACTATTGCTGCTATTTCCCGGCGAGGAGGTCTAGAATGGGAGATATCGGTCGGCCGCCGTTTCATATTTATATTTAGCCCGGGATATATTTTTGTCTGGTCTGTTTTGTCGCCTCCTGTCTTGACGCTGGTGATGATGCTAAAAATATGCTGTGTCTACGTCTTCAGTCGGGTTGCACTGACTTCGGGGTCTGTACTCCTACACCTCGAGACAGGGATAAGGGTGAACTTAAGAACAGAGAGAAGCCGAGGAATGGAATGTGGAATCGGGATGGTAAGGTTATTTGATGCCTGGAATGTAGGTATTCTGTCAGATTCAATTCGTTTACTTTCTAGATACGAGTATTACCTATCGAGCTACAATAGGGCTACAGTATGGTGTGGTTGTACCTTGCTACTATTATGTCCTCCGTACTCCGTATGCAAAACAACCAGGACGCATGGACGGCGGATTCGAGCCCCTGGTTGGTCCGAGTGCAACCGCCGATAGATACCAATAGGAGCGCATTATCAGGCTGTGATCCATGGACCATGGACACGAGTCAGTGGATCGTGTTCGGCTGAAATCCTGTAGGAGTTCGAGGAGGTAGCTAACTATCTGGATCATTATTCTCTACAAGCAATTAGAGTGAGGCATCGACCGTAACATCCAGAGACATTCTCCGGAGTACATGTAGCTTATGGATTATACTCCGAGATCACTATGACTAGGTAGAGTCGGTCTATACCAAATCTTCTATTACCCCTGAATAGTACTCTGTATGTATATCATCCACGCTATCGAGCGAGTGGGGCGTCACGGTTCGTTGCGATCGGCCTCCAGCCGTGTATGAGCCGTCCAAGGACTCAAGTGTGAGAGGATTCGAGAGGAACCTGGGCGGGAGAATATGGTGCACATACAGTCTGCAGATTGCTTCAGTATATACACAAGGGAGACCTACAGAACATTGAGTATACTTAAATCTGCAAGATGAATGTACCAGTACCTACTTCATCTCCAAGTCAAAAAGCCCCCAGAAGTACCGCTACCGCAAGGTTCTTAGTCCTCCCGCTCCACCCAATCAGGCAATGTCGCGCCAACCAAGACTCTGCAACTCCTTTTCCCTTTCCCACTAGTTAATCTCCCTCCCCTCTCCAACACTAACTAACTGCTGCACCTCCAACCCCTTTCTTCCTTTCCCACACCCCCTAACTAACCCGTTCCCCATCAGGCGCGTGTCAATCTGCCCCGTGCTCCTCAGGGAGTCAAGGCTCCCTGTCGACCATGAGGGCGCGTCGATCGACCGCTCTTTGACCAACGATTGTTTCTGATCCTCCTCCTCCCTTCCCGTTTTCAGTTGTCACTCAATATCGGGCTTGCCAGTGTTGGACCGGTGTGGACTGGCTTCACCTGTCTTCCAATTAGAATCAATTCGCCGTCATGGCTCCTGGCCGCTTATCATCCGACGCCTCTGTTACTATTTCTTCATCCGCCTATCACCAAGGGTCTGACCCCGGAGCTTGGCCAAGTCCTCCTCCGTCTGCCCCTGTTCCTACAACGTCGACCGCACCTGGCTCTCTTCCTTCTTCCTCTCCTCATCCGTCTCCGTCGGTCTCCTCCCCCAGACCCGACTCCCTCGTGCGCCGGAAGCCTCTTCCATCCCAGAATGCGCCCTCGGTGATCCCGCAACATCGCCAATCCGGGCCCCTCTCCCTCTCCTCCAGTGCATCGACTCCCGGGGGCGACACGCCGGTAGATCCCTCACCAGCAAATCATCACTCGGATTCCCCCAGTTCATACTACTCCTCTCCAGTGCATGACGCCCCATCCGCCTCTGTTCCCAGGAACCTGGATAGGTATGACAGCCGCAGCACTCTTTGTTCCGGTCCCTTGACCACCCTCTGGCTCACGCCTGCATGATCTCCCCTCCAGTCTGCCATCGGACTCCCTATACATATCTTCCTGCTCTTGGACGTCCCAGGGCTAATCCTGTGCTCTTGTTGCATCTCCTCAGATCCTCCCGTGGTGGCCCCTCAGCGTCTGCGCTTCGGATAGATACCGTCGCCGCCTCCTACGCGGGCCTGGAAGACGACGACAGCAGCGACGAAGACACCGAGTACCGCTCCCAGTTCACGAACGGCACCCCGGTACATAGTCGTCTCGTCAGCGAACCGTTCATTCCGGTGCTCAGGTCGCCCGCCCCGTTCCATCAGCGCAACTCGACCATGGCTCTGCACCCCCCGACTCACCGGCCACCCCCTCTCCGCATTGATTCGAACGGAATTGCAGACCCCAAACAGCCCAAGACCCCCGGAAACAAGATCAGCTCGTTTTTCGGTTGGCGCGGCGCCGCCTCCTCCCCTGGCGCAGAGTCCTCGAGCACAGAAATCTCGGATACTGGCCGTTCTCCATTGTCCCCCATGCCTCCCTCCATACCCAGCGCCTCCTTCTCTATCACCCCGTCCACGACAATTCCGTTTGACCCAGTCAAGCGCCAAGGCAGCTTTGGCCTAGGACGGAACCCCTCATTAAGCAGCTCTGGTGCCCTGGAGGCGGGAGCATCTGCCCAGGTGGCAGAGCTAGAAAATGAGCTCCGTGAGATCAGCTCCGAACTGGCGGGATCCATCCGGCGGGAAATGGAGCTGGAGGACCTCGTCGAGCGGCTGCAGTCCGAGATGCCCTTGGACATCCCGAATCGCCGGACCAGCGATTATTTCTCAGACTCGGGCACCAGTTCCATCCGATATACGTACGATGGACGCTCAGAAGATTTTGAAAAGTTCCGACGCGCGGCGGAACAAGAAAGAGCCCAAATCAAGGTCGAACTGACCCAAAAATGGCAAGAAGAGCGATCCCGTCGTGCAGCGACGGAATCACATGTCCAAATATTAGAATCCCAAGTGCACCAGGTAAGTGGTTTTGTCTTTCACCCGCGTCTGCCCGGTACAGGGGCTAGAGCTAACTCGGCCATCAGCTCCGACGCGAAAGAGTGGAATTGTCGGACCTGTCTTCTAAGAACAAAGAACTGGAGATCGCGCTAGATGATACACGCAGAAAACTAGCAGAGGAGCGGCAGATCAAAGACAACTTCGAAGACCTTCTGACGGCGATGAGAGTGGAGTTGGAACAGCTTCGAAACGATCGCGATCATCTGCGGGACGAGGTGATCCCGCAACTGCAAAGTGGCCGGGGAATGTCAGACCCATCAGAGGTCCAACGACTCATAGAGGAGATTGAAGCGTTGAAGATCGAGAACGCTTCGCTCGCTCAGCTACACGGTACCCGGTTTGCTTCTATTGCCGAAGAGGACGGTTTCTCCAGAAGAAGTTCCGGCCTATCGCGGTCGAACTCTTTGGCTCGGATGCCCTCCAAACCCGGCGCTACGTCTCGTTCGGGCTCTCTGTCGCGGTCGAACTCGTTCTCGGTCAAGGATCGCGATACTCGTGAGTCCCTGGCGGACCGCATGGAAGGTGTCGAAGCGCAACGCGATGCCCTCCACCAGGCTCTCCGGCGCCTTCTCGAACGCCAGGCCTATGAGGCTCGTGAGTATGAGAAGCGGATGAGGCTGATGGAATTGGAGCTGGTACGGGCACAGCATTCGGGATCCCCGCGGAAGCTGGGATACGAACGTGAGGTGCAAAATCTACGAGACGAGGTGAACCATCTTAGACAGCGCGCCGAAGAGGCTCTGGAGCAGAAATGGCAGTGCGAAAAGGGTCTCGCCGGACTCAAGATGGATCTTGACCGCGCGGAACAGGAGACTGGCTCCCTCCGGGTGTTGCTGCAGGAGCATGATATCAACATCCCCGAGGCTCTGGCCGCTGATAAGGAGGGATTCGCAGAGGTTCTTGCTACCTCTTCCTCCTTGGAATCGGCCTACCAGCAACTCCAGGCGGCTCGGGAGTCCGCCGAAGCCACTGCCGCCCAGTCTTCACAGGAAGAGCATCCTCAGCTAGCAGAGACTGTCAGCCGAACGGAAGCCCTCGCCCTCCACGTGCGTAAGCAGCTAGATGCCAACAATGCCCTGCGGAGCCGACTGGCCGAGGCCATCGGCAAGGGTGAAAAGGAACAGCAGGTGTCTGCTATTCGCATCAACGAGATGCAGGCTCGACTCAAAGAGCTTGAAGATGCCCTTCTAGCGGCCCAGCAACACTCGGAGGATGAGATGGCGAGACACGAAGAAGAGATCCGTCATCTGCAGGAAAGCCATAACGATCAGTTGATGCGAATGAAGAATGGTGGTCGAAGCCCCATCGCACTCTCTCCCAGGCCCCCTTCGTCGCCTTTTGGCGCCCGGTCTCCCCGCATCGACAAGACCACCAGCGGAGATGGAATTCCGCTGACCCAAGCGATCCAGTCTGAAACTCTGGAGAAGAAAGTAAAGGAACTCGAGCGGCTTCTCCGGGAGGCCGACCGGGAGATGGGTGAAGTGGTTAGCCGAATGAACCGCGCCCAGATCGAAGTGGCGGAACTTCAGGCAGATCGGTAAGTCTTGCGAACTTGCCTTTGTAATGTCTTAATACTAACTTTCGGTTCTGTAGGGATGAGGCGCTGCGTCAAACCCGCCGACTCCAGGCGGAGATCCAAACCGAACGTGAAACGTTCCACGCCCTGATGGGCTAAGTCGAAGTCGGGTGAACCTCAGTCACCTTGTATAATACCCTTGCCGACCTTTATATACCACGATTCTTGGTGTTACGGTGTTTCATCGGCGCAACTGTGCGATTATTGTTTTGATGGCTCCATCCAGCGTTAGCATGTGGGCCCTGTGTATACTTGAGATGTTTGTAAATGTTTGACGCACGACCACGAGCAATGTGGGCTGTATATATGGGAGAAGCTGGGGATTGACTACAGGTCAGAGATGGACGATGTTGGTATATATTATAATAATATACATAATCGAGACATGCGAGTTGGAGATGAATGCTTTGATGCTGAAGCTGAAGGAAGTGAAGGTATCACATGACTCAGATCCGCCCCCAGACTGTTTGAACTGTTTGTCTGTTCCGCTTGTTTTGTTCCGACGGGCTTCCGTCTCAATCGATGCTTCTCTACATGACTTTACGGGGGAGATAACTTACTCTCCTTCATACAATAGACCCATTCTCTCTTGACCATAATCTACTCCAAAGCCTCATACACTACCAGTCAGCCCAACCATGGACTTTCTCCCAGGTACGCACCTCCCTTACCTCTCCCTCTCTTATCACTAACACAACACCCCAGACTCCCTCGTCTCCCTGATCCAAGAAAACCCAACCTTCCAACACCTCGCCTCCTCCTCCGCAACATCACATCTCCTCCAACTGCGCGCAACCTACCTAGACCCCTACATCGCGCACGCGCGCACCGCCTACCTAGACCCGTACCTCATCCAGCCGCTCGCGACAATGCTCACCTCGTCTATGCCCGACATCGTCTCCGTGCTAATCCTCGCCCTCGTGCTGATCCTGTCGCTCAAGATCCTCGACTACGGCCGCCGCCTCGTCATGTTCTGGGTGTCGCTCGCGCTGCGCCTGCTCTGGTGGGCAGTCTTGCTCTCCGTCGTGTGGTACGTGTACACCGCCGGCGTCGAGAAGACCGGTCGCGACCTCGGCTGGGTCTTTGGCGCCATGAGGGGCTTCGTGGATAGCTTCCAGGATGGGGTCGAGGGCGGGAGGAAGTCTTCTTCGTGGGCGGGGTATGCTGCAAGGGATTTTCAGGTCAGGTAGTTTTTTTTTGGGCTGCTTCGCGTGTCGTTCCTGCTGGGTTAGTTTTGGGCGTGGAGGTTGAATTTTGTGGGTTTGTGCTTGGGTTACGTTGCTATGGTGATTCTTGATTGATTGGGAAGCGTTACTATTACTTCACGAAATGCGCGCATGAATTACGTGTCTTGGTATTGGTCCTGTTCTGCGTTTGGTTGTCCTTGATGGACGATTATGTACGGTATTCGTTAGATACATATTACTGGTATCAGATATCGGGGAACAGACGTCCCCTGTCCTGTGAACGGCGCCAGCCTCGCGGTCTGGTCATCCTGTCGATGAAGGTCTCCCATCAAGAGCCTGTAAGAACAATGGATGGATCGCCGTCATCAGCCACCCTGGCGCGGCTAATACGTGCCGTCAGGTATACCGGCTTCAGCCCTGGTATATACGAGCCAATTGGTCACTAGATTCGTGAGCGCTCCCCGCAGAATCACACATCCGGATCCTCGTAATCGACCTCCTGCTCATCGCCCGGTTCGCGCGGCTCCTGCGCCTCGTGGAACTGAATGGCGTCGTCGATGTAGCTCAGCACCGCGGCGACGCTGTCCTCGTCCTGGACGTTCAGCTGCAGAAACGACACCATGCTGAAATCGTCAATCAGCTGGGCGACTGCACGGTTGAGCTGCTTGAAGGAGCCCCCGCTGAGCAGGGCGTCCGTGGAGGCCGGGTCAACGACGGCGGACTCGTCGCGGCCGGCGGCGGGGACATCATCGTCCTGCAGGGCCTGGACGTCGACGGTGGTGAAGCGCTTCAGTTCGCGGCGCGACACCATGTCGCGCACCTGGTCCATCTTGGTGAGGATGTTGACGTGGGGCATTTCGAGCATGAGCATGGCGGACATGGCGCTGAGGGTGCCAGCGAAGAACTTGGGCTTGTCGACGACGAAGGTGCTCTCAAGCAGGTAGGCGGCGCACAGGTTGATGTTGAGGGGTCCGGCGCGGGAGAGAAACTGCACCAGTGACGGGAGTAGCGGGACGTGCGTGTACAGCTCGATCTGGCCCGGCATGTCGAAGATGATCAGGTACTCCTCGCTGAGCGGGTCGAGCGCCTCGGACAGGAAATCGAGGTTCTGCAGGAGGAACTCAAAACAGTAGATAAGGCCGCCGTTGGGGCCAAGCCCCAGCTCCTCCATCACATCTTCGAGGGTGATAAGCTCGCGGATGTCGAGATCCGGCTCGTAGCTAAAGGTCTCGGCGGCCGGATCGAGATTCACGTAGAAACAGCTGCGTCGTGTCGTCTGGAGATGTTGGATGAGGGCATTGCAGAAGGTGGTTTTGCCTGCGCCCGCGGGGCCCATTACCAAAACGCCGAACTTGGACATGGTCGCAGGATGTGGTGCATGTGGAGAGGGGCAGGTGGGAGCAGCCGCGGGGCTGGAAAATCGAGCGTCAGACCGCCAGTAACTCCGACGGACAGGGGGTGGTTGGGAGTAAGATCAGCGAAGAAGACGGGAAGAGGGGTCTGTCAGGACCGGAGTAGATACGGGAGGAAGGTTTCGGAGATGAGGTGAGACGTCAGCATATACGGAGTAGTGTGGAATACAATGGAAGAGAATGAATGGTCCTGTTGAACGTTGTGGTCGTGGTACAAACAGAAAAGTTCGGGAGTTGATTGTCAATTTTTCTGCCGAATGCGACCGCCGGGGCGGGGAGGAGGCGACGATGGCGCGATTTTCTTTTCCCCCTCCTCCCTCCCCCCCCTCCGTCTTCTTCTTTTCTCCCTCTCTTCTCCCTCCCTCTCGATCAATTCCCCCATCAACCTCAACCCATCTTTCCTTCTCTTAATATTTCTTAATTTTCTTCTCCCCTCCTCTCTCCACACCACCGTCACAATGGGCAGCGTCGCTGAGCCTAAGGGAACTTTCCTGTTCACCTCCGAGTCCGTCGGAGAGGGTCACCCCGATAAGATCGCGTATGTTGTAGCCCCTTGATGACATGGTTTGGAGGAATCCTCATTGACCCTCTTTCGCCTACAGTGATCAGGTCTCCGATGCCATCCTCGATGCTTGCCTTGCGGAGGACCCTCTCTCCAAGGTATGGGAGTCTCCTACCAATCTTGATGCATTGCGCCCTTGCAGCAGTTTCTGTCCAACGGAGAAAGCATCCATTGGCGAATCTGATGCATGGCGACTTTGGTCTTCCATCGTCGCACCTTCACGTAATGTGCAATTCATTAATATTTTATTTCATTAGGTCGCTTGCGAGACCGCTACCAAGACCGGTATGTTTGACAATCTGACCCAGAAAAAATTTTTCCGTTCCGTATACTAACACCTCCCAGGTATGATCATGGTTTTCGGTGAAATCACCACCAAGGCCAACCTGGACTACCAGAAGATCATCCGTGGTGCCATCAAGGACATCGGTTATGATGACTCTGAGAAGGGCTTCGACTACAAGACCTGCAACGTCTTGGTCGCCATTGAGCAGCAGTCCCCTGATATCGCTCAGGGTCTCCACTACGAGGAGGCTCTTGAGAAGCTTGGTGCCGGTGACCAGGGTATCATGTTCGGTTATGCTACTGATGAGACCCCCGAGCTCCTCCCCCTCACCATCCTGCTCTCTCACAAGCTCAACGCTGCCATGAAGGAGGCCCGTCAGAACGGCTCCATCCCCTGGCTCCGCCCCGACACCAAGACCCAGGTCACCATTGAGTACGCCCATGACGGTGGTGCTGTCAAGCCCCTCCGTGTGGACACTGTCGTCGTCTCTGCTCAGCACTCCGACGATGTCACCACTGAGGAGCTCCGCCAGGTTATCAAGGAGAAGATCATCAAGAAGGTCATCCCCGCCAACCTCCTCGATGACCGCACTGTCTACCACATCCAGCCCTCTGGCCGCTTCGTCATCGGTGGTCCCCAGGGTGATGCTGGTTAGACCGGTTGTAAGATCATCGTCGACACCTACGGTGGCTGGGGTGCCCACGGTGGTGGTGCTTTTCTCCCGAAAAGGATACTCCCAAGGTCGACCGCTCCGCTGCCTACGTGGCTCGCTGGGTCGCCAAGTCCCTGGTCAAGGCCGGTCTCGCTCGTCGCGCGCTGGTCCAGCTCTCATACGCCATTGGTGTCGCTGAGCCGCTCTCCCTCTTCGTGGAGACCTACGGTACCTCCTCCAAGACTTCCGAGGAGCTGGTCCAGATCATCCGCAACAACTTCGACCTCCGTCCTGGTGTGATCGTCAAGGAGCTTGACCTGGCCAAGCCCATCTACTGCCAGACCGCCAAGAACGGTCACTTCACCAACCAGGACTTCCCCTGGGAGAAGCCCAAGGCCCTCAAGTTCTAAATGCGCCCGTGACCGGACCCTGTTACGAATGTGATGATGATTATGCTTTGACTTCAACAACTCAAAGCGCGAGCATAGACATGTTACAACCAAAAGAAAAGCATCTTTGACGTTGTGTTTCATATATACTTTTTGCATGGTCGCCTGTACGAGACGGGTTTGGCGGGATAAATTCAACATGATACCACTTACATTTGGGAAGGATCTTTTCGGCGTTATCGGGAGCGAGAGTCTTCAACAACACACGAGACACGGTTGTCACGACCGGGTCCAGCCACAGCGGTGGACGCTCGTCGCGAGCTGGGCTTCAGATGAGTGTCTGGCGAGGAGGTGATGCTTCAACTTCCATGCACCACACATACTTATTAGTTTTAATAAGCCTCGAATCTCATCGAAGATGATTTTGGCGTATTGATTTTCTTGCTCGTACACATTGCATCGTAGGAGTGGACCGATCATTCCCGTAACATTATTATTGATAAGCCATAGTCTGTATGGCATAGAATCGTGGTCGACATCAAAGTCTCTAGTTATCCATGGGTCATTAAAAATATGGTTGATTTGATAATGGCTTAACGCGTCCCGCCGAGCGCACGTCCTCGCGTCTCGGAACATCATTCTCATCTCCACCACTCAACCCAGTCCCTCCTCAAAGCCATTACAGCTTTTACACGGTGTTTGAGCTTAGTGGAGATCTTATTCGTCTTATATTCGCATGATGTACACTTAGTCAACGCGTTCATGGCCTCGCGTGGATCCCTCGAATCCATTTCTCTCAACCCACTCAACATCCCTCGTCCGCAGCCAAAGAAGCGCAAAACATGTCATACAGCCGGTGACTGGGCGAACCGGCCCATCAGCATTCGGGTTCGCTCCCTATGCCCTCAGAGAAAGCGTATCCCCGCGCGTCGGGCTATTGACTGACCTTCTCCCACTCACAGGCCCACACCGCATCCTTGTCGGATGCGAACGTCGTCCTCGAACCGATTACCGTCGTGCCCCGATCGCGACTCCCACTAACCTGGATCGACTGTTCTCCCGCACTGCTCCCACAGATCCAACCCGGGGGTCTGTTTGTCGCCGATATCCCTGTCCTCGAGGCGGACGATCTCCACGGCGAGCCGGTGGCATTGGCGGTCCGGCTGGTGTCCGACGGGGGTCTCTATGTCGTGGAGCGCGTGAAGAAAGGCGTCTACGCTTTGTTGCGGCTGGTGCGGGAGATCGAGGAAGGTGATGTGTTTGTCGCGGTGAAGGGATGGGCCCCCGCCTCGTCTGCGGCGCAGGCGCCGCCGCGACGCGAGTCGTCGACCGGCGAGGCGGATTGGTGGTGTATGGCGCAGATTGACGAGCCTGATGTCGAGTCTCAGTTCACAGCGAAGCGGGCCAAATTCGATGTGTCTGTCGTATTTGGCATGGCAGGGGGTCCTGTCGAAGACGACGTGCGCATGACGGATGTTTCGCCGTTCGATTCGACGGAGAGCCGTGCGGTCTCGGTGGTGCCGCGGCTGTCTATGCAGCCAAGTTCGGGTTCTGAAGGTCCTGTTCTGCCTGTTCATCTGGATTCTCAGGTTGTGCCCCCTGGTGCGGTTGAGGGTGCGTCTGTGGATAACGACCCCCTGCAGTCACCGCAGGAGACGCTGGACAACCTCCGAGAACAGTATCTACAGGCTCTCTACGTTTCTAAGGTATGTTGTGTGTCGCTGAACATTTGGTGCTCTACTGATGTCGACTAGACCTCGGTGGCGTACTTTGCAAAGGGTCCGCTTGCGCGCTGCCGTGCGGCGTTCCAGTCGTCAGAGTTTGAATCTGCCAAGCTGTCGGATCTCATCGATTACTACCGCGAGGCTATCCTGACAGCCAAGAAGATGGACCTGAAGTATCGGGAGTCCGTGCCTACCGCGCTCCAGGACGCCTTGCTCAGCATCTCGGACGCCGAGTCCACCGCACGAACGAAGCGGAAGAGCAAGAAGAAAAAGCTCGGGAAGAATGGATTGTATCCAGAGGAGGACCGGTTCATTCGAAAATGGTGGAGGGATCGGTCACTGACCGACCACGGTGTTCCGGTGGAAACTTCGCGTGAAGCGGAGCTGAAGAAACATGTCTCGGATCTGCGGATGAGGGAAACGCAGCTCCAGATCCTCCTTATCCTGGAAACATTGGCGCTGGAAGCTACAGTCGCGGACGAGGCAAAGAAGTCCGCCAGCCACAGCGAGACACCGGAAGATAAACCCGCGAAGGAGACCAAGTCAAAGTCCAAGAAGGCACAGGAGCTAAGCGTCATGCTCGAGCTTCATCTCGATCGGCTGTGCATCTGGCATGCTGTCAGTTTCGAGGATACGGCCGTCCCGGACCCAGCCAAGGCATACAATAACCACCATATGACCGGAAAGAAGGTCGAGAGCGATGCCCTCCGTGATTTCTGCACGGAGGTCATTATTCCGTTCTATGCCTCTCGCCTCCCGGACAAATGCAAATCGATCACACGGAAACTCGGCGTTTCTGCCGCGATATCACCCTTCCCGAAGAAGTCTTCACGCGGAGAACCTGGCGCTGCCGTTGAACGCCAACCACCTCAGAAACAACAGCGTCGTTCATTACATAGAGTGTCTACCGACGAAAAGTCCAACTCCCACAGCCAACGCCGCTCCGTCCCTGCGCTTAACCGGTCCAACACCGCCCCATCCCACGTCGAGACGAAACACGAGTCCATGGAGCCGCTCCTCCCGATTCTGAGCGCAAGCGTGCGCGGCGGCATCCAGAAGGCCAAGCGCGTGGAGAACCGTGAAGTGGACCTCAACGCGGTCGCGCGACAGCACGAGACGAAGCTGAAGAAGGTGCAGATGCTAGCCGAGCAGAAGAAAGAGCTCGACGCCGCGATCCTTGCCCTGCGCAAACCCAACCGCGAGCTCGTCGCCCGCGACATTGCCCAAGACGCCGACAAGCGTCGTACCGGCGGCAGCGGCCGCAAACCCAAGAACCCCATACGCAATCCCCTCGGCCAGGGCGTGCAAGTCGCCGCCACGCCGCGGGGCAGCCGGAAGAAGGACGTTATGATGACCGGCCTGCCCCCCGTCCCCACGGGCCTGTCCCGGTCCTTCACACAACCCAGCGCGTCCTTCTTTGGAGGCGACGGTTCCCCGCGGATGGTGGTCCCAGGCTCCGCCTCCTTCTCAGGCACACCCCGTGCAGACGTCGGCGCCGTCCAGGAGACCCCCACGCGCCGACCGGGCAAGCCGCTGGGCTCCTTCGACGACACTGGCAGCGCGTCTGCTAGCTTCCCCTCTGGGAACCTGTTCCGCGTGCCGCGTCGTCCAGCGCCTCGTCCAGCGGAAGGCGCCGTGGCGCCCTCGACCCCTGTGTCCTCCCGACACATCGACGCATTCTCGCAACCGCTTCCGCTCGGGAGACCTCTCGCGTCGTCCTCGATGGTGATGGAGACTCCTCCGCGCCCGGCCGCCGCGCCTACCTCTGTACCTGCAGGCCACTGCAACCAGTCTGCGGCTGTGAACAACACCTCGACGGCGACAGCGTCAGCGACAGCGGTGATGGACACGCCTCCGGTCAAGAAGACGGCGACGCAGGTGCCGCCAGACCGCGCGGCGGTGCCGGTGACGCCTGAGAAATCGATTTACGAGCAATTGGGATGGGACGACGAGGAGCTTGCTTTGTGATGGGGGCGTGCATGGTATTCACTGGACTGGTTGTGCTTAGCGGGCGTTTGGGTTGCATGTTATGGTAGATACCTAGTTTACGCCGTAGGTATTACGATGCAATAAACCACATTTACTTTGCTACTCTGCCTGAACTCAACCGGTAGGACACTATCTCTCTGCATTCATCATTCCTCAGAGTACCTGTACCTGGTACCTCGGCGGTTAGACTTACCGCGGGCGGAATGTGGGGGCCATCAAGACAATCCCACGCCGCAAAGAGTATTCCGTAGATAGGTAACTACGGAGTACAGTACATAGTGGGGTGGATGAAGTCTGGTCCGCGGGGGAACCTCTCGCTCGAGTTAATAATAATCGCACGAATCAGCAGGGCGATAGACCGGACTAGAAACCTTCTAGCGGTTTCAACTTCCCGAGTCCTCCGGATGGGGCTGTCGATCTGGACGGAGCGTTCAGGAACGGACGGAGTTTAGAGCGAGTGAGTCAGGGTGATTGACCGAGGTTACAGTCTTACGCAGTACGATTCGGAATCCCAACGATTTGATGTGTTTCAATGTTATTATTTGTATTGTAAATGTGTACCTAAGTACTAATATGCGTTCCGTATATACTGTATGCAATGGGTTTTTCTAGTCCATTTCAACGCCGACCATTCAATGGTCTTTTAGACCCCGCCGCAGAAGGCCGCAGAAAGATGCAAGGAGATTCGTAATGTCGTGACGTCGTCAGTTAAGAAATTAAGCGTCCTTCGGGAGTGTCCCTTCCCAGTTCACTGGGAATATGTACGCCGGTCGTAATATCGATGATGAGAAGAGGAGGTAATAGTCGAGAGGTGATGTAAAGTGAGGTAGAGGAGAAGAGGCGGCACGATCAAATCCGAACAGACATGCACGGACCGGGCGACGGCCAAAAGTTCGACGAGCGCTGCACCGTCTTCTCGAGACAATTGCGGCCCTTTTCCAGCAAGCCCTCTTTCTCTTTGTCGTCGGATGACAGCGACGGGGGCGAGGTCTTCTCAAACGAGACCGCAAAACGCACATGCCCGGGGTCCTTGGGCTCGGCCTCGGTCTGTTGGGGCTGGTGGTCGGCCTCCTCGCCCGCGGCGCTGTCGCTGTCGTCGCTGGATCCATCCTCCTCCCGGTCGGTGCTGTCGCCGGGCTCATCGACCTGGGCCGCCGGCGTCGGCACAGTCACCGTCGTCGAGACCGCATCGTCCGACTCCGACTCCTCGGACTCGGACTCGGACTCGCTCTCCAGCTCGATGGAGTTGATGCGGGTGGTCATGTCGCGCTGGGCCCATTCCATGGACATGCAGTGCAGACGGAAGTGGCCCAGACAGCGGCGAATGTCCGGGTCTGGGGCGGTGGCCTCACGGGCGAGTTTTTGTTTGGAGAGGGTGGTGAGCTTGTAGGGGAGGGAGGATTTGTCGGCGAGCGGGGGCCAGCGTTTGTTCATGCCGGAGGAGAGCGGGGAGGGTGTTGTCGTCTTTGTGGGAGTGATGTTGATGGTGGTGACGGCCATGGCGGCTGTGGTGGGAGTGGTGGGAGGATCGCTTGAATGATCGAGTTTGGGTGGTGTGGGAGCGTAGGTAGTTACGCGAGAGGGATCAGGAGGAAGCGAGCATTTGCGGGTGTATATGGGGTGTGGGAGGTGGTGTGAGGAAAGGAGAAGGGAGATGAGGTCTGGGGGAGGGAGGAATTAAAGCAGGGAAAAGGACGAGAGGACGGGGGCCTCGCGTGGAAAAGAAGCGGACGGAGGGGACAGTCACGACAGCAGGTCCAGACCAAGGCCGGAGACGCCCAAAACAGCAATCCGGCGTGCAGGTGACCATCTGATCGGGAAGATTCTGCACGCGGAGGTCGCCAGTTCTAGACCGCGACTAGTTCGAGCCCATTGTTCTGTCCTCTTCGATGGGGTTTCTTTGTTCTTCTTATAGTCTATTCAGTTGAGTCCCAACGATTCTATTCATTGATGCAGAAGTCGATATACAATGTACTTCATTTTCTGTCATCTAATCTATTTTTTGCCTCTTCCATGATTTTTTCCTTCCTCCCGACTAGATTTCATAATCTGATGAACACGTAAGGTTGCCCGGGAGGAAACGCTGTAGGGTCCACTGCAATGAAAAACAGGTCGGCCAGCTGACCAGGGTGGGTGGGTCCCGGTTGTCGGCTCTTCACTTCCATGGAAGATTCCATCGTCCCTTCCCATTGTGCTTGTCATGGACTGTTGACTGGTGAAGGATACTGTTGTTAGATGGATGTCTATTCGTTGGAAGCATAAATCAAAAGTATATTCGAGCATGTTTCTTGTTTGAATTCTCTTTTCGAACAAGGTATTGCATGGTGGCGCCATTCACAACGAGGGTCTCAGGGAAAAAGAGTAAAAAGGAATTCGGTGTGCATTTGGAGCGACCCCCTTCCATTGGCTCCTTTTTGCGGGGTCTCCAAATCCAGTTAGCCGCAACCCCAGCGGAGCCGCTAGTCCCAACCGGGGAGTAGTCTAAATCCTGATAAGGGTTGCAATCGGCGCTCATCCAGCTATGTTTAGTAACGGCGTCTTGTCCGTCGTGTTCTTATAAGCCCCCTGTGACCCGATGCTACCTCCCCTATTCCATGCTCGCAACTCCACCTTAGACGGATTGACTACGTCCAACGCTCATCCGAATATGAACTATCGACTCTGGGCTGATAGTCTGCCATCATGCCACCCATCTGATGCCTCCTGAAATCTCGCCGAGCATCGGCTTGGGTTTCAACTCGTGACGTCAGCCGGTCGTCCAAGATCTGCCAAAGAGGCGAAAAACCGCCTTCATGACCTCATGCATCGCTCATCAGTGGGATAGGGACTGACAAACAATGGTTCGAAATGGATTTTGAAAGGATATGACAGCTGCGCCCGTCGCTGGTTGGCTGGGTTGCCATGACTGACGCCGAGCCACCAACTTTATTGAAGACTGGCGGTAGTAGGTAGATGGTACAATGCCTCACGATGTGTTGCCTCATTGAGAAGGTATATGAGTCTCGTTCTGATGACGACAGTCGAGCCTGGCATCTGGGGTCGGTACGACAGCCAGCGAGTCGGAGGCATTCCTGTAGCTGTAGTGTGTTGAAACAAATGTCCAATCAATCTCGGGAGGCTCTATCTGGGTCGAGCTCGCTTGTGTCATACACTCCCCACCGCCAATAGATCGACTGCAGGCCGTCGAATGCTTTGCGCATCCCAGTCTCTCACTTACCTTCAACAACAAGCTGCACAATGGACTCTCCAAACTCGGCCGACAGCTCGAACTTATACCCCATCATTCCAGTCTATGTGTACACCAGCCTGGAAATCCTCCTGTCAGTCTCCCTGTTCACCCTGACGAGGGCGCCGCTGGATATCTCAATCCCAGATGTAGCCGCGTATGCCGATGTGGGCATCGGTCTGGCGCTGGTCCTGTTCCTCCTGATGAAGCGATGGCCATTCCTTGAAGACTCGGATGACTTCAAACCCTCGGGCGAGTTCATTTGTAAAGAAGAGTTCCTCGAACAACACGAGGAGAACATGGAGCATACCGCCGTTGGAGACGACACACGTATTGACGAAGCTATTACCTGTGACGAAACCGAGCGGAATCCCGACCGCGAGTCAATGAAGCACGATCATGACGAGACGCACGAAGAGCGACAGGAAGAGATGCAGGAAGAGAGATCTGAAGAACACCAGAATAAGAACAAGACCGTCAGCCATACCGTCGATGTCGACGACGATGATCTCACCCTGCGGCAAAACGATCTTCCCGTCTGGCCTTCCATCACGCCGGATCCCCACGCAGGTCGCAAACCCAAGAAGGTCCGATCGGCGTGGCACCCCGGGTTCGAGAACGAGTCGCACGAGTACATCAAGGAGAGACGAACGTCGGGGATCGTGCAGGTAGAAGTCGAGCCCAGCAGCGTGCCTCCGCCGTGGGAACTGGGCAACGCGTCGGCTCGGAGTCGACTCCGGTGATCTAGATGGCGAGAGCCTGCTCGCGCCCCGTTTCGACAGTCTCTCAGTGGATGCGACGCGGAGAAACGGTGGGCCCGGGCGCTGTCTCTGACGATCGGGAGGCACCAAACCGGAATTTGACCTCGCGTGTGCTGCACGCCGGGGCTCTTTCCAACGGTCTCGATCCGTCCGCGAGACGCTGTGCGCACGTCGACCGGTGGTGGGTTAACCGTGCAGCGGCTGTCTCGGGTAATTGCAGGACAGGCGACGGGTGATTCGAGTTTCGAAACGGTCAAGGTTCAGCGCGGTGACCAACCGGATGCGCCATCCACGAAGGACATGGCGAGAGGGTCACCGGACGCAGGATTCCAGGCCGTCTGAATGGACCGTGGATGCAGGGTCGTGCAGACGATAGGGGGGCGAACACTGCGCCGGGCATAGTTGCGACACCATCGTATCAGAGTTGACTAGATGTTGATGGAGATGAGTGAGACACGATGACGCTGTTGGACCGCAGAGTGGTCGGTTCGAGAGTGTTTCGCATTCCATACCACCCAGGCGATCGACCACCCCCGCTCAGAGGAGCAGGCAACAACTGGTCTGGCGTGTGGTTGGCTCAAGGATGCCTACGCACGAGTCACCCTGGATCGTCCATACCTGCTCTATCGGGGTGTTCTGCTGATGACTCGCATGCATTGACTGCCCCTGTCTGAAGAGGCGATGCGGGGATCTGGTTGGAGGAGTAATCGACGAGGGAAGAGGCCAGCGTGGGGGGTCCGGCAACGAGGAGCGATCCGCAACGAAGGGATTATTGTTGCAGAGAGACATGAAGGAGGAAGCCGGGAGGATGCAGCGCGATGGTCTCACTGGGTCGGATTGGCAGTTGGGGGGGCCATCATCCATGCACGGTCCCAGACGATCGCCACTAGTTCCCGCTCAAGTGACCAGATGAAGCCCAAAGTCAAAAAGGTCATCATCCCTCCCAGCTGGTCATCTGCCACGGACGAGAAGAGGACGAGTCGAGGCTTGTTCTCGGACTTGCAAGGTTGATTCAGCCGGGGAATGGTGGGCGATACGACTGTGGTGAAGGAACAGGGATCGGGTTGCACCGGGTTATCAGATGGAGGAGCAATGGTGAGATGCTTATCGGCCAGAAGGCTGAAGGAAAGACAAGGAGAGGGTCGGGTGATGGAAGGAATGTTCCTCTGGTACTTTGGGTCCCTTTCAGCTGAGTATTGTTGATATCGAGCGGCTGTGTCCGCCGTGCATGTCCGCAAACAGGTTATTGGGGTTTGCTTCTTCTGAATTAATCTAAATCATCCTCTGGTCCATTAGCTAGGCAGTAGTTCTGCGGCATGAGTCGTCGGATGGTACTATTTCGGACAAGAGGCAAAAGTCACCTCAATCTATGCGTCTACCTAATCTGATCGAGTTGCATTTCCTTTCCTTCTCTGGTTATCTCCGTAGGCTGAACTTCCTCCACTTCCTCCATAGATTATAATCAATAAACTATATGAACTATATGGTGGTTGTATTGAGCATCTGTGCATCTGTGGCGGTGCAGTGCCATGATTTGTCATGCACCTGTGGCTGAAGCATATCCCCAAAGTGTTTTCTTCTCAAGATGAAATCTTCCCTGTTATCCCTTCCCCCCTCCTCGACCTGACTGACCTTCCACGCACTCCCACCCCTCCAT